TAAACTTGATGAACATAGATTGGGATTAAATAAATAAAATTAGATTTTCATATAAAACCTGATTCGTTCACAATTTTCATTGGGGGGGGGGGGTCTTATTTTTGTTTGTTTTTTTGTGTGTTTGTTTTGTTTTTGTTTGTTTGTTTTTTGTTTTGTTTTGTTTGTTTGTTTTTATTTCGATGAATAAAAATTAGTCTGTGAGCAGTTGAATACAGACCTTGAAAATGTAGACAAAAAACACCAAATAGAAGAATCACTGGTTTTTTTTTCCCTTTTCCCAACTCATTACTTTAATTACGTCTAAAATGTTCCTTTCCTGATTGCTTTTTGACTTCCCACAATTCACCGATAAGTAAGTACACCCTCCAATATATATATATCAATGGATGTTCTTTTGATCTTATCAATGACGTTTATAATAAATTAAAATAATTAAATTGAAGAAAGGGACAGATTGAGTGGAACTTGTGAAAATACAGAAAATAAATGTATGTAATCATTTCTGTAAGGCTACATATAGATGTGAATGATACAACAAAGAGGAAAAGGAACTGATCGTTTTATGTATTTTGTTCGTTTGAAATGCAGTCCTAAATTATTCCTAAACTGTCAGAGAGCATGTGAGGGGAATGTGGGTTTATTGAACAGAGTGAGTGCAAGCTCTTGTGAACAGAAGCCTTATTTCCCCTCTCTCAATCAGCTGTCGCTTGTTAAGAGTAATGTAACCAGTAATTAATAGTTCTAATATTTTAATGAGGAGACTAATTAACGAAAAATAAAAGAAAAAGAAAAACAATTCCTGGGAAAAATGTATTTGAGATTCTCTGTAATTACTGTGATAAAGAAAAGTGACGCTGGTAGTCTGCCCTGGACCTGACTCTGATCATTGAATTAATAGAGACATATTAAATAGCTGCCCCCAGCGCCCTCATCCCTGGACCCCCAATGTCACCTGCAGTCCAGACCTAGAACTGCGAGGTCCTACTCACCCAGCACAGGTCTGTTTGTCCCAAAGGAGAACGTTCTATCATGAATCCCAGCTCAGGCTTCTGTACAGCCTGGCAAGAAGGAAACCCCCATCTGATTTGGTTTTTATTAAACCCTGAGAGGCAAAGGGAGAAAATCAGGAAAGAATTAAGGAAGCAGTAAAGAGCAAAAATGAAAGTCTGATGAAAACTTGCTGGAGCTGCAGGTCACCAGGAGTAAACAGAGTCTCATCTTCCTGGATGGATAACTTTCCCAATATCAGCTTTATCATAGAACACTTCCTGATATAATATACATGCTATATTAAATAGCTGTATCACACTATATAATGGTGTTATATAACTGTATTACACTATATTACAATATGTATTATATAACTGTATCACACTATATAATGTGTTATATTACATAACTGTATCACACTATGTTACACTATATATTATATAACTGTATTAAACTGTATAATGTGTTATATTACATAACTGTATCGCACTATATTACACTATGTATTATATAACTGTATCACACTATATAATGTGTTATATTAAATAACTGTATCACACTATATTACACTATATATTATATAATTGGATTACACTATATAATGTGTTATATTACATAACTGTATCACACTATATTACACTATATTATTATATTGGTTTACACTATATAATGTGTTATATTACATAACTGTATTACACTATATAATGTGTTATATTACATAACTGTATCACACTATATTACACTATATATTATATAATTGGATTACACTATATAATATGTTATATTACATAACTGTATCACACTATATTACACTATATAATATATGACTGTATTACACCTAATACCACTATATACCAATATATAACATTACTGGATTATACTGTATTACACCACATAATATATTACCTGACTGTATCACACTAAATAACACTAAATAATATATTACATGACTGTATTATACTGTATTACACTACATAATATATTACCTGACTGTATCACACTAAATAGCACTAAATAATATATTGCATGACTGTATTACACTGTATAACACTAAATAATATATTACATGACTATATCACACTACATAATATATTACATGACTGTATCACACTAAATAACACTAAATAATATATTACATGACTGTATTAAACTATTTTACACTATATAATATATTACATGACTGTATTAAGCTATTTTACATTATATATTACATGACTTATTACACTATATAATTTGTTACATTACTGTATTACATTATATTACATATCTGTATTACACTATATAATATGCTAAATTACATAACTGTATTACACTATATTACACTATATCACTGTAGGACACTATATACTTTATTACATGACTGTATTACACTATATAACATATCACATACCTGTATTATATATTACAATATACTGTAATTTCTGGTTTACACTATACATACTCTTTATAACACTATACATTGCAGATAATCTGTGTTACACTAGATATACTATAAATTCTATAATTTATTATACATGCTATATTACACAGTAATATACATATACAATCTGTAAGTGTCCTAATGGGTTTTACACCCCACCTCCTATAGAATGTAAGCTCGATTGAGCAGGGTCCTCTTCAACCTATTGTTCCTGTAAGTTTACTTGGAATTGTCCTATTTATAGTTAAATCCCCCTCTCATAATATTGTAAAGCACTACGGAATCTGTTGGTGCTATGTAAATGGCAATAATAATAATAGTGTGCACTATAATGTGAGGTGAACCTAGTATGTGTTCACTGTATGTGCTACATGCTTAGTCCTCTAAAATGACCCTGGATGTGCAGAAATAAATATGTACAAATGTATGTGATAAATTATATAGAAATGTATAAGATATATGTATTATATATAATGTATGTGATTTACCATTTATTTATTTAATCATAAAATATTATACCAGGAAGGATACATTGACATTTATCTCGTTTTCCAGTATGTCCTGGGTGATACATGTATATTTAAATGATGAGATACATGTGATAAATGTATACTGTATCTAAATGTAGATTCTATATATACATAAAATGTGTAGTAATGTATCCCACCCTATGATCTATAAACCAGAATGCACTCTCTTACTGCATGTGTAAATATTTTAGGATGCATACTGATTTATGTGTTTGGCTGAGATATGAACCCATGTCCTAAATGATAAACAGTATAGGAAGAGGAGAATTGTATAACAAGCCCAGCCCTGGGTGGGACAGAAAGTCATTTAAGAAAATCTCAGTATTTGTTTATTCCCAGGAAGCTGCAGTAACAAATCCCATCTAGATTTACATTGGTGAGGATCCTCTACTGCCTATGTGTGCGCTATATGTCTCTGCCCTTGTTACTGCATGGTGAGCCCTTGCTCTGTCACATTTTGTTCTTCTGTAATAATAGGGGTCCTCTGATACATTGTATCTGGTGCAGGAAATGAAAGGATGGGGCCAGTGTGTATTACAGGGCCCATTACTCCTACACGTTTGGCACAATGTAATGCTGTGAGAAAGGGCATTACCCAGAATATTGCTCCACAATTGGCATAGTGACCCACATTACTGGCCACAGGCTGGTCCACTCAACTCATTACTGCTTACCCCAGGGCTGGCAGATACATACACCTTACTTACTGTCCCCCAGGGTGGTAAAATCACCCACATTACTGTGTTACAGGATGCCATTTTCACATATAACTGCCCACTGGATGCCAGTCACCCATATTACTGCCCACCGTGTGTCTTTCACCGATATTACAGCCCACAGAATGCCAGTCTCCCCTATAACTGCCCACTGGATGCCAGCGATCCATATTACTGCCCACAGTGTGTCATTCACCGATATTACTGCCCACAGAATGCCAGTCACCCTTATTACTGCCAGCAGGATGCATTTACCCCTATTACTGTCCCATAGGATGACCGTCACACCTATTACTGCCCACCTAATGCAAGTCACCCATATTACTGCCCACATGATGCCAGTCTCCCATATTACTGCCCACATTATGTCAGCCTTCCATATTACTGCCAACATGATGCCAGTCTCCCATATTACTGCCCACATGATGTCAGTCACCCATATTACTGCCAACATGATGCCAGTCTCCCATATTACTGCCCACATGTCAGTTTCCCATATTACTGCTCACAGTGTGCCAGTCACACATATTACTGCCAACATAATGCCAGTCTCCCATATTACTGCCCACATGTCAGTCTCCCATATTACTGCCAACATGATGCCAGTCTCCCATATTACTGCCCACATGATGTCAGTCACCCATATTACTGCTAACATGATGCCAGTCTCCCATAATACTGCCCACATGATGTTAGTCACCCATATTACTGCCAACATGATGCCAGTCTCCTATATTACTGCTCACAGTGTGCTAGTCACCCATATTACTGCTCACAGTGTGCCAGTCTCCCATATTACTGCCAGTGTCTTTATAGCGCTGCCCAATTTATCGGGGACCTTGTAAGCCTTCTCTCTGTATCTTTATAACAGCTGGCAGACAATGGGTTAAGAAGGAGAGCGAGGGAAATACATTGTATCCATGAGAAGTGATATATAACCAACAGTGGACTTAAAGCAGCATCGGGGTTAATATCCCATGGATATCCCGGGGGTGGGGGGTATGTACTATAATGGCAGTTATAGAGACCCCCCCCCCCCTTCCTCCCCAATCTAACCATGGTCAGGCAGAGAGCATGCACAGCAAATTGAGGGCATCCCATTCAGGACAAAGCCAAAAGTCCCGGTCTGATCACACAGAAACACATTCAGCCTCTAATTACATTAATGTCATGAGTTTGTTGCCTACTTTTTATCTAAAAAGGGTTTTTATAAAGAAAGTTTAATGGTCCATGGACCCCCCCACCCCCACCCCCATCCCCTAGCCCCCAGTGTCACCACCCTCTTATTAATGAGAGTAAAGAAGAATTGTCTATCACTGACAGAGACAGCTCTGACACTGACAGACATCTCTGTCCTAACAGGACCAACTCTGCAACCACAGCTCCAGCACATCACTAACTGGGGACATCTCCAGCTGTGAGTGTCTGTGTGAAAGAGACAGGAGACAGCCAGAGACAGAGACCGCCTTCCAGAAAGGGAGCAACAGAGAGACAGACAGACAGATACAGGCAGAGAGAGAGGCAATAGAGAGTGTAGCGTAACAGAAATAGATGAGAAAGGGGATTAGATCCCAAAAAGAGTTGGACAAGGAATAGACAGACAGGGGGTAGGGACACAGAGGAAAATTAATTAAGAAGAACAGAGAGAGGGAAGGAGAGAGGATGGCAGGAAAGGTAAATTGAGAGAAAGCAGAAAAAAGAGAGAGAGAAAAAAGGATAGCAAGAAAGTGACATAGATAGACTGAGGGGGTAGAGTGAGAGAGAAAGGAAAACAGAAAGGGGAGCGACAGAAAGAGAGAGGGAGAGAAACGGAGAACTGGAGACAGCTAAGTAACAGAGAGAGAGAGAGAGAGAATGAGACAGAGCAGAAGGAGAGAGATCTTGCTGTAAGATTTTCACACAGAGAGAAGAGATCCTGGGAGAGAACTAGAGAGAGAGGTAACGGAGAAGAGGGGGAGGGAACAGGAGGGAGACGTCTAGAGTGCTGGTACCTCTCCAAAAATTAAGGGCATTTGGGCCTTTTATTTTAGGAATGAATGCTGATCCCTGTGTGTCTTACTGTGATCTCCCAGCTATGGATTGCTTCTACAGCCCCACAGCCTCTGCCCAGGGCAGGCAGACACAGAGCTCGCCTTTTAGGGCATTCCAGCCAAGTGATAAGTTCAATCCTGCTTTCCTGGCCAGCAAAGGACAAGGATTTGGGGACAAGTCCAGGGGCCCTTACCAGCAGGAGTGCCAGTCCTTGGATGGCAATGGACAGAGTGGCACAGGAGAGCAACAGGGCTCCTTCACCAAATACCAGCCTCACATCTACATGCAGAACAGCTCCTGCAACAAATCCCCAGCAGACAGCTTGAAACTGCAGGACAGTCCTGGGGACCCCCTAATTCCCTGCTACGGTAAGAGGGTGCACCCCAATATCCCCAATACCCACCGTCTGCTCTACTATCCATTATTTGCCTTACTTTTTATAACAACCTAGATCTGTAGACTTGTAATTGTCTTGATTCCTGAAATGTGGATGCAAACATTGCACAGGCTTTTCCAGAGATTCTAGATTTCCCCTGTGTTGTAGCCGAGGGCAACTAGCTGAATAAATAAAGGACATCAAAGACTACATCCTAATATGCAGAATTTGGCTAAAAACAAAACCCAGGGCTTTAAAATAGGAGGTTGTAATTTAATATTTGCCTTTTTTTTCATTATTTTTATACTGTGAATATTTTGCAGTGATAGAACTTTTAATATATAAGTAGTATAATATTTAATTAGTAAAAAATGTAAGTTTCTTTTCAGTCTGTAACTAAAAAAAGATCTTTGTAGTAGCACAGAAGTATTACTCTGGTATATTAAAAATATTTTTGGAGTATTAGATCTTTTGAGTAATTATTTCTATGCATTTAACGTAAATTAATGTCAACTGAACAGCTGAATTTCAAGGCGAAACTGTGAATTATTTCATACTTGAAACCCCATTTTTATTTTATTTTTAATATGTTTATATTTAATATATTAATTATGCATCTATATTGTTTAATTTTTAATTTGTATTTTTCTTGACAAGTTTAAAATCGTATTCATTTTTTGTGGGGTAATGACAGGTATAAATCCCTTCACAAAAAAAATAAAACTAAGGATTTACTTTTGTATCCAGTAAACAATAGGGAATATTTATAAATAATATTGGATCAACGTTCTAAAAGTGGGGCGGTCAAGGGCAACATTCCATTAGTTTCCATGGTAACTGCGTCATTTTTAGAACGTTGCCCCAGAATTATTCTGCAATAAAAAACAGTGTGCATCAATAAGTATATGATTATATACTGCAAACTTAACGATTAGTTCGAGCACTGCATCTTGTAGGTAAATTAATGTTACATTGGTAATTATTTATAATAATATGCACAGAGAGATATAAAGTATCAGAAGTAATACTCGCTCTGTGTATCTGTATTGGTTATTATGTTATTGAAACATTTAAGTTGTAACCTTTACTAGAACACATTACTCAGGGCACTAATTTAGCCCTTGGTTTAATTTTACTGCCCTTTTATCCCAGATTAGTCGCATTTACAGGGTTCTTTACAGTTCTTAAAATTAATGGAGATTAAGTGTAATTTAACGCGTGCCCTATGGGGTATTGGTGCAGGGGTGACAGGGGTGGCTAATATTTAAAGCCCCCCTGCATGTGGTTCTGGGAGGCGAGGCAAATAGTGCTTTCTGGAAAGGGAAAGCAACTTATTAAGCTATTTGCAGAAAAAGAGGAGAAAGTGTAAAATTAAAGCAATTTAACGATATTTATAGAATTTATTATATTATTTGTACTTATTTTTTTTACTCATTTTTTTTTAAATTAAACATTTCATCATTGCCTTCTCTATATATTTATCTATTTATCTATCTATGTATCTATCTATGTATCTATCTATCTCTCGCTCTCTATCTTTCTTTCTATCTATCTATTTATCTTTATAAATGCTAACTTGGGGCAATTCTGAAAAATGTGATCAATAGGTCCAATCACTTGTATTTGAACTATTTTCCTTAATAAACTCATCCCTGCTTCCAAGCTGCCCCCGTTTCTGTCTCTGTAGAACTTGGGAGAGAATATTTAACTAGTTTCTCACTGCCACAGGTAGGATGGGGGCAATATATGTTTTATTGCCCCTGTACCGGCCAGACCTTTCATTCTCCCAGCAGGGAATGTTTAATAGTCAGAGCAATTAACCCCTGCTAGTCTGCTGGGGGGGAGAGCTATAAACTACCAGAATGGAATGAGCCCAGGAATAGTCTGTACCTGCCTCCTGCTGTAAGTATTGAGTATCTGGGCATTGCTGAGATTGGAGATAAAGAGTATAATGTTCTGATTACTGTCACTACTGCTATTATTAGGGTATACTGAGTCCTGGTACACAGTGCAAGGTATATGATGGTCTAGGGATATATTTATTTATTTAATTATTTCTGCATTGTATGAATATACCAAGACACAGCTCACACAGAAATATATCAACTCAGAGATATACGCTACACACGTGTGTACACACGATCGATGTATATGATAAATACAAAGTAACACTGCATTAAATATATACAAAGTGGACAATGCATTAAATATATAGATACTGTTTATTTTTGTATATGTGTGTTTGTGTGAAATTATATATATAGAGAGAGCACACACATATACACAAATATTGTTATTTAATATTCTATAATTATTCTATAATATTTATGGTACAAACATATTGTTAGCGTTAGTTTAACGGCAGCATATTCTAAAGCTCTTTACAATTAAATATATATAAACTGGTTACTGTAGTTAAATAATACTTTCTTTGTATTTTTCTATTTCTATAAATGTATGGCTTACATTATATTGTATTGGTTTTACGTGAGTAGTTAGATTTTCCGATAATGATTGCTGTCCTGGGATTGCCATAGAGGCTGCTGTGATTCCACTGAAATTCCTGTTATAGAGGACCTATTTCCCAGCGATTCCAGAGATTCACTCAGTTCCGCGGGCGCTCCGCACAGCGCGCGTTATCCGCGCTAAATATCCGCGCTGATAGTTAACGCCGGAATAACAACTCAATCAATCGCAAACTAATCTGGATAAAAGTGAACAATATTCGGGACTTTATCGCATAATGCAGCCTCGTATGCAAATATAAGACCTTATATCGTAACCTTACCATCTCGATATTTACTAATATCTAATACTTAAACAAGACCTCTATTGATAAATAAATGCTAAACGTATATATTTTTTTTTATACTCGTTTATGTGCTCCTTACAATACCTAATTCTAATCGACCTATTTAATTCACTGGCAGGTGGTGTGTGTGTGTGTGTCTTTGTATGTTTGTGAGAGTATTGAATTGTGTTATAACTAAAATTATAAGACATATATAAAAGCATACACATATATCCTAATCTTAATAAAACCTAAAAAAAAAAAAAATACAAGTTTCTGCATTTATGTTTGAAAACTTCAAAACAGCCATCACAATTAACCCCTTAAGGACCAAACTTCTGGAATAAAAGGGAATCATGAAATGTCACACATGTCATGTGTCCTTAAGGGGTTAAAGCATTAAACAAAAAAGATATAATCTTAACTGGTACAATAAATATCACAGCGCAAGTCTTTCAACCACCATCTCAGAGGGTTATTCAAAAACCAAAGAGGGTTATTAAAAACCAAATTGTAAACTGTAGGTTAAAATAATCACAGTGACTACAGAACAGCTGAGTTGGTACATTTGGTTGCAGTTCTGGTGTTGTAATCTATTTTTTGCAGTTTGGTTTCAAATTCACTACAATTTTGTGCTTAGTGAAGCAATTCTTAAAAGTAGAAAAATGTGTGTGCAATTCACCTTTTATTTACAAGGAAGACTAGGTTAACAGTGTTATTACCAAAGTGACAATTTAAATTGAATTTAAAATTAATTTTATATTAAGGGTAGAAGCTCAACTAAAAGAATGGTTGGTTCACAGAATATATTTAGTTTGTCTATTTTGACTTTAAATTTGAAAGTCATGTGGAATTCACCTTCAATTCACAATTTGTTGAATAACCTTTCAAGTTTTACAACATGTAAAATATGCAAATGTGTTGCCCTCCTCTTTGGAAATAAAATGAATATTGTAAAATGCTTGACCATAAAAGGTACACGTAGGAATGAGATGACTCTCAATGTATTCTTATTGGTAAAAAAAAAATTAAAAAAATTCAATTTAATTCATAGTAGGAAAGTGGAAATGGGATTTTTGCCTTAACTTAAATTCCATTCACTAAACAGAGAGGACTATGGGAATGTGAAAACAGCTTTTACAATTGAGACTAAAATAACCAAAGTTGAAAAAAAAGCTTTAATTTGAAATAGTTTTTTCCCCGATTCTGCTACTTTGGCCTACATTTTGAAAATTGGTTCTCAAGTCACAACATAATTTTATTTAGTGAACAGATAAGTAAGGTTTATAAATTTGTATTTATCTTTTTTATGGATTTCCACAATAATAATATTTTTAAGTATTATCTAAATGCACCCTCCTCCCTCCCTCTCCTCCCTCCACCCCCGATAATTTTATTTTCTTACCATTGTCTCAAATGAAAATTCTTGTAAATTTGTTATTTTTGATTCAAATATTTACGCTGAGTAACCCTACTGTCTACAAATCCGGGAAAGGTCACAATGACTTTAAGAAAAGTCCCCAACTGCGCAATATTTCGCAGTGCGGTTTATTTTTTCTACTCCGTTCAGTCCTAACCCCTCCTTCTTATATTTTGCTTCAGTAAATAATAGATCCACTTTCTTCTGTTTCCGTATATCTGTTTCCGTATATCAGTCTTTCCACAAATATCTCAAAATTAGGTCATCATTCTTTTTTTGCTATTCGCAGCTGTACTAGATGTATAGATAATATAGTTTTGATTGGTGACTCTTTTACATTACACAGATCTGTAGGCTGGAAAGGTTTATAAAGCTGAAGACTCTTTGGAATTAAATTCAGGATACACATAGCAATTGTTGTCTTAGAAATCAACATGTTGTCACATCCCATTATCCAAGGCCGTAACCATGGCCAATGTATCAGCTGAGAAAATGAAATATACACAAGGCAATCAGATTTCAACTATGGAGCCTCTTAAACAGAAATCTGTTTTGCGCCATGCTCTGTAATTCCCTCTGTGTTTTCGATATGTCCATAAGATAACCTTTTCAGTAGAAAAAAAAATTAGGAAAATTAAATAATGCAATGGGCCTAATACCTTGAATCATTCAGTTAATATTATTTTTTTTATATATAAAGTGTTATGGTATTCTGCAAAGTTATATGAAAAATAAACAAAACATAAAACAATTGTTTTTCTATCAAAACGTGAATAAATAAAAAAATATGAATTCATTAAGACCTGGGTTTTACATGACACTTGTTTGCACTTTAGTATATAAAGTTTGGTCGATCTGTAGAATTTTGGGTGAACGTGTAATTGTGACACTTTTAGCAGTTTTATGTTACACATAAATGGATTGGATTATTTTTTTTTACCCCTTCTTTTGGAAGAGCCTGCCTACCCCCATCAGACTCTCCCCTAGTCTTGTTTAAGAAGTCCCTCAAAACACATCTGTTCAGAAATGCTTATGAACTCCCTGAGTAAAGTATCTTCACTTATCCAAATCTGTTTCTTGCTCTCCTAAAGATCCATACCCCACTCTCATCTCCAGCTCTGCTACGTTTCCAGCTTGTTTGGTGGCTGTCACCCTTGCTGCCCTGTTGTGTATTTGTACCCCACCTCATCTAGACTGTAAGCTCGTTTGAGCAGAGTCCTTATCTACCTATTGTTCCTGTGTCACTGTATAATTGTCTCATTTATTGTAAATTCCCCCACCCCTTTCATAATATTGTAAAACTCTGCACAATTAGTTGGCGCTATATTAATACAAATAATAATAAAAATAATAATAATTTTACTCCATTGCAATGATTTGTATTGATTACAGCCTGCAAATTAATTGCAATATCTCCTTAACATCTATTAATATTAATAAACAATTTAGTGTTTAGTAAATAAACCCCTAGACATATATCGTACTCACGGAAGGTATTTGACAATGACCTACACCTGTTTCTCTACCGTGGGGGGGGAATATAGTTTTATCTTAAATACAAAATTAACCAAACAATGGGTTGGGGTAAGTTGATGACTGACTTTTAATATTTAGGTTGCAAAACCGAACCCTAAAATATATAGAATTAGAGGTGAGTCTAACAGGGCAATCTAGTGAAGTGAGAATACCAAGTTAATTCAAAGTGAATTTCAATTAGAAAGCCGGATTAGCCAAATTTAAGGCATTGCTGACTTAGAGAATTTTCCAGTTTCGCAAATTTTTACCTTGAATTTGAAATTCATATGGAATTTTCACTTAAGTAAATAAGTCTGGAAGCCAAGACTTGATTTAGAGATTTTGTGGACTCCAGCATTGTAGCCTAAATCATGCACGCTGGTTGTTAATTCACAATAATTTCGCTGTGATGTGACCAACTAGTACTCACAGAATGCTTAGCCAGACTGTGGCTGGGTACGTGCTGGATGTAGTAGAATGATACGTGTGATTGTCTGTGTCGGCCAGTTCTATAATAATAAAGCCGCGATAGGTTTTACACCAATGGAGATATTAATTTGGTAGGTCTTTAATGGCTAAAAACTTTCATTTTTAATCCAATATTTTGGAGAAAAATAATAGTTTTCACATATTTTCCTGAAATCAACACCTCTATAATGTGCACGTATTAAAATGCATCAAAATCTTATTATATATACATAAATACAAGGACAGTACTTAAAAAAAATATTGTATTTTTATTTTTAGTTGTGTTCAAATAATGATAAATGCAGCTAAAAGAAGACGTATTGCAAACCCAACAAATGAATGCAAGCAATTGTATTTGATTAATTTTTGAAAGTAGTTTTTCCTGTTTAAATAAGCAATATCAATGAAAATTGAGGCTGACAACTAACTCTTCAGTTTGATAACAGAATACATGTATTTTGCATTGAAGGAAAGAAGTTAAGAAATGGTTGAGGCAGGAGTGGAGAGAAAAATAGATCCCTATATGTTGCAGTACTACATATCCCATGGTGCTTTGCTTGTTTGAAGGCTGGGAAGTTATCATGGAAGTTGTAGTTTCACAACATCTGCAGGTCTACTTTTTTTTGCCATCCCTGAGTTAAGGTTAAGGCTATCGTAGGGTTTTCATAAAAATAATTTTATATTTTAGTTCAAGCTATCATCAAAATTTTAACCACAGCGAAATCATGTAAAATCTGAGAATTAATGATTTTTGTTGTTTTCGTACATTGAAAGTGCTTTTTCAACAGAATTAGTGTAACTATTTTGGATGAAGCATTTCACCTTGCGTTTGAGAGAAAACACCTTTATTTAATTATAGCAAAATTGATCCGATTATTAACCGTGCACAATTTTGAAGCTGGTTGCACTATGCAATAACCGGTCTCTCTAAATCCATACTTTCTGTTTTTTAAAATTTATTTTTCATAAATATTTTATGTTCCTTTCTATAGTGCAGTGGAATTAGTTTCCACTTTGTAAATCATAGAGGAAAATAATAAAACATGCAAGGTAATTTCCTTTTTTAAACATTTGAAAAAACCAAAAAGCATTGAGTTTGATTTATTAAAATATAGATTGCAAAACACCAAACGTATCAGGGGCTGCTAACAAAAAAAAAATAAAGAAATTGGCAACCATTTACACTCAAAAAACATTTTTTCTAGTACCCTATAAATCTTGAATTACAATTTATGGGGCTCTTCAACAACTCTGATCTATGTCAAGACAAAAAGATACTGGGTTTTATTTACAAATTTCTGTTAGGAAACATATGATTTTTTTATTTTATGTGCGATACTTTATGGTTACTGAATTTTATTTGCAATTTTTACGACAGACTTTGAAAATAAATGCGAAATACTTTTTTTTCTGCTAGTTTTATTTGAAATTTTCACGATAAGCTTTAAAAAAAATAAAATAAAGGTTCCGTCTTCACAAAAACTCATCCCTGGGTCTAAACGTTGACTATCACTTATCTGATTAATTAAATAAAGTTTCTCTGTATGTTAGACTTAATAATATCACATTCTTCAACATTTTCTGAGGACTTTAAAGTGTAGGTCTCTGTGTTCCGAGACACAGATAGGAGATACATTTCCTTAAATTATATTTAAAACCTCTGGTGTTTCACATACGTTTCCGCTGTTGTCTTGTTCAGCAATTCAATACTTGAACGAAGTCATCCAATTACTTTGTAAAGCAAAATTAAAATTAAAAAAAAATCATAAAAAATTCTAAAAGAAAAAAGTTATACAAAATTTTTTATAAATAACATCAAAGCTGAATTTAATAATTCTGCTGAGTATAACTTTAAAAAAAATCCCATCATTTCTAAAATTCTAAAAACCTGTCCATATGATTAAGTAGTAACAAAACTTTCTGTTTATTAAAAAAAAAAACTAACAGATTTCATATGCATACACGTACACTATTCCAGAAAATTGGATATAGACCAGAAAACTGTTTTGCAAGTTGCAATTTTTTTATTTTATTTTTTTTTGTTCTTTGGCCATTTTAAGACTCCACCAGTGTGAGATTGGTATTAAGATGAATATAGTAAATAGTACAATTCCTTCCTCACTAATTAATCCTGCCTATCTGTCTGACATTGCATACATAAAAAAGTATGTGTGTGTATGTGTCTGTGTATGTGTATGTGTGTGTCTGTGTATATATATATATATATATATAAAAATAAATAACTTTACACGAGATCAGAACATTTATGGATATACAAATTCCCTTGATAGTTATAATATTAGACAGGAACAGATATATGTATATATCACCGTAGAGAGTGCACATATAATATTCATTACATATAATAATTTTTTTGTTTGACGAATACATACACATTTTAAATACTGATCAATTGATGCTTTATTACATGCTTGTAAATGTAATTGTGTGCATCAAACAGAAGGATTTGAAGACCATAAAGTTTAATCTCCCAACCTTTAGCTCAAAAACCACCTGCACCAGCTGAATGTCTATACATTTGGGTTTCACTGCTGGGAGATATATATTCCATATGAGAGCACACACGCTACAAATAAATGTTAGATTAGGAATGTGTTCTGCATGCTCAGTTCACTTAGACCGTTTTGCAAAAAAATAATATAAACGTACCCCGATGTGTGACCCCACTCCAGCCCTGGGGCCCTGAAACAGATTGGAGAGCACAGCAGGGTGCCGGTTTCAAATCACATAAAGAAGAGGGCTACAGAGCAGCCCATGTTATACACACATCCCAGAGACTGATGTGAGCTGTTTACACTGTTTGAAAAACATTAGTTTTACTTAAGTTGGTTTTGCTGTAAAGCATGACTTTTTTTTTTTCTTAAATAGTTTTTTTAATCTTATGAGGGGGAGAGTAAGTCGGAGCAGAGAAAGGTAGTGATTGAGAAACTGGAGTTGTATCAAGGACTATATTTACCAAATTACTGTAGCTTTTCTAGGCCAAAATGCTAAATTTGGACCAATCACCATAGAAACCAAATAGAAAATGTCTGTGAATTGCAGTAAATGGAACCTTGCTACAGAGGACAGTTCTGTATTCATAAACACCAACCCATGATCCTTCAATAAGTTCTATTACATAGATTACAGAATGCTGATTGTTTATCAACCGGACAGAACAATGTATAGATGGATGGGTGCATGGTTGGATGGATGGATGGATGGATGGAAAAGAGAGAGAGAGATAGACAGAGAGAAAGGACTACGCACAGGACACCTCTTCTTTAAACTGGAAGAAATGAGATTTAGTCTAAAGCAAAAGAAAGTGTTTTTTTTTTTTTTACAGTAAGAACAATTAGGATGTGGAATTCTCTGCCTGAAGAGGTGATTTTGTCAGAGTCTGCATCAATGTTTTAACAGCAACTGGATGAATATTTGCAAAAACACAAGATTTAGGGATGTATTTTTTAATATATGGGGTAACATAGCTTCTTGATCCAAGGAGATATCTGACTGCTATTCTTGGGTCGAGAAGGATTTTTTTCCTAGTTTGTTGCAAAATTGGCTTCAAACTTGGTTCTTTTTTGTCTTATATTGGATCAACAACAAAAACATGTGAGAGAGGCTGAACTTGATGGACACATGTCTCTTTTCAGCTACGTATAAAAAACACAAGTAAAAACGAAATCTCCATGGAACCAATGGAATGTTAATACTCAGCCTTTAGAAATGTGCCTGAGAATTGTTATTTATCTGTAAGATACATTGGGTTTATGTATTCGTTCAGAGACCGTTAAGACAATATGTAATAAAACTACATTTTTAGAAAAACATATATCGGACATTAAGGCCTCAATGTTCAAGCTTTGCTCACTTTTTACAAAGAAAGAGCCAGACTCTTAAATTGCAGAAAGTGGTGATTTATGAGAATCGGTTATTGGAGAGATCGTCCTGTACATTGTGTTGTAGACTAACAGGGTTATTTACTAAGGGGAGAATTGTCGGGAATGCAAAGGGAATTTAAAGGGAATTTCAAATGTCTGAACAGGAAAAGAAATTGGTGTCAGCTACACCTCCAATTCGGTTATTTCGATCTAAAAATTTTAAATTCACTTTGAATTCTCTTCAAAGAGTTCCTGAAAATTCTTGTTTTACCAAAAAAACTCTGATGATGTTTGAAATGTATTGCTACTCTTTCACCAGTCTCAGAAGCCAGGGTTATTTACAAAAGTGTGAATTTTGTGGATTTTTGAGGATTGGAATGGAATCAAAAGTGATGTGCAAAAACTATTTAAAGCAATTTTTCTGAATAGAATTCCCAGTAATTGTTGGATGAATCAGTTCAGAATCACTTTACCTGTAGTTTTACCTGTCAACATTTAACAGTCAACAGGTGAGATAGATTCAGAATAATTTATTCCGGTATTATTTAAAAGGTATTTCATTCCGACAAATCGCTTGAAACTAATAAAGTGAATTTCAAATTTGAATCCCTGAACACATTCCAAGTTAGCGATGTTTACAATTCAGCTATTTTAGTCTAGAATTTGAATTCACTTTTAATTTATTTTCCATTATTATCAAACAGGGATTAATGATAGCCTGACTACCTACTTTCTTTATTCTAGGTCTTCTAATTTAACCTAAATTTTGCAAATTGTCGATCAAACTATTACAAAATCTCTGTTTCGGAGACAGACCAATAAGTGGTATAAAATTTTAAAGATTTCTCCCTGATGGAGGTACTTTAGAGCAGTGCTCATCAACAGGTTTTGAAAAGGCCCAAATTACAAGCATGAAGTTAATGTAGTGACCCATCCTTTAATTGTATATTTAGCTGTATGGCCCATTCTTCATTTCTATAATTAATTCAGTGAGCCAGCCTTTAATAGAAAGAGTATATATATATCAACATTTCTGTAAATGACCTTCATTAGACTCTTCACTGTATCAAAAAACTGCATATCTTCAAAGTGTCCTTTTTTAAGAGGGATTGTCCCTTTTTTTGCCCCAAATCCCTCTGTCGCTCTTTTCTATCCTAAAGTCCCTCTTTTCTAAATTAATAACATAGCCACACAGCAATAATACTCCCAGTAATAGGCCTTTAAATTACAATAAATGTCTTTATAAATCATTCTGTGTAAATAAGATACATTGTTCTTGTTCTAAATTACATTTTAATTGTATAAATTGCTATTTGTAAGTCACTTAAAATTTCTAAGAACGTCCACCCCCGGTCCCACTCCCGGTCCTACCCCCACTCACATCCCAACAATTTAAGATTTTCACTTTGCCCATTTTAAATGTTAAGCGATATGTTGTTGCTACAGTAGTCAAGTTATTGTACGCAGTTACCTGCTATCTGATGAATTTGGTGAGTCTGTTCAAAACCAATACGTTAAACTAGCATTAGGACTCAAATTTGCTTGCTGCCAAAAACACAGTTTTAGAAAACACAGTTTTAGACTACATGGGATTTATATGTGGTGATAGGAGAACCAAGTTAAAAATAATATTATGATAAAGTTGGAGAATAAATATATATAAATGTCTAATTATGCAATACATTTAACATATTCCAGGTAACATGAGTTTGCCGTGTGAAAGTTTGCTATAAAAATATATAGTAATTTAAGAAAGTATCGCCCCATTATGTAATGTGCAGTGCTCAGAAGAGATTTACACCCATTATTAATTTGTCAGTGCATAATGTGTTGCGAGTTTAAAGGAAGTTTTTAGGCTCAAAGTTCCCTTAAGATTATCCAATTTTAGCAAGAGGTGACACAGACAAGTACAGAAAGTATATATCCCGTTAACACGACTGCTCGCAACCTTTCCTTTGCTGCCCCTTCTGGTTTGGCGCTCGGCCTGATGAAATTTTGGTTACCCACAATGTGTTTTTATTAGGAGGTGATCTGGTTGAGATATGAAGTTTCTGTAACAGCCAAGTCTTTGTACCCCTCATATAGCCTTTACTTCTCTCCTTTGCATGCCGAGTTATAGTTAACTTGTAGGCCTCAGCTGCAATTTACAGTACAAATCCCATCACACTCAGCACTAAACTAAAGCTATTTTAGGTTTTGAAGACCTGCAAGGGTCCATCTACTCTTAGACAAGTACTCTCCACCAAACCTGTCTTTGATGCTAAATACTAGACTTGTGCAATAATGTTTTTGAGCCAGTTCACCCAAATCAAATTCCTGTTAATCGACACCTGAACTAATTGATACGTCCAGGATTTACCTGTCGAATATTATTCAAAAAATAATATTTGCAAGTCTGGTACATGCTGTCCTTAATCTCTCCTGAAATGCTTCTACTTTATTTGCAGCCATTCACGCTATTCCAATTTTTTTGCCTAAACCTTCAATGCAACAATTTCAGTCAAAGGACAAGATGGACAGATGTTCCCTCTGAGTGTACTTGTACCATCTGCTGATACTTCTTTTGTTTCGAATGCCATTAGTTATGTGTTTTTTTCAGGACTGATATGCTAGGAGGGACCAGCAAAGCAGGGAATGTGGGAACTGCACCTTATCTGCCCTTGTCGTTATTATATGATGTAGGAGTATGGCCTGTTCATCATGAGATGGGCCTCATGTTAAACTCACGTGCATCATACAATACTTCTGGATTAGTATTATCTCTACATAATGAAAAATTATATATTTTATATGTATCTATGAGTAGTAATTTACAGTAAAAATGTCCTGCATATGTGTGCTAGCTATATGCTATAAAGACACAATTACAAATAACTTACAAATAGTTTTGTTAAAAGGATACTATAGTGCCAGGAATACAAAGCTGTATTTCTGGCACTATTACTCCCCCTGCCTCCCTCCTCCCTTGTGCCCTTTATTTACTCACCTTATGCCAGTGCTGATGTTCCTCACCACTGGGTCAACGTTTCCCTACTCCAACATCCCGCAACGATCGGGCGTTAATGCGCATGCGCAGCAAATGCCGTGCATCAATGCTTTCCTATGGGGAAAATCTGACACTGGATGTCCTCATTACGACACCGAAAATCTGACACCGAAGGTCCATTACGACTCAGGAAGCATCTAAAGTGGCTGTCTGGAGGCAGACTTGGAGCTGCAATGTAAACAACATTGGGATATTGCACCCAGACACTGCTCTAAAGGGACATTGCACCCAGACCACTTCAATGAGCTGAAGTTGTCTGGGTGCCTATAGTGTCCCTTTCACTTTTCTGCTATTTCTAAAACAAAGAGTGCTTGGAATCCAAGGATTAGTGAAGAAAACTTTGAAATGACACTTTTTTTTAAACCAGGGATCTCAAACTCTGGCATCCAAGATGTTGATTTCCTACAACTTCCTGAATTACCTGAATGCAGGATCGTTGCTAGATGTAAAAAAGACCAGAAGCATCAGGCCAAAATATTTAGTTGATAACGCCTCTTACGCTCTACCTTAAAACCACCCAGCAACCTACCCAAGCTCCAACCAATGCCCATCCCAAGCTCCAACAGAATTGCACATTTTAAACCAGGTTACCCAAAGAGAAAACATTTTCAAGGTCAGCTATGTTTTTCATTCAGCGACTTAATTCGAATTAGAAATTCACTTTGAATCAGTAATTTGTTCATTACAATTCGTTTTATGGTGAATGACCCTGAACAGGTCATGTAGCAACAACTCAACACACAAAGCATGCAGACACACCTTTTATAGGGCAGCGCGCTATCTAATTGACTTGTGGATAATGGTGGGTACCAGACGTAGAGGTTCCATCATTTCAGTGCAGCAAACATACTATATAATTTTATCAGAGTCCATACGGATGTTCAAACAGCTACTAGATGCATACTTGCAAAAACAGAATATTCAAGGATATAATATTTCAATGTAGGGTAATAACTGCTTGATCCAAGGATAAATCTGACTGCCATTCTGGGGTCAAGAAGGATTTTTTTCCTAGCTTGTTGCAAAATTGTGCTTCAAACTGGGTTTTTTTGCCTTCTTTTGGATCAACAGCAAAAAACCAAATGTGAGGAAGGCTGAACTTGATGGACACAAGTCTCTTTTCGGCTATGTAACTGTGTAATATATTTTACACCAAATTTAAATTTACCGAAAATGGAATCATAAATGTATCTGTTCAGGTAGTGTTTATTGGTTGGATACGCAATGTTAACGAAAGAGGTCAAGAGAAAATTGACCTTTTTTTTCAAGCAGACAAAGTGTGAAAAACATTCAGATTACCGGGTTATGCAGAATAGAATCTTTAAATGCACAAAATTATAAAGATATGAATGGGCAGGTGAGGCTACGTAAGGTGCATAATCACTAGAACAGGACAACAGAAAAAAGGAAACATGTCTTATGCCATGACAGATCTTGATTTCTGTTAACAAGTACAGATTATTATTATTATTAATATTATTATTATTGCCATTTATATAGCACCAACAGATTCCATAGCGCTTTACAATATTATGAGAGGGGGGATGTAACTATAAATAGGACAATTACAAGAAAACTTACAGGAACAATAGGTTGAAGAGGACCCTGCTCAAACAAGCTTACAGTCTATAGGATGCTACATTCATGTAAATCACATCAACCCATGAAGCATCCTGCCTTGTATAAACAGTGCAGGCAACCTTGAGATTAACATTGCTGGTACCAACCTGTGCTATATTTCTGCTAGAGTGACTTACCTACTAAAACGACCACCTAATACACATATGTCTGTGTTCTCTATGTCTGAGTAGCAATATTGGTTCAGCAATGCAAATCCAACATAATGTTTTGTAGTATTATGTAATTGGGCTAACAGAATTTCGGATGGCAACCTTCTTAGAAGATTTTCTTTATCATATATAAAGCTTTTAGACTTTGTAAAAGGAGCAACTCATCAAAGTTTGATGTTTCCCAGGACATACTTGAAAACGAGAGAAATCTCAATGTCTCTTTCCTGGTAAAATATTTTATAAATAAATAAATAAAAATAATAATAATTCTGTACATTTGGTAACAAGTAATTATAAGCTACAGAAAAAAACATAATTCTGTATTTTTTTATTACAGCTCTTTCAAAATACATTTTTTGTGCAAATACATTAACAGAAATCGAATTGACTGAACTCTTTGCCTTTTCTGGCCGGGTGACGTGAAAATGTATTTTAGATGTTCCACCATGGAAAAAAAAAGTTTGGGAAACACTATTTCTAAAAGATCAAGTACAAAGAAGGGAAAGGTGACACTTTGATTAACTGGAGTGACAAACATTGCAAGTTTTCGTGACCTTTAAGGTTAATTCCCTTAGGAAAGGGCTCAAATGACACCAAACGAGCACTCATTATCTAGAGCACGTTTATTTCACAATCCTTTCACTTTTAACCAAACCCTACACAACAGTATCCCTGTATCTCATCATTTAGTGGATAAACATATAGAAAGGGTAAGCTTATAGGAGTTGACCCCTTTATATTGTTTGAAATATTTTTTTCAATTAAGTAATTTGATCTAAGTGCGAATTTTGATGTTTCTAAAATTTCTCATTTCCAGTGTGTTAAATTTGTGATAAAGATTTAACATTTCTAGACTATAAGATCTTTTGAGCAGGGTCCTCATCAACCTATTGTTTCTGTAACGTTCCCTCTTTATAATATTGTAAAGCGCTGCAGAATATGTTGGCGCTATATAAATGGCAATAATATTCCATATATTTCTGCTTTACACAGATGAACGGTTTAATATAAATGGAATGCATGCAAATCTATCTATCTGTCACTGTCTGTATCTATCTATCCATCCATCCATGCCTCCCTATCTGCATCCCTCCGTCTCTGTCTGTATCTATCTATCTCTATTATTCTACGTTCTATTCTATGTACCTGGTCCCATATTATAACCAGATTATATGACCATACAGATATGTTATGAGTAATTTTTTTTCTATTATCAGGAAGTATTAATTAACAGAGAGCGTAGTGGATCATGGAATAGCCTTCCAGCTGAAGTGGTGGAGGTTAACACAGTAAAGGAGTTTAAGCATGCGTGGGATAGGCATAAGGCTATCCTAACTATAAGATAAGGCTAGGGACTAATGAAAGTATTTAGAAAATCGGGCAGACTAGATGGGCCAAATGGTTCTTATCTGCCGTCACATTCTATGTTTCTATGTTTCTAATAATGTCTCATACAAAATGGCCGCCTTTAAATCTATCGCTCATCCAACATGTTTAATAGATATCAACAGACACCATGGGTTAAAAAGCATGCATGGGGAAGGGGGGATTTCTTACCAGATCAAAATATCTATTTTTTTCTACTATTTTTATTTTGTGCATTGGCCTTGTCATACTTTTTAACAATCCTGTGAAATATCTAAATAAATAACTTTGATTTTGAGCTACTGTTACTCTTTATTTATACAGTTTATCCAGACAGGCCTTTACAATTATTATTTTATACCGATTTGGCAGTTTTTGTGATACATGCATCTAAAATTCAGGCATTGATTACTTGTGTTCTTAAGAACTGTTTCATTTCCGCCATATTACTTTGAAAGCTCACACATCAAAGTGATCATGGTCAGACTTTATAACTGAATCATACAACTGGCAATCACCCGAATATGACTAACCTCTACGGCTACATTTATCATCGTAATTTGCTCATTTCAGAATTCACCTCTCTGTTAATGCTGTTTCTGTTACTTTGTCCAGACTCTGTAGGTGGATAACAAATATTAGTCTTCCCTAGAAATTTCATCCACAATGTTTTATATTTTTATTAGAAAAAAAAGTAACAATGATAATATGCCCATTTTGAGAACGCTGAGTTAAAAGTATAAGTTTAAAGGGACCTTGAGACTTACAATATGTACACTGCTAATCTACCATTAAAACTGTGCTGCTGAAACAGCTTTTGTATTTTAATACATTTGGTTATGATGAAATATAATGTGCCTGTTCATCCCAAATGAGACCCACTACACAGCCTTAGGGGATTAATTCTGGGTCTTAATCATGGGGTTAAGTTCCACCTGCATTTACAATGTAACCTTCCCACACACTTTGGTCCAGTTATATTTCTGTAGCAATGTTCCAAATAGCTTTATAAAATATACATTTTTGATGTTTACCTGTTCACATATGTTGTTTTTAACAATAATTCTGCATCAACACTTTTCTCACCTTGTGATTACACTGATATGGTACATTTTCACTCTGAGGCAGTCATCAATCTCCATTTTATCCAGTTGAAGAACATTTAAAAAAAAAATGATTTGTTAAAGGGACACTATAGTCACCAGAACAACTACAGCTTATTGTATTTGTTCTGTAAACACTGTATTTTCAGAGAAACTACACCCTTTGTAAAATACACCCTTTGTAAAATACACCCCTACACCCTTACTTTTGCTGTATAGAATGAACAAATAACCTATACAATTGTGGAAATGTACATCATTAAATTTTAGACATTTATGCGAAATAAAGTTAGTATCTGTTTAAATGAAAATAACTTGGTGGAGAAGGGGTTATTTAAGGGCACTCCACGCTGATGGTGTCCCTTATTTAAATCATTATGTAGATAAAGTATTTAAAACATTATTTACAAAAAAAAAAAGATAAAAATAGAATTTGGTGTTTCTGATGTAAATACACTGACAGGAAAAGGCAAAGCTCGGGGGGGCGGGGGGCTTGACTAAGGGGTCCGACTATGCTGCAGAATTCTGCAAAGCTTTTTTTTTGGTCTCTAGTAAAAGGAAAGAGATTTAAATGTAATAAAACCATATAGTATGAATATGCTATATTCATACTATCAAACACATAAATTGCATTGGTGCTTGGGGTGTGCCTAGAGTGTCCCTTAAATTGTTCTGTTAGATTATGGAAATTATTGGAGTTTAGGAACTAAACAATATATCAAAAAATATTAAGGAGAAAATAACAAATCAAAAAATGCACTTTAAGTCAAGAATATCTCCATAATTTTGCAAACATGGTCTCTATCTCACCACAATTTCACTCTGTTTTGTGAATATTTACAAGGGTTGCTATGATAAAATGGAGTATTGGAACAGAAAAGCCGAGTGAGAGATTATTCAATGAAGTTAAACGTTGACTTTCACCTACACATACCAACTCGGCTGTTAGTTTGGTCTAAATTAGTCCATGGACCACAATGTGCAGTTCAATACATTTACTCAAAGCTTCAAAAGAATTCTAGAGCGAGAAAGTGTGAATTCAAGGAGAATTTCAAATGCAAGGCCAAAATAGTCAAAGTGAACATAAAATTCACTTGCAGAATGTTTCTAAATCGTCTATTTTGGCCTAAGCTTGAAAATGCAATTCTAACTTTAGCGAATAATTTGTATTCAGCCTGGGGATCAGACAGCAGAGACCCGGAACAAAAACACCAGTAATGTTGTCAGGATGAGTTATGTGAGCTTACTGTATGTCTCTTGGGCATAGTAAATAATTCCTTTTCTTGCACTCGGCCATTCTCTGCTTTGCATGCAGCCCAGGTCTCTTAAATCAACAACTTAAATAAATAAAACAATACTTTTTTTAATTAGATTTGTTCCTGTATTCTTGTTAGATTTATGGACTCTCCTTTTTTTTGTTATAAACCAACAATTAAATCACTGGGACACCTTCCTCTTCTTAGCCCATTCCTCCTCAGATGAAGTTATCAATCCTGATGACTTTGGTTATCGTAGAGAAGGATTAGAGGCACATGGGTGACAATGACGGCACACTGACAATCTAATGCTTCTCACAGAGAACCAGTAAACCCAGTGCTTCTCTATAAGATTAGAAGAACAGGTGTGTGTGATTATGCCAAATGTGAAGGTCTTCAAAAATCAAAGGTCTTAAAGAGACTGCCTGACAACATGTATTAAATTGATACCAAGGATAAATGTAACCATTGTGGGTAACCATTTGCATGTTTTACCCAGAATCCCTAGCTGTAGTATAATCACTGTGCTGAGGAAATCTGTTAAAAAAAAACCAGTATGCTAATTTGTCTTGATATAAAATTCATCCCAGCAATGCCCATACTTACCTTAGTCTACCTACATTTGAGGGTTTTTTGTTACGTTGTAATTTACCATAACTGGAACTGTATGTTACATTGTTTATATCCTCTTGCAGCCATTATATACAGAACTACACACTGTATCTATATAAATATCTCTTAACATTCCCAGGTCTTTCCAGACAGTGCCCACTTGGGACTGGTGTCCTGACAGCCTGGGTTTTTTCTCTGTTGTTCTACTTTTTGGAACACCAGGAAACTTCACCACACAGAAGAGCATCGAATTTCAGCCTTAAAGCTGTACAAGGCCATTATTTGGTATTTGCGTCAATGCAATAAGTATTCTGCAGTGCCCAACTCATGTTGGTTTGTAAACCAGTCTGATCCCCATGCCAGCAGTGACATATAAAAACTGTATCTGACATGCACCCTCTATAAGCCACTCCCCTGACTATACATATAATGAAGGCTCTTCATGTCGTGATGTCCCTGTAAGACACTAAGAGCTTTCATCACTATCAAGAATTGATGAGCAAGTGGAAAACATCTCTAGAAGTCCAGGTCAATAACACAAGTGAATAAATGTGGCATATACCAAGGTGATGCACTATCCCCAATGCTGTTATGCATAGGCCTCAACCCCCTTAGCCAGATAATAATGAAGAGTGGATACAGATATGGGTTAAAGAGTGGAGCTATCATCAGCCACCAACTCTACATGGACAATATTAATGTATGCCTGGAGTGAGTGGGCATTGACTCACTGATCCACCTAGCTAGGATATGTACAGGAAGGACATAGGAATGTCGTTTGGACTAGATAAGTGTGGGCAGATGATAAGAAAAAGAGGGAAGATGATCAGGACAGAAGGCATTCAGGTACCAGAAGGTCAAGTAGGAGATTTAGAGAACAGCTACAAGTACCTGGGGGTACCACAAACACATGGCAACTATTAGGTAGAGACAAGGAGTATAGCAACATCCAAATACCTCCAAAGAGTCAGACAGGTCTTGAAGTCCCAACTCAATAGCAATTAAAAGATTCAAGTCATCAACACATAAAGCCTACCTGTCATCAGATGCCCAGCTGGAATAATACCATGGCCAAGACAAGAGCACCATGGATGTCAAGACCAGGAAACTACTCACAATGAATAGAGGATTCTACCCAAAATCCAGCTCTCAAAAACTGTACACCAGCAGGAAGGAAGGTGGTCAGCGTCTGATGAGTGTCAAGGCCACAGTCCTGGATGAAATACAGACAATCAATCAGTACATCACGAAGATGGCTCCCAAAGATAACTGCCAAGGGAATGACTGAGACAACAACAGATAAGGGATGCAGTAAAGGAGGAGATTCCATGGCAAGAGAAACCTCTGTACCACCAGCAGATAGTGGATGTGGCTGGTGGTATACCATATGGAGAGGTTGCACAAGGTAGGAATGAAAGATAGCACTGAGGCACTAATCCAAGCAGCATAGGAACAGGCACTCAGCACCAAATCAATAGAAGCAGAGGTCTACCACACCAAGCAAGACCAAAGGTGCAGACTTTGCAAAGAGTCAATCCAGCTCTTAGTAGACGGGTGCAAGTTGTTAGCAGGAACAGCATACACATAGAGGCATAACCAAGTTATTGGGATTGAGTACCAAATATCTGGCAACCCACAGTGACTATAACATCAGGAAAAATGAACATGAGAAGGTGGACAAATACCAAGGACTGAAAGAAGAGCTAGAAAGAATGTTGAAAGTGAAGGCAATAGTATTCCCAGTTGTGGTAGGAGCACTTTGGGACTGTGATCCCAAATTGGGGGAGTTACTTTGGCAGAAACCAGGTGGGACCAGGTCCAGAAGAGTGCAGTTCTAGGAACAGTTAAGTTACTGCACAGAACCATCAGACTGCCAGGCTTCTGGTACAGAACACGAGAATGAGGATTACACACAAAAAAAAAAAAATTAATATAATATAATTATATTTTCTGGCAGTGAAAGGTACAATAATCTCTAACATCTCATGTTAGAGCGGACATGACATCGACCTGAGGCAGTCACAGAAAAGCTATCGGTTGGCTTTCCTTGTGTTACAGTACGGGGTAAAATAGCACAGTTCAGCACCATGTGAGTTAACAATAAACAGAGAATCCGAGGTTTGTTTAGCAAGCTGCCAAACAGATCACTATAGATCTCACCAACCAGGCGTCAAGGGGTTAACACTTCTGCTTCGCAGACTAAACACAGTTACATCAGCAGTTTATTAAGGACACACCATTATAAACACAAACACTTGTTTGATGTTAAGATGCAGGAAATTAACTCTCTAGAGCAGGAATGTGAGAGCGATGGGGGGGGGCAGAAGCCACACATTAAGTATATTTCCCAAGGTGCATTGTAACTCTTTCAAGGATATTTACTAAACAAGGATAAAAAGAGAGGCACATTTTAGGAGAGAATAGCTGAGCTGGAGAAATAGCTGGGCTGGCAAATTTGTCAAATTTAGTTATTTTGACCATAAATTTGCAATTCTTTTATAAATTCTCCACAATGCGTAGTTTATTGAATAAGCCCGTTATGTATATGAGCCAAATTACTATTATTATTATTTATATAGCGCCAACAAATTCTGCAGAGCAGTACAATGTTCTATATCCAATGATGCAGTAACAGGAGTGGCAGAGGGTGGCATTAATTACTGGGCACTGAGTCCAAGGACCCAGGTAAGGCTAGATGAGAGATAGTGGGCACAGTGACACAGCGAGGGCTTAGTGCAGGATCTTCCATGGCATCACACGCAGAAATGATGGAACATGCACATTGAAATGTTTTAGTAGGATGCTGGATGATGGAACCCACAACATTCTGTCTTTGCTCTGCTTTGACCTGTTACATAGTAACTAGGGAAGATGGAATGTGAGTCTCTTTGCTCCTATAGTCAGTGCCCATGCTAGCCAAGGCCAGGTAATGCACCCTCTGCTCAAATGTTTTTTTTTAAATGCCAATATCGATTCTTAAAAACAGATTTGTATTAAAAATTATTTTTAAAAAAAGTAAAAAACTTTAAACGATAAAATTTCATGATTTAAGATCACTTCCTCCCTGCGCTGCCACAAGGAAAAAAAGAAGCAGCGCTTGGGAAAAAGTGCATTGGGGTTCCTTGTTACAGTGTATTTTTTATAATGCATGGTTTTATTATTTCCACACCGTGTAGTAATAACATACTCACTGACACACGCACATACACATTCTCTTACACACACTCACAAATACATTTTATTTGTAGTCTTAAAAAAAAAAAAAAAACATTTAAGCCCACCCAGCATCACTACCTTTAGGTCTTGTGTGGGGCTGCTTGAATCTTCTTGTTCTTCTTCATTACTCCCTCGCATACCATTAAGTGATACTGGGGCAGGAGTGATGTCATATTCCAGTTCCCAGCATCACTAGAGAAGGTAACCAAGGGAGCCGTGAGGAAGAGGAGAACATCAGCCCTCCCTCGCTGCACATGCCCAGCCCTGCCCCAGACACACTGTATTTTGGAAGAGTAGGCATCTGTCGTTCAGGTATGCAGGTGCCCGCTCTGCCTGGGGAGCCTTAAGGTGGTCAGCCCAGCGGCTAATAGACCCCACTGACAGGCTGAACACAGAGGGAGCACTCGCGACCTCAGCGACTCCTGTATTTCTGCCACTGGGTGTGCCCTTGGCAGCAGTGCACCCTAGGTGGCTACCTAGTTTGCCTAGCGGTAGAGCCATCCCTGCCTATAGCCCCACATTGGACACCAAGTCCATGGCTATTTTATAGTGGGGTGTTCCTGGCTGCATTGGCCAAAACACTGTATGGCTAGGTCAAACACAATTATCATTATTAATAAATCTCCTACAGTAGCTTGATTTAATCATGACATCAATATCAAGGGAACTGATCAGTATGTGGCTATTGGTGGGAGTTATAATGTTGGGTGCTCAGTGCTGTAATTCAGTCAGGCAGCTGTTTACTGATTATCATACCTCCTAACTGTCTCAGATTGATTAGGGCAGTCCTGATTTTTTACCCCATTCCTGCTGTACTGGGATTTTTCTCCAGAGCTCTATAATTACAGCTCAAGAAATACGCACATCACAAAACAAATGCAAGTCGTTTCTGTCCAAGTAAAAATGTTTCCAGTGCTTTGCAAATCGGGGGCCCACACCCCAATCCAGTTTCGTAACTCCCAATGTCAGAGGTTTGGATTACACAAAGATTGAACATAAAGCATGTGGATAACGATAATCTAGAGCAATGGTTCCCAACCCAGTCCTCAAGTACCTCCTACTGGTCCAGGATTCAGAGATTACACAGTTTTGTCGAACGTGTTTTTTTTTTTTCTAAAATCACCTTTGACACAACTGGGCAATACCTAGATCCTGGACTGTTAGGGGGTATCTAGGTACCCCTGATATAGAGAAAGCTGGTGTTCTTTGGTGTTCTCCAGAACAAACCCTTAAATTCCATGACTGAGCTGTCCTCTTCTTCATGAGGACTTGGAAGGGTGGAGGGTTAGAGCCCCCATACGGTCTTCATGACCTTCCTTCAAGCAGCACTGTCATATTTAGATTATAATCTTGATGAGAAACTCATGTAGACTGTTTTGGAATTTCATTGATATTCCAAAAAAACTCATAGACATCACAAGATGCAGCAGGTTCTGTTTTGTCTCGTGGACAAGCTGAAAGAATCTTGATGTAGTTCTTTTTGACTGTGTTGGAATTTCTTTGAAAAGATAAACACGAGCTGTCACTGGCTCGATGCGCACAGATGGTCTGGTTCTTGAAGATGGACGAAGATGTTGTCTATGGCAACTTATTACGCATGCACAAAATTATCTACGGAAGAACCTGCTGTCTCACAGGAATCTCCAAATATGTACTCTTGTGTGTGTGACAGTTCAACGATGGCTCCTGGCAAATGAAAAATGATGCTGGTGAGAAGATGGCAGTGCCAAAGAGAAACAATTGTAATAATTGCAGTTTTCAATTAACTGCAATAATTACCTTTGAGGGTTAACTCCACCTCTAGTGGCTGTCTACCAGTTGTTGTTTTGGGTTGTTAGGCGATTTGTGGTCTCCTAACTGACGCTGGATGTCCTCACTCTATGTATGAGGACATCCAGCGTCATGTAAAACCCCATAGGAAAGCATTATACAATACATTTTATTTGTAGTCTTTAAAAAAAAATAAAACACATTTAAGCCCACCCAGCATCACTACCTTTAGGTCTTGTGTGGGGCTGCTTGAATCTTCTTGTTCTTCCTCACTACTCCCTCGCATACCGTTAAGTGATACTGGGGCAGGAGTGATGTCATATTCCAGCTCCCAGCATCACTAGAGAAGGTATCCGAGGGAGCCGTGAGGAAGAGGAGAACATCAGCCCTCCCTAGCTGCACATGCTCAGCCCTGCCCCAGACACACTGTATTTTGGAAGAGTAGGCATCTGTCGTTCAGGTAAGCAGGTGCCCGCTCTGCCTGGGGAGCCTTAAGGTGGCCAGCGCAGCGGCTCATAGACCCCACTGACAGGCTGAACACAGAGGGAGCACTTGCGACCTCAGCGACTCCTGTATTTCTGCCACTGGGGAAGTACTAATGCAAGTGCGGCCATTGGCTGGGAAGGAACAGAGGTGGACCCTGAATCAGTGCCAAGGGTCATCGGCACTGGAATCAGGTAAGTGACCGAAGGGGTTTTTAACCTCTTCTGCCACATGGAGGGGGGACAGGGTCTGCGACTTTTGGGGCACTATAGGGAGCTTTGTTTTCCTGGCACTATAGTTTCCGTTAAGGTAAGTATACCTCTCTAACTACTACTTCCTTGGCCTCCTCCATGCAAGCATGCATAGCACTACATTGGGTAATTGCAAAAAATGCACTGACACCAGAAATGACTGTGCCACTGAATTATAATAATGAGTTTGTTTAAGTAATTATCATGTGACTGTTAGATTGCTAGGTTTGGCTAATAAAAAGCATGTTTAGATACTCAGTGGGAATATGCCCTACATGTGCCCACCTCCGTTTTATCCAATAATGGATTAGTTATATGATGATCATTTATTGATCACCAACAAACTCTGAAGCGCAATATACACAAACAAGATTATTCGTTAAACTTTCAAATGTCTGGAATCCAAAAGGAATTTAAAACTCTCCAAATCGGTTTCCACTTTGGCTATTTTCCCTAAAATACAAACTGAACTTTGAAATCCAGACAATTCACACTTTAGTGAATAACTTTGTGAGCAGAGGTTTGCCTAGGTTAGTGCGTCCAGTATGGGAATGTATTTTGACACCCTCTACCTCCTCCAAGAACTGTAGAATTTTTTTTCTCATTATGCATCCACCAGTCCCTTTTTGTTAGTTAGTTTGCATTCCTATTCATGTGCGCATTCATACTCACACATACATTCATATACATCGACATTCATACTCACGCATACATTCATATACATCGACATTCATACACATCGACATTCATACTCACATACATTCATACACATCGACATTCATACTCACATACATTCATATACATAGATGTTCATACTCACATACATTCATATACATAGACGTTCATACTCACACATACATTCATATACATCGAAATTCATACTCACACATACATTCATATACATAGACATTTATTCACACATACATTCATATACATAGACATTCATACTCACACATACATTCATATACATAGACGTTCATACTCACACATACATTCATATACATCGACATTCATACTCACACATACATTCATATACATAGACGTTCATACTCACACATATTTTCATATACATCGACAATTATAGTCATACATTCATACACATATGGACACATATACACAGACACATATTGATACATGCACTCACAGACTCATAAACATGGATACATATAAACACACACATCCATATACATACAGAGACATATACGCATTCGCATGCATACACACAGACCCACACATTCAAACACACACTTCATTTTTATTTAATTTCTTATTTTTTCAAAACAAGGTCCAGCCAGATTCCCTTTTCTCACCTTGGAACCTCATTCCTGAGTCCAGTGGGGAGCTCCTGTAATCCTTTTGTGCTGATTGCCCAGTCCCCTGCAGCTCTGTAATGAGGTCAGGGATGTGATGACATCACATCCCGACTCCAGCTTAATTACTACAAGTCACGCAAGGAAGCTGGACACTCGGTGCAGAGAAACAGAACTACATGTCTGTTTGTCCACTCACTGTAAAGCGCTGCTGAATTTGTTGGCGCCATATAAATAATAACAACATAATAATAATAATGCAGTGCAGAGAGCAGGCACCTGCTGTGGGGGGGAGAAAGGTGCTCTGTGCATACCCCTACTGGGGCAGATCAGCCCAACGCCCCCCCTTAGTTATTACACCTCTGCTTGTGAGCAAAGGAAATAACTCACATATATATAGATACAGTAGGTTTTAAGATCCCCACACAGAAGAGTACAATCTAAATGGCAGAGGTACAGGTGAAATGCAGGTTGCCGAGAAGGCCATATAAAATGTCTAGAACAGAAGTTAAAACTAAAAAGCTATGTGTTGTTTTTTTTTTTTTTTTAAACAAAACAAAAAGAATAAATATATTGCATAGAAAGTATTTTCAGATGTCAGAAATGTGGTGGGGTCTTTTTTAGCACAGCTGAAACCTTAAATATTTAATTGAAATAGCGGCTAAATCTTGTGCATGGGGAATGTTGATAAATAGCTCTATGTGTACAACGCAGCGCTAACCATATGCAGAGCATTGCATTTCACTGCCCGCGGCAAGAGAACTCTTGATATCACTATCAATGAGGCCAAAGGAAATCACAGTCTGTTTCATCGAGTCAGCGATGGCGGCTCCTCATGTCCTCGGTTATTGAATATCCGAAAGTTCAGCTCTGGAGCCAGGGACTCTCAAATTCCCCCATTTGCTTTCCATGTGTGATTGACTTTAAAGGAAAATTTAACCTTGTCCACATCTGGTTTCCAAAGGGAATGAAGTGGGGAGAGGGGGGGTGGGATAAAGAAAAAAAAAACGAAAAACTGAGAAATCGGAACCTTTTAACATGTGGTTTCCAGCCCTTGCTATCTGTCAGTCTTAACTCTCTCCAAAACTTCAAAACAAGGAGAGATATTATAAAGCAGTTCTGGCTGGAGTGAGAGGGGGAGCTTTGGGCGAAGTGGTGAGGGTATCAAATACAAGCTTAGCTCCATTTGTGTGGTTCGCATATTTTGTCAATAAGGAAGTCCAAAGAGCTAACAGGAATGGTGGGGTGGCGATTACAGATAAAAACAAACAAAAGATTGAGTGAAATCTCCTGTACATACCTCCCAAAGTCCCCATCAGCAGTGAGGGCCGAGATTCCTTTTCCATTACTGTCAAAACATCGGTTGAGGTTACTTACCAAACTGTTGAGGATGTACCTTTTTGGCCTAGAGCCAAGCTATATAAACGGGGTTAAAAATTTTTGGTTACTTTGTCTATTTTGGACAAAAAAAATAAATTCCAATTTACAAAAATCTGTAGATTTTCCACAATTTACAAATTCGGTCAATTGCATATTCTAGGTTTATATAGGAAATCTTTTTTTTTAAGATATATATTTTTAGCGATAAATTGAAAAATATCAGATATTGATTTATTTTTATTATTGACACGATATTAATTTGTGTATCAGAGAGGAATTCTGTGGAATCCTTGGTGGAATTGGCACATATGCTTGTTTGATAGGCAAGAAAATGGTGCCACTTGGAATAATGTTGAACCAAACCATCTTAGATATCTGCAGTGCCAGGGCATATGTGTCATAGATGGATGTGACCTGGGTAGTACTTTCTTTCCTAATATTTCAAAAAATGTAGGCTGCATTTCAGTTACAATGTATAAGATATAAGAACATACCTTCCAAGTGTCCCTGTTAAATGGCGATAGTCCCTATTTTGAACCCTAATCCACCTGTCCCACATTTTTTATGGTCTGTTTTTTCTAGAAATGAGTTAGTATAACAGAGCGTCACATCAAACACACTCCATAAAAAGTGAAAGTGTCCCTGTGAATGAGATAAATAAAAGTAGAATTAACAGATAGTCATAAAATAAATAATGATTATACTATAATATTAAGTGATGTGTCATCCGTAATGAAATAAAATTAAAATTAGGCTTTTTAAAATATTTCTTTGGGAATGGGGGTTGGGGAGGTCAGTGAGGGGAGAACTGTCACATTTTAGTTTTTTTTCATATTACGATTACTTATCCCTATATGTAACAAATATACGTTAATATGTGAGATGCTCCTGGGTGCCTCCATGTTAACCTCCCTGTCAATCATTGTTATAAAGTCTCTCCTTTGCATCTGGCTGTCGGCATAGAGAGAGCATAGGGAGAAGAGGAGAAATGAAACTGTTTCTATTTCTCTTTAATTGCTGTGTGTATCCTAACTTGGCCTTGTCTGGACTGGCCTATTAATGTTTTATTCGATTGTATAAATTGCAGAGAAGTAGCAGTTTCACTTTAAATTATTTTGGCCTAAAATGTTCAATTTCCTTGTCAGTTCCCAGCATTCACAATTTATTGAATAAATCTCATTGTTTGAGACTTTTGTACCTGATGTGCATACATTCCTATAGACTGTAAGCTCGTTTGAGCAGGGCCCTCTTCAACCTATTGTTCCTGTTAGTTTTCTTGTAACTGTCCTATTTATAGTTAAATCTCCCCTCTCATAATATTGTAAAGCGCTACGGAATATGCTGGTGCAATATAAACACCAGTAAAAATAATAATAATACCTTGTTGTTAGATAAAACTAGCAGGGTTTTATATTATTGCACTATGGAAAACACTAGGCAGCTAGGCTCTTAACCCCTTAAGGACCAAACTTCTGGAATAAAAGGGAATCATGACATGTCACACATGTCATGTGTCCTTAAGGGGTTAAAACCTTTTTTTACTTATCTGGGACATTCAGGGATCTTGGCTCTCATTTTCACGGTGACCTCTTTCTACTTATCTCTTATTTTTATTTTCTTCTTTTTCATAACATTATCTGATTTAATTTAATGCAGGGGTGCCCAAAAGATAGATCCCCGTATTTTGTAAAAAAAAAAAAAACGAAAAAAAACTACAGCTTCCATGATGCTTTGTCATTCTAAAGGCAAGTGAAGCATCATGGGAATTGTATTTCTACAACATCTGGGGATCAACATTTAGTGCACTCCTGATATACTGTATGCCGATATCATTTGCTGCTGTACACTGATATTAACGAGTTCCAAATATATATTTTTTTGTACCACCTGCTGTCCAAACTTAAATAAAGAAAGGAAAAGAAAATTAAATCCCAAGAATGGGATTGCAAGATTGCCATATTATTCTGGGGACTACGTCACTTTTCCTTACTATGCATTGCGTAATAGCGTGAGTGTTTGCACATACTCCAGTTGCTTTTATACATTGCAAGAGTTAAATCAGTTTGTTAAGAAAGAATGTACAGTCTTGCTGATTGGCTGCTGACATATTTATATAGTAATATAGGATGAAAAAAACATCATCAAGATTAACCTTGAAAATATATCTTTTAGTTCTGTTGATCCAAGAGAAGGCAAAAATTCCAAATTCTTAATGTTCTTACTGTAAAGAACCATTTCCTTTGCTGTAAGTAAAAACTCCTTTCTTCCCGTCTGAATGGGTGACCTCTTGAATGTGTGAATGTTCCTGTTAATGAACAGAATAGCACGTTAGCAGTGTTGTTTACTAATTCTTTATATATGTGTACAGTGCTACCATATTCGCTCAGCTTTAATTTATAAATTTTCGAAGTCTTGTGATAAAAAAATGCTCGTCCCAGGAGAGAGGGTTTTAGTGGTTTTTAATCCTTGGTTGGCAGAACTTAGTTTATTTAAATTTCCTTAATACAGATGAGCAGTATTAAAACTTTATGGAATTATTGCACAGTGACGTGGAATATGCTGAATCTTTATAAAAAGGCATTTTTTTATAACACATATATCTTTTATCGTGCTGAGATTGTCTGGCAAAGCAAAGCATCATGGGAAAAATAATCCACACCATGTTGAAAAAGAGCGATTTCCTATTCTTAATTTTGGATAACTGCAAAGATAATCTAATCTGATTGGTCCACCACCCAGAGCCTCCTGACTCATTGGATAATAAGGATTACACCTGGTTAAATCATTATGTCATTTAGAAAACCTTTTGCAGAGTTAGAAGAACATGTGCAGTTTGGCAATGTTTTAATGTCACATCGGTGATTGAAAGGTATGATGAAGATTCATTTCCAATGGGTACACAGCTGCAAAGCCCTGAATAGTAACTTACATGGACCCACACCTGTTGGATGATGGTAACACCTTAAAACGAAACATCCTAAGCTGGAGTTTATATGACATTTTAATTTATTAAAGGGACACGTTAGTGTTACCAATAAATAAATTTAAAGGACCACAATAGTGCCAGGAAAACAAACCAGTTTTCCTGCCACTATATAGTCCTTAGGACCCCCCTCCCGCTGGGCTTTCAGCCACTTACCTTTATCCAGCGCCGGGCTCCCTCGGTGCTGGTGACCTCTCCGCAGTGTTTGTGTGTGAATGTATGCATGTTTTTGTATGGAGTATGTGTGAGTGAATGTGTGTTTTCCTGCCACTATATAGTCCTTAGGTCCCCCCTCCCCCCAGCCACTTACCTTTATCCAGCGCTGGGCTCCCTCGGCGCTGGTGACCTCTCCTCCCCCTCCGACGTCAGCTCCCGAGTGAAGCCGAATTCAAATGCGCGGTCAGAGCGTGCACGCATTCAAACCGCCCATAGGAAATCGCATTGAGCACGCAGAACATCCTTAGGAAAGCATTGAGTAATGCTTTCCTATGGATGTTCTGCGTGCTCATTGCGATTTACGCATTGAGCGTCGGGGAAGCGCCTCTAGTGGGTGTCAGTAAGACAGCAACTAGAGGCTGGATTAACCCTGTAATGTAGACATAGCAGTTTCTCTGAAAATGTAACGGTTCACCTGGCACCCCGACTGGATACCTCCATTGACTGTGACACACAGTCACAGTCCACTTCTTGAGGACCCCAAGCACTCTAGCTGACACCACAACCACCGCAGGCTGAAACTCTCTTCCTTCAAAGCGAAGCAGGAACAAGCTCTTACAAGAGCTTAGGAGTGAGTAAAGCAAGGGAATTTGCAGAGCACAGCAATCCCTTGTAGCAGATTCCCCCAATAAGAGACAGGACTCCATATTGAGGGAGAAGTAGAACTGTCTAAAACTTTATTTTACTTGGGACTAGCCCATATGAAAACTCAATAAAATTACAAACAGTCAAATCATAGCAGGCAACATACAGTGACTTATTATAACACAATGGCATATTTTTAAAGAGGTGGGGGAGACAATAATTAACAGAACATATCTCACATGCCTGCAGAATTAGCAATATGCAAATCTACCCGAATATGCAAATGAATCAGTCTTGCTATTCAGGTAGTGCATATTGCTGTTGCTACCAACAGAGGGCACTAGACAAGCTCCATAGCCAAACCCACCTAGTTGGTAGCAAACCTCAGCAGTACAGGAGAGCATACAATACATCCCAGTGGCCATAGTCACATGGCAGGAGGCTGGCAATCAGTCTTCTCCAATGCCCAGTGGCGAGGCTGGTTCCGCCACAGTAGACATAGCAGCAGCGGCGTACCTAGCGCATTTGGCACCCGGGGCGGGTCCTATTTTTCTATTTTTGGCACCCCGCCCACCCCCCTCAACTTTAAATGTAAAAAACAATCACATTCTTTTTAATGTATTTAGCACTGAGCAGTGTTTGTGTCTGAATGTATGCATGTTTTTGTATGGAGTATGTGTGAGTGAATGTAGAGGTGTGTTTGTATGTAGTGTTGGTGTTTGAATGCAAGCTTGCATTTGTGTGTTGTGTGGTATTTGAATGCAGCGATGTGGTTATCTATAATGGTGGGGTTTTTATGTAGTGTTGACGTTGAAATGCACGAGTGTATTTGTGTGTAGTGTTGGCGAGATTTTGAGATGTCTGCACATATACACATACACGGACATACACACATGCAGATACATATACACAAAAGGAGATACACTGTGCTCTGCATGCTGGCATCTGACAACACATTTGCATATAATTCACATTAGCCACCCAGATTTCTTGTTGTGGGCTGGCTGACATCTCTTAACTTCGATCTTTGTTTAGCAGATAACTTCCCTATTTGCTATCCTTATGTGGGCTTGCAATATTTAGGGACACCAAATAAGGTAACTATCTGCTAAACAGCACCCTCATTTGGTAGCTTTAAATATGGAAATCTCGCATACGGGCACCAATTCAGGGAATTATCTACTAAACAGCTAAAGGATCAAAATTAAAAAAGCCCTTCTCTTATTTTCAGTTGTTTAGTAGATATATCCCTTATTTGTTATCCTTATATTAGATTGCAATATTTAAGGACACCAAATAAGGGAGCTATCTACTAAACACATACACAGAGATACACACAATCACACACATAATCACAGATATACACAAACACAATCACAGACCACACACATACAATCACAGACACACAATCACATACACACACAAACATTACATACATACACACATTTAATAAATAAGAGGTCCACCCAGCCTCCCTACCTTGCTCTAGAAGGGCTAGTGGATCCTCAGTCCCTGGTGGTCAGTGGTTGCTGCTGGGATCTCTGTGCTCTTCCTGCACAGGTCCCTCGCATGCCCTGTAATGACACAGAGGCCGCGATGACACCATATCCTGGCTGCAGTCTCACTGCAGGGCGAAGACCGTCAGACACAGTCAGATGCACACAGTCCCACACACATACAGTCACACATACACACACACAGTCACAGACAGTCACACACACACACGCACATGCAATCACAGGCAGATAGTCACACAGGCAAACAGTCACACATACACACACACAGTCACAGACAGTCACACACACACACAATCCCAGGCAGACAGTCACACACACACAATCACAGGCAGACAGTCACACATACACACACAGTCACAGACAGTCACACACAATCACAGGCAGACAGTCACACACACACACATCATCACAGGCAGACAGTCTCTCTCTCACACACACACACACACACAAACACAGGCAGACAGTCGCACACACAGTCACAGACAGTCACCAAATAAGGGAGCTATCTACTTTTTTTTTTTTAGAAATAGTTTTTTTTTAGAATTAATTTTATTTAGAAAGTTTGCCGGTTTCACTAGTATATCTTTTAATAAATGTGCCAAAAAAAACAGCAAGAGAAATGTATGTAATGAAGAAAAATAGAATTTATAAATATAATTGTGGAGTTTCAATAAACAACCACTTACTACCCAGTGAGTAATGAAATTCACAAATATAGGTTCAGAGTTACATTCTGTTAACCTTTGCTACACATTATACATGCAATACCACTTTCCTGAGACGTTTTGAGCATACAATAATTTAGTTGTTTTGGTCTCAAACGTAAAATTCACTCTAACTTCACTTCTGCATTCACCCTGTGTGCCCTTAACCCAGTACTCCTCAGCCTGGGATGTTGGCGTAGTTAGAGTAGCAAATCGACAACCTTTTGTGCTTGAACGAATGTTTCACACAAAGGGACTGTCAGAGAGGCATAGGAAGGGATCACTTCCCAGAGAACAGGCTAAATAAATTGTTAAACCTGCTAGAGGAATGGCAAGCTGTTCGGAGACTGTAAGTGCGTTTACCCCAAACAGCTCAGTAATGCCAAAGAAAATATCATGAATTTTTTATTTTCCTTGAGATAAAAGAGATTTTCCTGTCTCTTTAATCCACTGTGGAGCGGTCGTTTCGCAGAGTACATATACACACAGTAGCCACATCATCACCTCCTCACTCAAGGAAATAACTCATGATAATGAGCGCAGATTTACAAATAGGCCTTGTCTCCACAAATTAACCCAATCCCTTCCAGATCTGGCCTGTGAATCTACTGATATGAAATGCTAATTTTCATCCCATGGCAAAGACATTAACAGCTGCCACATGTCCTATTCTAAAGGCAGAATGCTATGCTTTTATAAACGTGAAGAGGTAGTATGTACAAAAGTGATTTACAAGCCAGGAGAAGAGATGGCGTATCTTTAAATCATAACGTATTGGATCTTGCTCCTTCTGTTTAGATTGTAAACTAATTTGGGCAGAGCCCTCTTCACATACTATGCCCGTGTTTTGTTGAAGGGGCACTACCCCTAAAGCACTTTAGCTCGCTGTAACGCTTTATGCGTGAAGAGTGCATCCTCTTTTTTCATTTTGTAAATAGTGCAGATTTCAATAGAAATTAACACTTTTATAAATTAAAGGGACAAACCCGTTTTCCTGACACTACGGGATCCTGCAGTGCCCCCCTTCCTCCGACCCACCATCCCATATTGCTGAAAGGGTTAAAACCCCTTCAGTGACTTACCTGTATCCAGCGCCGATGTCCCTCGGCGCTGTGTCAGGCTCCGCTCACGCTCCTGCCCTGCCAACGTCAGCCGGCAGGGGAGACCTAATGCGCATGCGCGGCAATGGAAGCGAGCGCACATTAGACTTCCCTGTAGGAAAGCATTATTCATTGCTTTTCTATGGGCATTCCGGCGACGCTGGAGGTCCTCATACAGAGCGTGAGGACGTCCAGCATCGTTTAAGCGACCAAAAAGTCACTTAAGAACCCGGAAGTCCCTCTAGTGGCTAGTGGCTGTCTAGTAGACAGCCACTAGTGGAGGACTTAACCCCGCAAGGTAATTATTGCAGTTTATAAAACTGAAATAATTACACTTGCAGGGTTAAGGGTGGTGGGAGTTAGCCACCCAGACCACTTCTGCCCATTGGAGTGGTCTGGGTGGCTAGAGTGTCCCTTTAACCTGGTTACACCCACTGGATTTTCAATCAGACAACAGGTCCTGTTACTTCCTGGTTTGGTTAGCTTATGTGCACTGAACTCAAGAGGCAGCAATTGTCCTGAGCCTTGCCTTGCAAAGACTTCTCATTAAGCTGCATTAGAAAGTCTGTGATTGGACAGCCACAGAAAGTCTGGGCAGAGTTAGAAGGGAAGTGCTAACAAAAACAGCAGACAAGAGAACTGCAGTTTTTGCAAGGTCTTTTTAAATATACCCCACATGAAATAATGCATAATTAAATTCATACAAGTTTTCATTTGGGGTATATCTACTAAACTGTTTTTTTAATTTATTTTGTATTTAGGCAGTGGAGTGTCGCTTTAAAATTAAATGGCTGTCTTGTTTACCTATTCTACAGCACTGTGGAATATTTTGGTGCTACATAAATAATTGTACTCAGTGGATTAAAGCTGATTTGTTTCATTAGTAAAAGTTATTGCTATTAATGTGACCACTTTAGACAAACCACTAATTAATACTAGTGTTATCTTATGTTTGAAGTGGACTGCAGCCCTAAAATATGCGGCACTTAATTAAAGGATCACTATAGTGTCAGGAAAACAAAGCGGTTTTCCTGACACTATAGTGCCCTGAGGGTGCCCCCACCCTCAGGGTCCCCCTCCCATGGCGCTAAAGGGGTTAAAACCCCTTCATCAGCTTACCTTATTCCAGCGCCGGGCTCCCTTGGCACTGGTGACCTCTCCGAAGTCTGCTTCCCCGGCCGACGTCACCTTCCCCAGCCGCGCGCGCATTCAAAGTGTCCATAGGAAAGCATTTAGCGGCTGGCTTAACCCCAAATGTAAATGTATGTTTGCATCTAAAGGGTTAAAACCTGAGGGACCTGGCACCCAGACCACTTCATTGAGCTGAATTGGTCTGGGTGACTATGGTGTCCCTTTAAAGATTCTAAATTTCCTTAAGTACTAACTGATAGCTTATTCAGTGTTTTTTAATTCAAAAGACAACATTAGACAGAACTGTTTCTATATTTATTTTTTACAAATGATGTGCCTCGTTGATTTAATTTGAATTGTAAAATAGCACTCAAACATCACAAATGAATTCTAAAAAATAAAGTGACACTTTATTTCACACAAATTAACTTTATTCTCCCATAATCCTTTAGTACAATAATACTTGTGCCACGTTTAACTGTACTGAGTAATGTAGTTCCTTCTATATCTGCAACAAGGATTCAAGAGCTGATGCCCCACTTAAAAAAAAAATTGTCATAATTATTTTTCTTATTTCAAATGGGAGATTACAGAATCTCTATTAATTTGCAATGCACACATATACGTAAATAAATACTTCCTTTCAGTGCATCTCCATAATCTAAAGTATTCTTTGGTCAGATCATAACTTATCATAATTTATTTTTTTGTACAGCGCTACGGAATCTGATGGCGCTATATAAATAATAAAATAATAATAATAATAATCCAAACAATAAATATGCAGGTAATCACTAGCTTGGCTTTATGAGCAAGAAGGTGGTATCTTAGAAATGCACTCTGGGATTTCAGACCTTTAAATTATGGAACACTGACCGCCTTTCCCAAATTCATATCTCTTAATGTTGGGAGGTATAAAGATTGGTGCCCCCACAGAGCAAGAGTAAGGCCTTTAAATCATGGAACTCTGACCGCCTGTCCCAAATTCATACCTCTTAATGTTGGGTGGTATAAAGATGGCTGCCCCCACAGAGCAAGAGTAAGTCGAGGGATTTGATTAAATGTTTTTACCTTATATGTACTCATGACAAAATAATACAAAACAAGTCTATATTCCATAGAATCTTTTCTTTCCAATGATAGCATTAATTATCACATGTATCCTTTAAAATTTCAATGTATGTATATTGTATGTGATTAAAGTTTATTAAAGTTTAATTTACAGAGAAAGAGATACGATTGTTTAAGGTAAATTATATCTCATTGAAAGTGAAACCAGTTTTTTTTTCATGCTGGCTGTGTCAGTCAAAGCTGGGGAGGTGTGACAAGGGCTGCAAAAACAGAAACAAAGTGATTTAACTCATAAATGGCAGTGATTTGAGCAGTGAAACCTGAGAGGCACGATCTATACACTAAAACTGCTTCATTAAGCTAAAGTTGTTTAGGTGACTATAGTGTTCCTTTAAGGGTTATTCAAAGTGTGAATAGATTAATATATGTATCTATATTCATAGATTGCAAGCATAGATTTGTGCAAATCCCTCTTCTTCTCTTGTCTCTGCTATATTACCTGTTGTTAGATATCATCATTTTATAATTTTACAGCGCTGAGGAATATGTTGGTGCTATAGAAATGCTAACAATGATAATATTGAACACTGACAAAACTGTCACAATAATCTTTGGAACAGTACCTAAATTACACAAATTACACAATTCCCACCTATCCATCAAAACAAATTCAAATGGCACACTGACCGCAGTCCACTCTTTCAAATACTTGGGTATTATGTTAGACCCCAATCTATCTTTTGGCCTGCACATAGAAAAGCTTGCATCTAAACTTTATCAAAAACTAGGTGCCCTGTGCAGAAACAAATCCTGCCTAAGCCCTACAGTAAAGGATAAGATTGTACAGCAATGCTGATGCCAATCATTGATTATGGGGATGTAGTATATGCATCTGCATCGCAATCCCACATTAATAAACTCAACAGATTGTATAACTCGTTCTGCCGATTTGTGCTACAATGTAATTACAGGACCCACCATTGTGACATGCTGAAGGAACTAAACTGGCTATCACTGGAATCCAGACGCACCCTTCATCTTTCCAGCCTTGTATTTAAGAGCTTTTCTGGGAAGCTCCCACCGTACCTGAACAAAATGCTTTCCTGAGCTGTTCCCACTTTCTATAAGCTCCGATCCAGTACAAGCACTTTACTTAGTCTACCTCAATACAAAAAGAAAGCGGCCCGATCCTCCTCCTCCTACAGAGCAGCGCAATTGTGGAACGACCTCCCGCACAATTGAAAATCTTCCCTAAGCCTAAAGTCCTTTAAGAGATCCCTCTCTACATGTCCCAAAACAGAATGCACGTGTCATGGTTGATTATATATTTCCTGCCTGTTCTATGTTAAATTTTGTATTTATTGTGTATTAATATTGTTTTTGTATTTTATTGTACCTAATGTAACAATGCAATGATTTGTGGACCCAGGACATACTTGAAAACGAGAGAAATCTCAATGTATCTTTCCTGGTAAAATATTTTATAAATAAATAATTAAATGGCCAGCCCTCAGTGACCCCTTTTAATTGTCTCACCCCTTTTTTTAAACAGGTTCACCTCTAATGGCATTACTAGTGACATAAAAAGGTGTCATTGGCACCCTACTGGCTCTCCCTCTGCCTTCTCAATTTGTGTTTTAAACTCTATATTTCCATGTGTCTAAAGTCAGGAAGTACCCAAATTCCCGTAAGATGCTTAATGTTCAACGAATCTCATCATTACCATTATCTAATTAACCAATAGAATCATCTATGATCCATCATGATTGTATCATCATACATTCATTATACATTTGCCATCTTGACTGCATCATCATAAATTGTGTTAACAGTGTTTGGGCGGTTTGTTACTTGCTCTTGACTTTTGACTCCTCCTGAATTTATAGATATAATAAAAAAAATAATAGTATACAACCTGGAATAAAATATATAATGCAGAAGGTTTCTGGTATTGGGCAGAAGAGCTGACAATCACTACTATCCAGCCTGTAACATGTGCAGCACAGTGCTTTGCTTGTGAAATAACTTTTAGCAGATCCTGTTAGGTGAAGATCTGTCATCACAAGCTTCTTATCTGCAAGATATTTTTTCATTGGCCGCTTTTATTGCCTTTGATTCATTCCTGTGAGAGGACCCAGTACCTTGGATTTTTCGGAGCCCACTGTCTGTCTTTTTCAACAATTCAAAGTCCTGTTATCAGCCGTCAGGGCCTCAAAGGGCAGAGTTATGGCCTAGTTAACAGGTTATCAGAGAGATGGTACACTGCTTCTCTTCAGTATTGTCACATTAAGCCCACATGATTTTTAACTGTAGTATTTTCTCCTCTTGGCTCTGAGAACTGAACACTGAAGTTACTGAATCCGAGTGATAAACACTGTGTCGGTACATACGTTGCTGATCCAACTGACACTCACAGGGTTAATGTGCAATAGCCTTTACTGTATAATATAGAAATATTATACAGTGCATTAAAACAATATATAGATATTTTATTATAGTGCATTAAAACAAAAACAAATATATAAAAAAAAATGCTAAAAATAATAATAAGCATGTATTTGAAGTCCCTGCATTTGCTGCAGCTCTTAAGTGAGTGCTCACTAACCCACAACGTTCCCAATGCTTTCTTTAATTACTATAGCACGGCTGATCTTATTCTATAATTGGCTGAGGGATGTAGCAGTGGTTTCTGGGAGTGGTAGTTCAAATGTCTGCTACCGTAGTGGGGAAAGGGATGGAAACCCTGTTAAAGGATAGGATTGTTGAACATCTAAAATCGCATGGATTTCAAGATTAGAGACAACATGGGTTTACTTCAGGGAGATCATGCCAAACTAACCTTTTGATTTTTTTGATTGGGTAACTAAAATAATAGATCAGAGTGATGCATTAGACATTGCTTACCTAGATTTCAGTAAGGCTTTTGACACTGTTGCACATAGAAGGCTTATCAATAAACTGCAATCTTTAAGTTTGGATTCCAATATTGTTGAATGGGTAAGGCAGTGGCTGAGTGACAGGCAACAGGGGGTTGTAGTTAAGGGAAGCTTGGACTTGTCACCAGTGGGGTACCTCAGGGATCTGTACCTGGAATTCTCTTTAATATTTTTTTAGTGATATTGCAGAAGGTCTTTGAGGTTGGGATAACTAAGATATGTAACAATGTTAGATAAATCAAATCAGAGTTGTGGCAACTGACATTTAATGTGGATAAGTGCAAGATAATGCATCTTGGATATAAAAACCCAAGGGCAGAGTACAGAATATTTGATAGAGTCCTAACCTCAACATCTGAAGAAAGGGTAGGGGGGGATTATTTCTGATGACTTAAAGGTAGGCAGACAATGTACTAGAGCAACAGGACATGCTAGCATAATGCTTGGTTGTATAGGGAGAGGTATTAGCAGTAGAAAGAGGGAAGTGCTCATGCCATTGTACAGAACACTGGTGAGACCTCACTTGGAGTATTGTGCAGTACTGGAGACCGTATTCCAGAAGGATATTGATACTTTAGAAAGAGTTCAGAGAAGGGCTACTAAACTGGTTCATGGATTGCGGGATAAAACTTACCAGGAAAGGTTAAAGGAACTTAACATGTATAGCTTGGAGGAAAGACGAGACAGGGGGGATATGATAGAAACATTTAAATACATAAAGGGAAACAACACAGTAAAGGAGGAGACTATATTTAAAAAAAAGAAAAACAACCACAACATGAGGACATAGTCTTAAATTAGAGGGGCAAAGTTTTAAAAATAATATCAGGAAGTATTATTTTACTGGGAGGGTAGTGGATGCATGGAATAGCCTTCCAGCTGAAGTGGTAGAGGTTAACACAGTGAAGGAGTTTAAGCATGCATGGGATAGGCATAACGCTATCCTAGATATAAGATAAGGCCAGGGACTAATTATTATTATTATTATTTTATTATTTATATAGCGCCAGTAAATTCCGTAGTGCTGTACAATGGGTGGACTAACAGACACGTAATTGTAACCAGACAAATGGACGCACAGGAACAGAGGGGTTGAGGACTCTGCTCAATGAGCTTACATGTTAGAGGGAGTGGGGTATAGTGACACAAAGGGTATAAGTAGGGGTAATGAAATAGGTTGCTAGAAAAGTAATGACTGAGAACTTAGTAGGTTATTTTTGACAGTTGCTGGAGAGGAGTCATGGGGAAGGGGGGATGAAAACCTGCTAGCAGTTTAGATAATATGCTCTCCTGAAGAAGTGTGTTTTCAAAGACTATTGAAAGTATTTAGAAAATTGTGCAGACTAGATGGGCCAAATGGTTCTCATCTGCCGTCACATTCTCTTCTATGTACAAAACGAGCTGTAACCTAAACTACACACTGTACCTAACTGTGCAGATACCTAGAATGTCCTGTTATAGAAAATGTCCATCATATTTTGTATTATTATGACTTGTGTGTATATTTTATTTTGAAATGATTAATTAGTCATCTCCAGGCTCACCATTGTTCTATGGGGATGGCCATCTATAGGTCCGCTTTGGTCAGACGCACAATTTATCTCAATGACATAATCTTAAAAAACAAAAATATCAGGTTGCTGGCGTAACACAGTTAAAGGGACACTCTAAGCCTAACATAGTGGTTGTGTCAGTAGAGTTGACAGGCTCCTTGCATCTACAATAAATACATTCAGAATTGTTCTGTGTGGCTCACCTCCCTCTCTGTCATCTTCTGATGTAGTTTGCTGCCTTATCAGTGAAGTTGACTTGACCTATCCTTCTTTTTAAACTTAGTGCCTCTAAAAAATACAAAGAAATCATGTGTGTGCTTTCTCCTACTCTTCATTAGGAGATGAAACATATAACAATAACAAACACTAAGTGGGACAAATGAATAAGTAGATTAAATGCGTCTCCTCACCTTAGTAAATGTTGCCAAAGTGCTTACGTGGTTTAGGTATGCTGCAGAGTTTAGTATAATACACACTTACCACTGTGTTTCTGAGGTGATCTGGCTAAGCATTATTTTTCCAAGATTTCCTGAAATTACCCATATGTGTGTTTATGAATCATGGGACATTTGGAATTTACATCAGATGCCAGGCTGTGCCAGAGTAGCCTTAAATCAATACAAAACAAAGTAAATACAAGCAAAGAAGCTGAACCAGAAATAAAATATGAAAACGACTCTGTCACCTTCTGGGGGCTTTGCATAGACCCCACCCCCCCCATGGGGATATCGCCGCTGGGGGGTCCTGTGGACATGGGGGAGGGAATGCAGAGATTATCTGAACCTGTCTTTCGTGTGCACAGCCATTCTCTTCCCTCTTGTCCTCTTCAGCTCCTGCCGCTTTAGCTGCCAAGAGCCGACATTAGCGTTGTACTCTTACACATGCGCGAGAGTACATCATTAAGGTCTATGGAGGATCCCACGAGGTTGCGGGATCCTCCGTAGAGATAGCTTTTTTCCATAAAGCCATTACTGGTGACGGTTGGGGTAAATGACGAGCTTGACAGCAGTAACTCTGCCTTTTTGTCAATCTTGTCAAGCACAGGAAAAATACTCAGACAAAGTAGTCTCCACTTTGTCTCAGTATATTCTACTGGGTTGAAATTACAGTGATATTCCAGCACAGCCAATCAGAGTATTTAATTGAGATCCTATCTTTATGAAATACTCATTTTTGATGTGGGGTGACAGAACCGTTTTAAACAAAATAATCTTTTAGTTACCCATGAAGTGTCAGTAGTACTTAAATGTAATTAAACAAATCTTTAACTCTCTTATAATATAATCCCTTCAAAATACCATATCTCTTTGAAAGCTTTAAAATATTGCAGAAAGGGATTAAAAATACACAGTGTCAATTTTTAATCCATAGGAGCCTACTGAACCAGCCAGGTACTAATTGTAAGCATTTTGGGTACTTTATACCAGTGGAATTACGTAATGGTTTAAGAGTGTTCATTCATTCTCTCTGACTCGCTATTTAATGAGCCCAATAAGGATGTGACTTATGGTAATACATCAAGCATCTTGCCATCTCTCCTAGATCTTCAACAGTTCAATGGTTTAATAACTTAGTAGTTTGAGTCAAAATTATCCTCAGATGAAACTGTGATGTTTTTTGTTTGTCTGGTTGGTTTTCTTTTCATATGCCCCTTGTATCTTAATGATTATATTGCCTCCTTACCATTCACCTTTATTTATAATTAATATATTTCCTTCCCTGTTCCCAATCTCAATATCTGAGCGCCACCATTTTGTTCTCCTCTGTGTATAATGTCTGCACTTTTCCCTTCTGCGGAATTCTTTTGACTGGTGGACTGTGAATAAATTAGCTTGATATCGGAAAGCAATCTTTACCCTTTGCCAAAGAATGCCAAAGATCATGCTCAACGTAACACATAGTATTCACCACTTTATCTTTGGTAATAAAATCAAACACGAACTAAAGTTAATATAAAAAAAAAAAATCAAGGGGAAATAGTGGGAGAAAAAAAAGATTCAGTAATATAATTACAATGTGACATTGCCGCATTAACGATGATTTCAAATTTTGATAGAAGTTCTTAGAAAGAACGTTAAAAGACCTTAATGAAGTGAGGAGTCTCTTGACACCACCTTAACTAACTAAGTTCAGTGGCTTTTGAATGGTGTCACCTTCCCTGATGCTCATCTTCCCTGCCACCTACAGTCCTTTTTGCAGCCGCCACTGTAAATATCAGTGGGCGGACATTTTTTCTGACACTTTTCACCAATCGCCACTGCCCAAGCCTAACCTACACAGTGCATCTAAAGTGTGTGGGAGCCTGGAGTGTCCCTTTAATAATATAAACTCACCCAGTATAACTAACTGTAACCCAACCTACACAGTGCATCTAACGTGGAGCCTGGAGTGTCCCTTTAATAATATAAACTCACCCAGTGTAACAAACTGTAACCTAACCTACACAGTGCATTTAACGTGTGTGGGAGCCTGGATTGTCCCTTTAATAATATAAACGCACCAGTATATCTAACTGTGCAATCTAACCTACACAGTGCATCTAACGTGTGTGGGAGCCTGGAGTGTCCCTTTAATAATATAAACCCACCCAGTATAACTAACTGTAACATAACCTACACAGTGCATCTAATGTATGTGGGAGCCTGGAGTGTCCCTTTAATAATATAAACCCACCCAGTATAACTTACTGTAACCTAGCCTACACAGTGCATCTAACGTATGTGAGAGCCTGGAGTAACCTAACTGTAACCTAACCTACACAGTGCATCTAACGTGTGTGGGAGCCTGGAGTGTCCCTTTAATAATATAAACCCACCCAGTATAACTAACTGTAACCTAACCTACACAGTGCATCTAATGTGTGTGGGAGCCTGGAGTGTCCCTTTAATAATATAAACCCACCCAGTATAACTAACTGTAACCTAGCCTACACAGTGCATCTAACGTATGTGAGAGCCTGGAGTGTCCCTTTAGTAATATAAACCCACCCAGTATAACTAACTGTAACCTAACCTACACAGTGCATCTAACGTGTGTGGGAGCCTGGAGTGTCCCTTTAATAATATAAACCCACCCAGTATAACTAACTGTAACCTAACCTACACTGTGCACCTATCTTGTGTGGGAGCCTGGAGTGTCCCTTTAATAATACAAACCCACCCAGTATAGCTAACTGAAACCTAACCTACACAGTGCACCTAACGTATGTGGGAGCCTGGAGTGTCCCTTTAAAAATATAAACCCACCCAGTATAACTAACTGTAACCTAACCTACACATAGCACCTAGCGTGTGTGGGAGCCTGGAGTGTCCCTTTAATAATATAAACCCATCCAGTATAACTAACTGGAGTGTCCCTTTAAAAACAGTTGAACATTGTGAAACATTGTTAAATCCACCGATAGACAGTTCTTAATATAATGTGGCAGCAGCTTTTCTGATTCAATCTATCAATACCATGAGTTGAGTCCTGTCTTGGATGGACCTTCCAACAATACGCTCATAAATTTTGATAGATAAGAAAGTACATTGTAGATGCTGGGCCCCAACAGCGCTGGAGGGATTAAATAAATCCTCTTCAGCTTTGTGGATCCATCCATTTTACTTTAGTGTGCTCATTTTGTCTGTAATGAATCACCACCACCAGAGGAGCTGACAATCTAATGTGCTGCTGTAGGCACAGAAAGATAAAAATTACCTTTCCAAGGTCACGGAAAGTTGAGTCTTGAAGTCTTGCTCCTAAATCCTTAAGCTATGGGAACATTTGATTTTAGTGAACTATAACCCTAATGCATCATGCAGTGGGGGGAAAAGGGAGGAAGGATTTTCCGGCAGAACTGAGAAAGAAAAACTTGGTGAAGTCATGTTGAAAACACACCTTATAAGGTGGCCTGTGATGGATATCTAGAATACAGGAATCCCCCACACAGACACTTGGAAACTCAAACAAAGAGATTCATGGCAAATGAGTTAGAATAGAAAAAGAGGATTATTCAGTTCTCGGGAAGAGAAAAGGAAGACGCACATTTTAGGGCAAGTTTTTCCGCCTGGAAAAATAAGCTGGGAAGTTCTTCCATATCAGATGTTATAATCTAGAACTTTGCAGCATCATAGTCAGTCCTCCTCCGCACAATCACTAAAGGGTGAATTGTACGGAATTGAAATCTGAAACTTTGGCAAACATATCTGATCTGGAAGAAAAACTCCAACTCAACCAGAGCAGCAGATTGGATGGTTCTGCCATTTGGATCTCAGTTTGCTACAATTCATTCATAAATAAATACACCATAATGTAGAGATTTTCACTTGTTTTTAACTATGTCCAACTTACTGCTGCTTATCTTATCATTAAGGATAAAACAATTTGAGACTGGGATGACATTTCTGGGACAAAATCTGTAACTGAGAGTAGAGCGGGTATTGCAGTTGGTGCATTAACTCAGTGACCTATCCTAACTGTGGCTTTGTTTTTTTACTACTGGGAATTCATTCAAAATAAGCAGAGAAACGTCATATGAACAGTTTAACATTATACATGCACATTATTGTCTTGTGATTGCACCTACAATATGTGGGTGTGTAAAGTGTGCCTTTAAGTAGATGACAATGTGGAAGGCTATATGGACCAGTGGAATGCTTACTGGAATCTATGTTATCCCATCGTATTATCAGTGTGACCACTTTTTAATTAATTGTATCTTGTTTTTATAGCCAAAGAGAGCTCCCTGACTCCAAACAGCGACCCACCAGGAATGGAGAGTGGTTACATGACCAGCAAGGAGACTTCGGGAAAAGGATCCCAGGACAGAGGGAGTGGAGATCTGCCCATCGATAAGACTGAATCTGAAAGCAACAAAGGAAAGAAACGAAGGAACAGGACTACATTTACCAGCTACCAGCTGGAAGAGTTGGAAAAAGTCTTCCAAAAGACGCACTACCCTGATGTCTACGCTCGGGAACAGTTGGCCATGCGGACTGACCTAACAGAAGCCAGAGTGCAGGTACATGATGATTCGTAATATGTTGACTAACATGCCCCCACCCAAAAAAATAACAATAATAATAAAAATAAGAAAACGTATTAGGTGCCTTAGAGTAGACCTACTGCTATAAAATAAGATAATTCTCAGTAAGCCGTTAAAAGAAACATCTAAATGCTTTCTTTTGAAGTTTAGTAACATGTCCACAGCATCTTTTGTAAAAAAAATCTTTGTAACCTTTTTTTTGACCGATCTATGGCACAGTAAAAAGAGTACCAGCATTAACACCGTAAGGAATTGATATTCTATTACACTAATATAACCTTTAAATGAGCAGATTTTACGGTGACGTAGACCGTCTCGTCTGTGGTGCCAAAGGACAATATATAGGTAAATACTTTTAACGTTTTCTTCTGGCCTTACACAAACTCAGCACTTACGCTGGGAAAAACTAACGCTGAAAGTGTTACTTTACGCTATGAGGTCAGCAAGTTAGCAGACTAGTCTGACTGCGTGTAACTCATTTTACGTGCTACACGGCTCTTTACGGGTACAATAAATCGACCCACTTGTTTTAGAACAACATGTTTACCTCTTATATTGTTGAAGTAAAGTGATGTCTCCGAGCTGTGCAAATGTTGTTCCTTTTGCATTGAATAAGGATTGTGTATCAAAGTCCAAAATTGTTGTTTTATTTTTATTTAAGAGAAATCCCAAAAGATTCAGTCCCATGCCCCAAGTAATAAATTTGGCCCTATAGGGATTTAATAATGATGTACCTACGTTAAAGGTTCAATTTTGATGTTATAGGTTTTTTTTGTAAAGTAATAGTAGCCATGATTTAGTAAATAGAAACATAGAAACATAGAATGTGACGGCAGATAAGAACCATTCGGCCCATCTAGTCTGCCCAATTTTCTAAATACTTTCATTAGTCCCTAGCCTTATCTTATAGTTAGGATAGCCTTATGCCTATCCCACGCATGCTTAAACTCCTTTACTGTGTTAACCTCTACCACTTCAGCTGGAAGGCTATTCCATGCATCCACTACCCTCTCAGTAAAGTAATACTTCCTGATATTATTTTTAAACCTTTGTCCCTCTAATTTAAGACTATGTCCTCTTGTTGTGGTAGTTTTTCTTCTTTTAAATATAGTCTCCTCCTTTACTGTGTTGATTCCCTTTATATATTTAAATGTTTCTATCATATCCCCCCTGTCTCGTCTTTCCTCCAAGCTATACATGTTAAGATCCTTTAACCTTTCCTGGTAAGTTTTATCCCGCAATCCATGAACCAGTTTAGTAGCCCTTCTCTGAACCCTCTCTAAGGTATCAATATCCTTCTGAAGATACGGTCTCCAGTACTGTGTACAATACTCCAAGTGAGGTCTCACCAGTGTTCTGTATAATGGCATGAGCACTTCCCTCTTTCTACTGCTAATACCTCTCCCTATACAACCAAGCATTCTGCTAGCATTTCCTGCTGCTCTATTACATTGTCTGCCTACCTTTAAGTCATCAGAAATAATCACCCCTAAATCCCTTTCCTCATATGTTGAGGTTAGAACTCTATCAAATATTCTGTACTCTGCCCTTGGGTTTTTACGTCCAAGATGCATTATCTTGCACTTATCCACATTAAATGTCAGTTGCCACAATTCTGACCATTTTTCTAGTTTACCTAAATCATTTGTCATTTGGCTTATCCCTCCTGGAACATCAACCCTGTTACATATCTTAGTATCATCAGCAAAAAGACATACCTTACCATCAAGACCTTCTGCAATATCACTAATAAAAATATTAAAGAGAATGGGTCCAAGTACAGATCCCTGAGGTACCCCACTGGTGACAAGTCCAAGCTTCGAATATATTCCATTAACTACAACCCTCTGTTGCCTGTCACTCAGCCACTGCCTTACCCATTCAACAATATTTTAATCCAAACTTAAAGATTGCAGTTTATTGATAAGCCTTCTATGTGCAACAGTGTCAAAAGCCTTACTGAAATCTAGGTAAGCAATGTCTACTGCACCACCCTGATCTATAATTTTAGTTACCCAATCAAAAAAATCAATAAGATTAGTTTGGCATGATCTCCCTGAAGTAAACCCATGTTGTCTCTGATCTTGAAATCCATGTGTTTTTAGATGTTCAACAATCCTATCCTTTAACATGGTTTCCATCACTTTCCCCACTACTGAAGTAAGGCTTACTGGCCTATAGTTGCCCGACTCCTCCCTATTACCTTTCTTGTAAATGGGCACAACATTCGCTAACTTCCAATCTTCTGGGACTACTCCTGTTAACAATGATTGGTTAAATAAATCTGTTAATGGTTTTGCTAGTACACCACTAAGCTCTTTTAATACCATTGATTGGCATACATTCATTGCACAATTTCTTTATGTTATATGTAGTAATTTTGTTATGCGTTTATGTTTGTGAATTAGTGATGTCTCGAACTGTTCGCCAAACGGTTTGCGAACGGTTCGCCGCGGACTCATCATTGAGTAAACTTTGACCCCGTACCTCACAGTCAGCAGACACATTCCAGCCAATCAGCAGCAGACCCTCCCACCTCCTGGACAGCATCCATTTTACATTCATTGTGAAGCTACATTGGCTGGAATGTGTCTGCTGACTGTAAGGTACAGGGTCAAAGTTTACTCAATGATGAGTCCGCGGCAAACCTTTCGCAAACCGTTTGGCGAACAGTTCGAGACATCACTATTTGTAATTATTCAGCGTTATGTGATGTTTGTATATATTTAAAATGAATTGCAATACAAATAAAGATTTAAATAGTTGGAATCACTCTAGGTTTCCCCCATGAAACTGCCTATATTCTAATTTTTTTACAGTCATATTTCTTACGTTTTATTATACAAAAGTTAGGCTGGGTAAAGATAACCCATTTCTTTGCCACTTGGTTTTGCACTTATGTTGGACAGCAGCACCAGCATTCTATGCCAGCCTAGACACTATGCTGCAGAGTCTGCAGATACTTTATCCAGCCGCCGTGATATCCTTGCTTTGTATTAAGTCCAAAGGAGGGCTGGCAAGGGGAATGGGGCACAAAATGAAACAATACTTTGTAACTGAGGCCTTATATTATTATTATAGTTCTTGCAGAATTAGTATAAAATAGATATATGTTAAAATTGAGAAAGGGAGTGGAGTTTGCTGGTCTGATCTCAAATTGGGTAATTTGTTGTTGCCCCCCTAAGCAGGATAAATGCAGCCATTCCATGATTATGTCTGTATTCTGTTTTTTGTTTTGCCATTGTTGCAGTTTGAAACTGTTTATTATAGAAATATTCAGTGTAATAAAAGAGAGTAAGTCACGTTATAGTTTTTACTGAATGGTTTGAGCCTCTGGGAACAGTATATACACTATGTAAGCAAATAAAAGGATAAAGGGATTAAAATAGTGAAAACCATGTATTCCCTTACTAATTCTAACATCATCTCACATCCATATGCAAATTAACAACTATATCGGGGAGGAATGAGTTTGCATATGGTTTTGTGTATTTTTGATTCTAACCCAATGTGTAGGTATGATCTGGCACCAGGCAGACAATGCTGGCCCGCATCTCCCCCAGTGCCACCCATGTCCTCCCCTCAAACGTTTCTCCTTAAAGGGACACTATAGTCACCAGAACAACTACAGCTTAATGTAGTTCTTCTGGTGAGTATAATAGTTCCCTTCAGGCTTTTTTTTATGTAAACACTGCCTTTTCGGAGGAGGTCCTGATTGGCCGAAATGAAATTTGGCCCCGTCCCATGTTGATTTTAGCCAATCAAATGCTTTCCCTATGGGAAAGCGGTGCTGGAAATAAGGTGAATTTTAAACTTTTATAGGGGAGCTAAGTGGCAAGCCACCTCAATGATGGGTTAAACACTATAGAATCAGGAATACATGTTTGTGATTCCTGACCCTATAGTGTTCCTTAAACCACAACAAAGGATAGAGAGGGGGGGGGGAATAGAATGTTCCTTAAAAGAAAATCCTGAAAAATGGTTTTACTTTATGTTTTCATTTATCAAAGCATCAAATAAAAAAAAAAATTATTGTGACAGTGAACTGGATTTATTTTTCTCATGTTTTTAAGTTTGTTCAGCTATATACGTATGTAATAGCAGTAATCCTATCCAATGAAACAATTCATGATCACTGTTAATTTGTTATGAGGTTTTACGATGACGCCCCTATGGATATTACTACTATTCTGACCTGGCGTAGTGAGTTAAATATGGCTTTATTTTATAGCTCAGCTCACTGCTTCATTGAGCTCAATTTGCTGTACGTTAATGTAACCAGCAGCAGACAAAATCCTCAATTCTATATACTAGTACAGTTCCCATGCATTCCTAAATCGTAAGAAGTGGTCCCGAAGGGTTAAATGAAAGCGTTCTCCCAGAGGAGGCATGAATAAGAAAACAATTCGTAAAACTATTTTCATTGTTACTGTTTTTATACATTTGCTTACAGTGATAAAAATATAGATATATATATCAAAGGTGCAGTAGAAGGGATCAAGCTCTTTCTGGACTACCACTTAACGGTGGAGGCTAGTCCATGGAGGCAGCTTTTTGTTGCAATAAAGTAAAGTAAATATATTGTTGTGTTAAGGATTAATGGTAAGTGTGTGTTGGACAAAATTATGTTGTGTCTGTCGTGATGAGTAGTTCTGCCTTTTAGATTTGAGAAACTAATCATGTCAATGATTTTGACACGAACTGGAAACTGCTCCATTTTCAGATATGTTTAGACTGTTCTAACAAGATTTCTGACATCCCCCATTGGCTTTGCTTTGGGACGTCAGATCATGGAGACCCTAAAAGACAGGCTTGTGTATGGTCCTACCTTCTAGAACTGTCATTGGAGGTTTATCAGAGCCTCTTTAAAGTGGTGGTTATGTCCCAGATATGTGTAGCTATAGGTTTACGCTGTTGAATAGGGTGGATCCCAGAAAGTCAGGAGGCAAATTCATATTCTGGGAAAGACTCTAGTATCCCACCATCTTTAAATGCCAGCTATTGTTACGTAGGGCTATATGGTCTCTTTTTAATATGTGATGGAGTACATTTAGCTTTTTTTTGTTTTACCATCAGTCACTCTGATTTCTTACTTTTGAATTTGTAATTGATTCTGATTTCTGCCTTTGGTTGAATTGTTGAAAAGATCTATAAGTATTGTTTCCTCCAACCCCCCCCCCCAAAAAAAAAGACAGCACAAACCAAATTTAGTAATCACCTTATAAACTTTGCTCTGCTATTAAAGGGTTAGTTCAACCAAAACCTGGTTTTAGATGAAATAACCCTTCGCTTCCTCAACCACCCTCTCCGCATCTTAAAGAAAGCAAAACAAAACGAAAAAAAAAACGTTTAAAATCACCTTACGCTCCAGCGATGAGGCCAAGTTCTCCCTCAGTCCGATCTTCCTCCACTGATGTCACTCCCCCTCGCTGAAGAAATAGGGAAGTCCGTGAGGGAGGGTTGAGAGGAGGTCAAGGATAGCACAGGCAGGGGGGCCTGCTGTGATTGGCTGTCTAGTCCCAGCATGGTGTGTGTGGTGGCGTTAGACACCAATTGTAAACAGAATATTAGAATTAATTAGCTAATGACACTTAATGAAACTACGCTGCCAGAGAAGGGTTACACCTCCGGCAGCAGAGTAGTTAATCTCCACGTGTGCTTCATTCACAGCGAAATGCTGCATATACATACTCCAGGCACCATAACCACTTCAAATAACTGAAGTAGTCATTGAGTTTGGAGTAACCTTTGAAATAAATTCAGTAGCAAAGCAATTAAATCATTTTCTTAGACGAGGTACTGCTCGGTTTTCTTGGTGAATTGAAAACAGAATTTCAAAATTTAGGTGAAACACTTTATGGTTTTCTATATATTTTAAAAAGCCATAATCCACTTTATTGGTTAATAAGTAGCCTGTGAATAATGGTAGTAGCTGACCTCAAAGCTGTCTCTGCCATATGCTACAGCAACAACTGTATTACAAATCTTATAAATTGCTCCTGTGCAAGAGAGATATAGACAGCAATGACAGCAACAGGATTGGCCAAGTGCTTTCAGCCACTTCCTAGATTATCCTGTGGTTTTGCAGCAAACATAGGGACTCTGATGTGAGTACATAGTTAAAATCCTTATTAGTTTTATTGTATTTATCTTATTTACAATTACAAAATAAGAGTAAGTTGAAGTTCCTATCTTGGATTCCCTTTAACGAAACCTACCAAAACTTCTCAATATTTTTCAGGGACTTTAACATCAATTATTTAATAATGATTTCACTTTATCCAAAGTTTGTAAAAAAAAAAAAAAAAAACGAAAGAAAAATATTCTATAAGTCTGCGCAGCCCTTGGATCAGACATTTGTGCGTTGGGAGTTCCTTTGCTTTATTCAGCAGGGAACAATCTACAAAATATATATTTTTCTTCAATAATTACTGATATTTCCTCTTTCGCCCACTCTTTTAATTTCGAGACTTTCGGTTGATCTTCCTCATCTGTGGATTGACCTCTGTCCTGCGTGTGGATATTTATAAAGCTTTCTCTGCAGATCCGTTCTCTTTCAGGATAAATGGAGATTTAATATCTATCGAGACAGCTAGATTTAGCCTTGTTTCAAGCAACAAATCTATCTTCCCCTGGTCTTCATTAATATCGCACTACCTTCCATATCTCTATCATTTATATAGTTAAACATTGCTCTCCTTATCTTGGATCCTTATTCTCTGACTATATTACACAGATATTATTTTTTTAATGTTTTTCTGGGAACCCAAATTTTGTTATTTTTTTAACAAAATCGGTGGTTTACTGTTTCATGGTCTTAGTGCTTGGAGCTTAGCGGACGTGTCGCATGACTATGCTTTCTGAAGACAGTTCCCCGGTGTCTTCACAAGCAGGACATCAGGGAACAAAGTTGGAACTCGTTGCAGGACCCTGAAATCGGGAAAGTCCCTACATTTAAGCAAATTGCTGATTTGGAGAAATTATTCAAGTCAGATATAAACGCTTCTTGAATTTTAGAGCCTTAGTTTTGCAATTTGCGAAACTGAGGGGAAAACTATCTTGCCATGGTGTCATAACCTTTTGTAAAGGTAATTCACACTTTAATAAATAATAAATAATTAACTATAATGTAATTTCTAACAGAAACTCTACATAATAGCTAACTTGACCCTTTCTGTAATGTGGCTGAAAAATTTATGATCTTCTGTTCTGCTTAGAATTGAGAAGGGTTTAGATGGGTTCAACCCATGCCTCCCAAGTGTCCCTATTTAGAAGGGACTGTCCCTATATAGTGATCAAATCACTTTATCGTTCTTTTCTATCCTCTAGAATGTAAGCTCATTGAGCAGAGCCCTCCACCTCGCTGTTCCTGTACGTCCAATTGTCTGGTTAAAATTGCATGTCTGCTAGTCCACCCAATGTACAGCGCTACAGAATGTGATTGCACTATATAAATAATAAAATAATAATAATTATAATAATGTCCCTCTTTTCTAGGAGCTCCATATTGTTGGTGTGACTGAGTGTAAACGGAGTTCCACAGCAATAATACTCCCAGCAATGTGTGTTTAAACTACAATAAATGTGTTTAGAAATTAGTCTGTGTAAATATGATACATTTCTCTCGTTTTAAATTACATTTTAGTTCTATAAATTGTTATTGGTGCTAACAAGCCAAAACCTGGCCACGTCCCTAAAATCAAAATATCCGTCTATGTGTGTTTGAAATGTTGGGAGATATGATTCAACCCAACACCGAGACATCATTGACTTTGCGGGGGGAGTGTGCTTACAGGCTGCACTGCGCAGTGGGCGTGTGCTTATACACCATCATTCCACACTCATGGCCACACTGAATCAACTGAAAGGTGATTTCCCTCTGAAGGCCAGTTTATTTAATAAAAGGTGTGGGAGTTCCTCCCCAGTGAAATACTGAACTGAAACTTAGATATATATATTTATCTACGGCCCCTTTTAAATATGTTTTCTATCTGCAGGACATCAATTCCTTGAAAATCTTTGTTTTTGTTTAGTTAACCTTGTGCTTGTTTCCTAAATCACACTAATCAGTCCCATTCAGGCATGTCTTTAAAGCCTTTCCAGCCTGTCCGTCTTAATATGTCACAATTCGTTAGGATTTTCCCATATTTACAGCAGTACAGAATATGCAGGTTGTTATGAAATAGATATAAAAAAAATGATGATCACCCGGCCTTCAAAGATTCTGCTTTATTCGGTTTTTTGCTTCATATTAAGTTAAAAAAAATCTATTCAGTCCCTTTGAGTTTTCCCTTCATTACTAGTTTTCTGTCCTCCAGCAAATTAATTTCTTTATACCGCGCGGCAGTCCTTTTCATGTCCTGTGTACAGCAAAACATGGCATCCATATTGGTAAACAGAAATTAGAGAATGAACCCAAGGTACACCAGGATTTTCACATAACAAATTATTTTTATTCATGCAATATCATAATAAGATATACAGATTTCAGAAGACAACATGCATATAATAGTGCAGATTATAGCCTTCCTCTGGGGGCCGAAATGTCAGGGCTGTTATTTCTCCTGCTCTTGGTCAGTATTCCATTTACATGGGTGTTGGTTGACAAATCTTTTGAGAAATCTGTATTATTATGATATTGCATGAACAAAAATAATTTGTTATGTGCAAATCCTGGTGTGCCTTGGGTTCATTTCCTAATTTCTGTGTTTATCTATATATATATACCTGTTGCGTGACAGGTTTTTCCCTTTATGAGCACCCAGTACCCTGTATACCACATTACTTATCAACCCTCTCCGGTTGAGCTTTTCCTATAATTGTATGTCCATACTGGTATATGCTGAGGGTCCTATATTAACTATATATGTATGCAATAGCAACAAACACTCTTGGCTAACCTCTTGCACTACTGCTGGACCATAGTTTGAATTATGCTTATTGAGGGTTTCCCATAATTCTCTGTTTTGTTGAAGTTACGGTATGTCATTATTTACCCATTTTCACAACTTTACTGAATATTAATGCGTCAGCTTCCTCAAATGTTTTTTAGTTGGGTTCACCACCCTTGTTCCCATTGAAATCAAATAGGAGCCAACCCAGGCTCAAAATAAATAAAATAAAAAAAGATAAATAATTGGACCAAAGGAGAGAATCATGGGGAAAGCAGGGTAATTAGCATGAAATGTCCTGTCTATGCCGTTTTGGTGAACAACAGTGTTGTCCGAGTGTAATTGTATTAATTGAAAAAATATTACAAACTAGGGTGCTGTGAAATACATTGGGGCTTTATTAACAATAATAACAAGTAACTCATTTTATAAGCTGGTGGCTTAGAGAAGACTGTGGCTTTTCAGATCTGTAAATGTATCGAAATTTCGAAATTTAGCAAAAGTAGCTGATTTGGGAAAATTCTCAAGCTCGACAAGACAGAATTTTTTGCTGAAATTTTGCAGTTTGTTTTTCACCAAAAATTCAGTGTTTAGCAAAAAAACAAACTAGTGTTTTTTTTTTGTATCCATCGTCTGTGAATTGATACATTTAATCAATGGCCTTACAGTTTCATGGGTCCTTTGTTTCTTCTTTCTTATAATTATCCTTTTTTTGTTCTGCTTGCTAAACTTCATTCACAGTGATCTCTCTCTCTCCACTGCCCCTTCGTCCCATCCCCCATGAGCAATAGGGGGTAGGTGCAAAGGAAAAAGACAGCAGAGGCTGCAGGAAATTAAAAATATAATGAAAACAATCATAATCTACATGACCCTCTCATCCCTCACTGCTTTCCCAAGGCAGGATGCTAACAATGTCATCTCAGGTTTCCAGCCGCCCTCTCACCCCCCTAAATAAAAGTGTATATTGGGGGTGGGAGGGGGGGGAGTAGCTGTAATATCGCCATGTGATAAATAGCCCAGTTCTTATCTTAATCTGACTGTTTTGTCATCCATCCTGTGACCCAATTCAGACTCCAGGGGCCCATGTGGATGTTACACATACAATTTAAATGTATTAACAGTGAACACAGAACTTTAAGAGCCACATGATCCTCCTATTTAAAATGAGATACAATGTATGAGATCTGAGGAATGTGTTGGTTCTTTTTTTTGTACCTGTTTAGAATATTGTAGATATTGTTTATACATTTGAAGGTACATTCAAACAGCAGAACTACTACAGCCTACAGTCCCTGGTGCCCTTCATAAGCAAATAGCACAGTTCCCAAGTGTCCCTATTTAGGGGATCATTCCCTATTATCAGCCCAAATCCCCTTGTCCCTCTTTTCTATCCTAATATCCCTCTTTTCTTTGTTAATGTCCCTCTATATTGTTGGTGTGTCTGAGTGTATAACAAGAGCACTACAGCAACAATACTTCCAGTAATGTTATTTAAACTGCAATAAATGTGTTTAGAAGTCTGTCTGTGTAAATAAGATACACTGTTCTTGTTCTAAATTACATTTTAGTTCTATAAATTGTTATTAGTAAGTAATCTAAAATGTCTCAGAACAGCCCTGCAAATGACCACAGCCCACTCACACCCCAAAATTGAAAGTGTACCTCTTTGTCTATTTGAAATGTTGGGGCATATGAGGTAGTGAAACCATTTAAGAGCAGTTTGACAACTAACTGAGAGTCCACTTGGTGCCTGCTGCCTCCTCCACTACAGCCGGAAGCTCTGCCACTGAGCCAAGCCTGGCAGGTGACACTCTCATTGATCTAGCCTGGCATGGCAGAGCTAAGGTCAGTGGAGCTAACAGAAGCTCTTTGTTAAAGCTTCCGACTCCAGGAGATGCTCAATAGGCACTTAATGGACTCCAGGCAAGTTGTCAATCCATTCGTCAATGTTTTGACTACTTACACTGAGAGGAAGTTAGAGCACTCAAGACACCATAACCACTACAGTGGTCTGTAGTGGTAATAGTGTTTTGTGTTGTCCTTTAATGCATTGGCATTTAAATGGTCAGCTTCAACCCCTTAAGGACCAAACTTCTGGAATAAAAGAGAATCATGACATGTCACACATGTCATGTGTCCTTAAGGGGTTAAATGTCTTCATAACAGTCACGACACAGGATGACACTGTGCTTATTGGAACAAAGCATTTTAAGAAAACATTTGTTTTGTTTAGAGTAACCCTTCCTATTCTGCCTCACCTCCCAAACTTAAAAAAGATGAAATTTATCTCTGTTCCGGCTTTGTTGACTGCCAGACAGAGGCCAAGTTCTCCCATTAGCCTGATCCTCCTCTGTTGATGTCTCTCCCCTTAGTTGTCGAGGGAGGCATAAAGGGGGAGTACAGGCTGAGGAAAGGACATCGGCAGCACTGAGGGGGAAGCTCTGCTGCTATTGGACGTCTTTCACCAGCATGCTCTGCGTCCTGATGACACACTTTTAATATGCACACAATTGATATTAGCCAGCTGTAGCTTTAGTTACAACTCCGGCAGCAACGGAGTTAAACTCAGAATGCGCAGCGATTCATAGCTGCATCGTGACCATGTCAAATCACTGAAGTGGTCTTGGTACTTGATGTAACCATTTAATAATAGTAATAATAGTAATGTTAAAGCAGGCCTTTAGGATTTTGGGGAAGTGAGGGTAGAATTTGGCATGGGGAAGGTTAGGGGGTAATTGTTTCCAACATGCAATGGATTGTAAACAACTCCTATGATCTTTAGCCAAGTGAAGCTGATTCCTAGCATGCTCATTAATCAAGCATCATTTAAAGAAGCTGGGCCTATTTGGTAACGAGACCTGGGGTCCTCTGAGCCAATGACAGAATAATAGTGTGCGGTATAATCTGTGATCATAAGTGATCACTGTTATTTCCATGCACCATTCGGTGACATTGCTGGTCACTAGTGATAGATAATGATGAGATTATATGCCTGGTTTGGGGAACCCAGGGCCTCTTCTCTAACAGACCCAGCTTGCTTCTCTAAACTGTGCTTGATTGATGAGCCTGCTCGCCATATGCTGTACGGGCCACAGTCTCAATGAACGTGCTTCTGTGCTGAAATATTAAATAAACACGTGGTGATTAATAGGAGGTAGGACATTGTAAATACCCTCTGGGAGAATCTTGCAGCTACCAATCTGTAAATTACCTGATATTAACCAGTATAATCATATCATCATAAATATAGACACGTGCACATTATTTTTATTACAGTCATATGTGTTTAATAAATGCTCATTACTCATTATTGATAATATATATCCGCTCAGTGTTTATTCTATCTATATTATTAATTCTTTATATTACTCTATAGAACTTCATAGACAGAAAGATTTCAATATAATTTCTAATTTACTAACAACTTGCTATTTAATTAGTAAATATCTACTAGCTCTAATTCCCTTTTTGTAAGCACATCTTCCTTTTTCCACAATGTTCTTCTGCCATCATACAACACTCCAGAATATGTAGGCTCTATACATGCAAACGGCAACACTAACACAAATCTTTTTATACTACAAGCCTAAATTGCACCTTTCACTCTTGTCTTCTTTCCAAGGTTTGGTTCCAGAACCGAAGGGCAAAGTGGAGAAAGAGGGAACGGTTTGGACAGATGCAGCAAGTACGAACTCACTTTTCATCGGCCTATGAGCTGCCACTCTTAACCCGAGCAGAGAATTACGCCCAGGTGAGTTATTTAGTCGTCTGTGTTGTTATTATTACCGAACTTAGACTTTCATTTAATATTTTAGGATGACCTCTTCAAATGAGTTAATATTTTCCCACAAACGTTTAAAATGATTGCTTTCAATCAAATAAAATATAAAAAAAATATATAATATATAAAAAAAATATATCAATATATTAAACATATTAAAATAATCAAAATATTAAATACTTTTAAAATTGTATCCAAAAATAGTAAATCGAGGCCTTAATCATACTGAGAAGATCGAAAGGCTGAGTTATTAAAGGGTCAGGTCAGATTTACAATCCTAACATGCTTATTTACTAAATTGCCAATTCAGAGCTAATTCAAAGTGAATTAAAAATTTCAGACCAAAATATCAGAATTGGAAAAACCAGGTATGTTTCCTGATTGGCTACTTTGGCCTAAAACTTTAAATTCACTCTGAATTCTCACTTCATTGAATAACCATGTAAGAGTCTTCAGTCGGGGCACTAACCACTGAGCTACCCAGATCTCTTCTAGTTCCAGTTTACATTTTGATGATGACAGAGGTTTTTACAAATTGGCTGTGTACACCTATACTCTATAGAATTACAGCAGAAATTGGATTAAGAGTGAACGTATCCACTTTTATTAGGGAAAATGTGCCTCTCCTCCTTATTTAAGTTGGCATTGAGTGTATAAACATAATAGAAATGAGGGGTTTTAGTTAAATGATTTACTCTCTCTCTGCTACAGCCATAGAAGCATCCCAAGTGTTTTGTGGACAGATGGCTTAATATTATTTATTAAGTACACCACCTTTATTCAGTAGCACTGTACAATGCTGCTGCCAAAACCCTTTTAAGAGTAGACAAAAAAAAAAGCACCTCCCAATTAACACCTGAACAGTCAGCTGAAAATGGAGATTTTTCTAAAAAGAAGGGGCGACCTATCCTGCTATAAAACCATTATAATATCAATATAAATATATGTAAAGTAACCTGTAAAGTGTTAAGTATACTTGTTACTGCTACATAGATATAATATACATACCCCTTCATGTGCGGCCACGGAGGTATGCTTTGCGGGCCGGGGGGCCGCAAAACATGGCGGCGGGTACCCGGTCACAGGGGTCCGCAGGGCAGCCGGGCCTCCTGGAGTGACAGGCATGCTCCCCCTACTGTAATGTAACCTGTAAAGTGCTGAGTACACCTGTTAGCGCTATATAAATAAAATATACATACAATGTATACCTACTGCACTTACTGTACCTCCCTCTACTGTAATGTAACCTGTAAAGTGCTGAGTACACCTGTTAGCGCTATATAAATAAAATATACATACACTGTATACCTACTGCACTTACTGTACCTCCCTCTACTGTAATGTAACCTGTAAAGTGCTGAGTACACCTGTTAGCGCTATATAAATAAAATATACATACACTGTATACCTACTGCACTTACTGTACCTCCCTCTACTGTAATGTAACCTGTAAAGTGCTGAGTACACCTGTTAGCACTATATAAATAAAATATACATACACTGTATACCTACTGCACTTACTGTACATCCCTCTACTGTAATGTAACCTGCAAAGTGCTGAGTACACCTGTTAGCGCTACATAAATAAAATATGCACACACTGTATACCTACTGCATTTACTGTACCTCCCTCTACTGTAATGTAACCTGTAAAGTGCTAAGTACACCTATTAGCACTATATAAATAAAATATACATACACTGTATACCCACTGCACTTACTGTACCTCCATCTACTGTAATGTAACCTGTAAAGTGCTGAGCACACCTGTTAGCTCTATATAAATATAATATACATACACTGTATGCCTACTGCACTTACTATACCTCCCTCTACTGTAACATAACCTGTAAAGTGCTAAGTACACCTATTAGCACTATATAAATAAAATATACACACACTGTATACCTACTGCACTTATTATACCTCCCTCTACTGTAATGTAACCTGTAAAGTGCTGAGTACACCTGTTAGAGCTATATAAATAAAATATACATACATTGTATACCTACTGCACTTACTGTACCTCCCTCTACTGTAAAGTGCTGAGTACACCTTAGGGCGGCTCCATAAATAGGAAATCCATTCGAGAAAACCTGTACTTTGTGGTTTATACACTAAACTCCGAATTGTAGCAGAGAGGCACCCTCCTCCCTCCCTCCCCGCCCCCCCCGCCCCACTTGTGCCTCAGTTAACTTTATTTATAGTTGATTTGATAGTTTTCACATCCCTATTTTACATCACTACGGAATATGTAACAAAGTAAACATTTTGGCGACCTAAAATCACCACCCTGAGAACCACTTATCTACTCATATCTTACAGTGAAACATACAGAGTCTAAGATTATCAGCATTATTTACTAACGTGAGAAAGTTAAAATGAATTTAAAGTAAATTTCTGATTTAAGGCCAAAGTAGCTGAACGGAAAGCATTTTTTTACCTTAAATTTGGATTTGACTTTGAATTCACGTTAGAATTGTCACTTTAGTTAATAACTCTTCATATTTTGCCTCCAGACAAAAAGTTGTGTCATATTGTCATCCTTTGCAAGAAATTACCATGTCCTTATTAGATGTCCTTCACCCTTTCCTAAAATCCCAGCAGTGTGTGCACCATTAGGCGGGCATGAGAACGTTTAATGGAGAAAGGGGTAAAACAAGATTCTGTGGCGTTGTGATTAAGGCAGCTTTGATTCCCCGGTCATTTTGTATTTAATCAGTATCCATAAAACTAAGAGTGAGCGTAAAAAGGAATGAGTTGTAAGAAGGGAAAAGGTCAAATGTTTGACGAGCAGGAGGGCTGCTGAGAGACTTCTGGAATGTTCTGCTCCATAGTCCACATCTGGTGCTTTTCTGTTACATTCTTTCATTTCATAATCTCCCCCCCCCCCAGCTCATTTATTCCTATGGGACGTGGGGGTGATCTCTGAAATATGAGCTGCAATCAGAATGGACATGGGGTGCGGGGAAGAAATCAACGTAAGCCTATCAGCTCTCTGCTCCCCTGAAAGAATGGCTAGTGACCTATACTGGACAACTGTCATGGGTTTCGGCAGACAGTCCCTAGTTTCAACCTTGTTCCAGGTCTTAACTCTAATCACAACCATCTAGTTAGTATTGGCGAAAAACGTTGGCATAGCAACTGCTGTAGGAAATGCTTTCCCATGATGCTCCACAATTTGTAAAGCTGGCTGAGAATCATGGGAATGGTAGTCTAAAGTTTGAGTGGATGGCTTTGGCCATTATTATCCTGCGTCCCAAGTCATATCTGGTCAACCTCAGGCTCTCCAATCATTCAACAGTATTTTATTGCTCTAAGTGTCTATTTAAAGGGTTAACAGACTACGTGCCCCCCAAATGTCTTGTTTGCTGGCCATTTATTATCTTCTTAAGAATGGGTATCTATAAATAGCAATTCTGGGTTAGTTCTAAATCTGTGGCAATCACCATGGAAACCAGTGTGTTTGAATGGTCTAACAAATTTCATTGGTTTAATGTTGATGGCACCCATTTTTATAGAACTACCACATTCCATTGATTACCATGATATTTAAACAGCCTTCATCCCGGCTCGGAGTGATCCCCAATATTAATCCATAATAAGATTACGTATGACTGCAAATACGCAAAACATTTTTTTTAAAAAAGGGGTTCGTTTCAGATTATTATTTAAAAGGTCCTGCTGCATTTGAAAAAAAGTAAACATCAGCAGCAGATAGCCCGCCCCTCTCCAGGAAGAGTATCCACCAATCAGGAGCCTCTCAGTCTGGTCTGTAGGGTCTGATCCTGTACCAGTGGCCCAGGCAGGTGGGGTCAAACATTGTGCGCTGCGGCCCGCGTGCCCTGTGTTTGAAGTGATACACACAGTGATTGTAGCACCATTTCACTGTTATCAAGCTTTGCTATATATTGTTTTTATATTACGCATGCACATCCTGCGCTCAGGTGGACGTTGAAAGTCTTCCTTTGACGTTAGAGGGAGAAAGGGTAGTATTTTAGCTGTAATTAGACAGGAACAGAGGACCTTGTTGAACCATTAAGATTGGTACTCATTGCTTTGAGAGAACACTCGAAGCACCATAATAACTACAGATTGCTGTAGTGGTTATGGTGCTTGGAGTGCGACATCCCACAGGAAGATGCCAAACTTTTTTAGCATGTCGTGACAACTATAGGGGCTCATGTAAGTTGTCACGACATGCTAAAACAGTTTGGCATCTTACTTCACATCTGCCATAGACGGTCATTACGAGAAGCTGTATTGCGCTGTAGAGCAAAGTAAGCGAATGCAGGACTACGCTCATTGGTCAAAACAGCTCAGCTGACGCTCTCAGCCAGTGATTGTGATCTTGCTCTAACCACTGATTCCTTCTCCTGAAGATGATTGGAGCGATGGAAACTGCGCTAAAGTGGTTTGACATCGTACTATGGATCAGTGCCAGGGTCAGTGCTAGGCGTACTTACAGCAACTGCAGGAGCTTCCAACATAAGGAGCCTTTTTAGTTTTCCTGTTATATTAAAAAATACTCCAACCACCATAACCACTATCATGCACTGTAGTGGATATAGTGCCAGGAGTGTCATTGCACCCCTCCAACGTAAGTAATCAAACCACTTGACACCAGTTTGACTTATTACCCAGAGTCTGCCATGTGCCACTCATTGCCTCCTCTTACCTGGAAGTAAGAGGTGAGAGCTCCTGCTAGGAGCTTTAGTTAGCTCTCCTGAAAGCAAGAACAGAACTTCCCTTTGAGAGGAAGCAAGGAGTTGTGCTTAACAGACTCCAGAAAGATTAAAGTCAAACTGTTACTAAATGGTCTAGCTACTTAAATATGGTGCCAGAGCACTCCTGCTACAATAACCACTGCAGTGCGATTAGGATGTTTGTTTAACATTATTATTGCACATATTTTTTTATGGATTATCCCTGTAGCGCACTGAAATCATGAATTAATTTAACCAGGAGTTTGTCAAAAACTTTCAGGACCCTTTTTATGTCACAATAAATCTGTTTGGGATTATGTCCAATCTCAGCCCTGTCTATCGCTTTTTCTGTGGAGAGTCCCTATAAACATTAATATTAATTGAGGGGTAAAAGCTTACATTTCTAAGAACCAGTGGATTTGTAAAACACTGTAAAAAAAATAAATAAATAAAAACACCGGTTTGATCAAACTGTATAAACATTATAAACAGCTGCACGTTTTAAAATATCTGAGTGAACGTCAAACCCTGTAAAACAAACATTGGCGCTCTTCATCGCACAGAACATGCACTAAGCGCAGCGTGGGTCGCCGTGTGCGCAGGGTTAAGTGGGTTTGTGCTTTTAGAAGCATTGACACGTGAAGGGTTAAGAGCTGCTGAAAAGCGCTGTGTAATTTATTTGACTTTGAAGCTCCTGTCACAGCATCGCCCAGATGTGGAGACACGTGGTAAAAGTATTTGGGATGCATACAAGACACAGATCATGATAACAGGCGTGTATTTGGAGAATATTCCTGTACATGGAGAACTGTTAACAATAACGCATTAAGAAAGAAAAGGCAGTAAGTGTCAGTTTTGCTTTCCAAGCTTGTTGTGGGAAATATCCTGTCCAGACCCAAAAATTTGTACTGTAGAAATATTGACGAGGGCGCATAACATATTTCTGGAAAGTTCTAGTTCCCAGATACTAAGCTCCTTTGAGAAGGGCTTTCCATACATTCTGTATGGAAATTACTTTTCAAATATCCCTATTCTAGAATTGTACAGCGCTGCGGAATATGTTGGCGCTTTGTTAATGCTAATAATAATAATTACATTAAGAGTAATTTATTATCATGATTAATCACTAAAGTGAGAATGAAAAGTGAATTAAATTTTTTTAAGAACTCAAAGCATAGCGGAGAATTTTTCCAATTCGTCTATCTTGGCCTTAAATTTGAAATTCACTTAGAATTTTTGTAAATGAGTGTAATCTGACCCACAGTTCTAGTTCTGTGAATGTGTTTGCTTTTCTACCGCCGTGGGATGCGCTCCTACCATCACACACAAAGATTTTTAAAGGAATTCAACCTAAAAGTTCAAAACACAGCCTTTTACTTGTGGGTTCAAATTTGACTCTTCCCCAAACAACTTGTTCAGCATGGCAGTTACAAAGAAATATTAGAGGGCAGATAAATTCATTTAATAAACTTTATAAATAATTGTGTAGCTTTTGAAAGGCTAAGGCTTGAGGAATTTCTAAGCTATCTCAAAACACGAGCTTATGCATTCACTCCTGTCTTGTTCTCAAAATACTATTGATAATATCAGCGTACTATAGTTTGCTACTTGTTTGGTTAATTGACTCAATGTTTCCAAAAAAAAAAATTACAATTCAAAAACCCTATGTAGAATCCTTGTAGACACTGTGGGCATAGGCATGATCGTAAGATAATTCAAATCTGAATCCAGTTTTGTGGGTAATAAAAAGTTCCCTCTGGCACAAAGAAGATGGGTTTTAGCTTTGAAAATTCAGTCTAATCTCGAATTTCTTATATCATGTTCTGTTAATAGCCCATAGACCCTCCTGTGTTATTAGAGTGGCATTTAAAGAGCAAGTTAACATCTGATTGAAAATGAAAACCCTAAACACACACTTTGAATTTCATTGATAACTTAAATCTAACCTCAATTTCTATCCCGATCAAATAAAATCCCTAAACCTAACCGTGCATTCTCTCCCTAACTCAAATGCTTCCCCAATCTGTTTTTGTTTGTGTTGTTTAGATAACATCTTGAGGGCAATACTAAAATGTTGCATTAAAAAAAACAATAATTGATACTGCACTCAAAATAAAGCAAAAAGATGATATTTAATCAAAGATAGTGAATCAATTTCATATATATATCAGATATGTACAAAAAATGTGAAAAAAGGATACTGTAAATGACAAGTATCCTATGGCAACCAGTGTAATATCATGTAAAATACACGGTATCCTTACAAGAGTTAAATTCATATGAGTATAATAAAAGTTAAATTCATATGAGTATAATACACTTAGAAGTAGTATGAGAAATTCTCAATCTGGATTATTGACCAGTGTGGACAAAAAAAGTATATACAGTATATACAATATATACAATAATGGAAAAAAGTAATAGAAAAAATAGAAAAAATGAACAAATTCCTTAAAAAATCAAAAATGGAAAAAAGAGAAAAAAAAGAAAAAAGGAAAAAAAAAGGGAAAAAAGAGAAAAAACTAAATAAAAAAATAAAAAATAAAAAAATGAAAAAAGTTGTATATACAGTCACCAGTGTGTACACACTATTGTATATGGGTGGATCTCACCAATATGCTTTGCTGAGAAAGGAAAAGTCCAGTTCTAGATGAAGTTATCTGAGTTGCAAATTATAGACTGTTCCTCCTATTCCTCTCCTGTTGGTTGAAGGTGATGGATATAGCAGGTACTTGGCAGATCCTTGGATAGTCCGGGTCAAATATGTCCAGAGCGTGGACTTCTTGTAGACTCTTGTACAGGATAAACGGGCTGCGCGCTCGGGACCCTTCAGCCCCTTCAAAGGCCCTGTGTAAAATGTTGCATTGCCATCCAATAAAGTCTGCATCAAGACATAGAGGGGTGTAGGAGGTTGAGTCCAAAAATGACTAGAGAGATAAAGCTTTTCAAAGCCTGTTTTAAGAATAACACTCATTTATATTGGAACTCTTAGATTGGCTGATTCTTACAATGGACTTCTGTAGCCCATTCTAATTATCTGTGTTCTTCTTCCTACTTGCAGATTCAGAACCCTTCCTGGATTGGTAATAACAGCGGAGGTTCCCCAGTACCTGCCTGCGTAGTACCCTGTGACACAGTCTCATCCTGTATGTCTCCTCACACCCATCCGCACTCTGCTGGCGCAGTGTCCGAGTTCCTCAGTGTTCAAGGAGCTGGTGCTCATGTGGGTCAATCACACATGGGAGGTCTCTTCAGCAGTGGGGCCATGGGCCCTGGAATAAATGGGTACGACTTGAATGCTGAGCCCGACCGCAAGAGCTCCAGCATTGCAGCTCTCAGGATGAAAGCCAAGGAACACAGCGCAGCTATGTCCTGGGCCACATGACAGAACCACCAGATAAAACGGACATTAAACCATGCCTTACGGTACAGACACACAACGCACCACAAGGAGACCTTCTACATAGTTTCCCCAAAGACTAGAAGCCAAACTTGACAAATTTTGAAACGTCTACTTCTGAAGAAGTGCTGGGAATTCTGCAAATTGGGTTTGCAGAGGGCAATAGAGGAAATATTCTGTACACTGACAATCCAAATATTAAGGTTACTAATCAGGGATCTTTCACCCCAAAGACAAGGAGGTCAGCAAAGTGTGCGCTAAAAACCAAAAATCTGTCATCAACTGCTCTTCCTCATTATTACTACTTGTAGTGCCCTTCCAAACACCCAACAGTGCCTTGAAGAGGGGATAGTGGAGTAATACAGAGAATTCCTGACATCCTAGTGGGCTGGAAAACCCCTGAAATATCAGCCACTTCTTTGATTTTCTAGACAGTATTGGAAGATAATTTAAAGTCCACGGGTTGTACCATTTCCAAAAAGACCCAAGAGAAAGGCTTCAAGCAGTGCAGGGAACAGCTGCCAATTTTTGCAGATGCCATCAAGATCACATTTTGTCCCCCTGTTCATGTTCATAATATTTGGAAATTGGATTGCTTTGCTTTTAATTATTTTGTTGAGTTTTTTTTGTGTGTTTTGTTCTTTTTCTCTTTTCGCATTTCTCTAAAGGGTACAAGGGGAGTATGGGAGGGTTGGAAAGGTCCCCATCTCTCCTGTTGAGATGAAGGCAGCCAAAGAACCCTCTCAGCTAAAAGGTCAGTTTGTAGCCAGTCTGCCTGTTAGTCCACCAAATGTAACAACATTTTTAGTCAAAAAGACAACTGGTAGGTCTCAAGCTGTTTTTACGTGGCAGAAAATGGTGGGAGGTTTAGGTCACAAACAGCAGGATAAGTGATCATTATCTACATATACAATAAGTCAAATTGAAGTTCAGGAGAGCGGATGTATGGCATCAATGTGTCACCTCTCTGCAATTTAGAAATTTGTAACTTTGAGGTTACCCTATTTTTAGTGGATTAAGTGTTCTCATCAACCTCGGCATTAAAAGGTTTTCTTGTTTTTCAAAGTCTTGGAAAATCTCCAAAGAAACCATTTCTGGTCAGTGCAAAAGACAGAATTTGGCTTGTAAATTTCCTCTCTCCGCAGTCGAGTGACACTGTTCGCCTCCTGGGTCAGCTGAGGTTTTCTAGAAATTCATACTTACGTTTAGAAAATAGGGCAGATCAGAAAGACGCTAAGACAGGATCCTGGGATTTATGGAAGAGGCGTCGGCTTAGAAAACCTCTCACTTTTTCCAGTGTGCTTTTTATTTTTTTTTAACAGATTATTCTCAAACAAGAAAGTTGGGTACTGAAGCCGAAACAAGCAACCTTTAATTAATCCGTATAAAAGTCTCTAGTGAAGTTGTACACACAGAGGGATTCCTTTAAACATTTTAACTGTTGGTCTGTATCCAGAATTTCTGGACATGTCACGTTTTAAGAAATTCCATCACCTTACAAAATATGACAAACCGAGCATAGAAAACCAAAAATGACCTTGTTCGTGGTCTGTAAACTAAATTTTCTACGATCTACCACGTGAGAATTGCATTTCATAAACACATGCCATAGTTGTCCATCTGTGTCTAGAAATTTTAATTTTCCTAGAATGCCACTCTCTTCCTCTTCCGGATTGGCTACTGAATATCTTTTTAGAATGTTCTGCGACTTAAAAGGAACGGGGTTGCAGAGTTCCATAGATAAAGAAAAGATAGGTTGAGATAAATGTCTATAAGAATTTCAAGTGACCAACAAAAAACTTCTACACAATTTTTCTGCTAATTTTCCCTATTTAGATGGAAGGTTCTCTTTAATTTAAGTCAAGTTAAATAGAGGCATTTGGGATCATATACTGCTTTCCATTGGTTGGCTTTTATCCAGAAACTCTCTATGCATAAGAGCTTATAAAGTCCATCCGTCTACTCTAGATTGTGTTGGAGATAAATATATTTGGTTCCATTAAAATGTAACAAGGAAATATAATCCTAAAGTGAATTTGTAATATGTTCCATGAAACCTGTAATTGAGTATAAAAAAGAAAATCTGCCAAATACCACAAATTGTGACATACTGGATGTGATTTCACAAAGTTTGGAATGTCATCTATATGATTAGCTAGCTCACGTTTCCCTTGTAATAAGATTGGTTAGACTCAACTTATAGCCAATTTTATTCTTTTCAAATGAGTGCTTGCATTCATTATGTAGAAATTGGGTCCTATTGAGACTGGATGTGTACCACTAACTAGTACGCATGGGAAGAGACCCATCTCAGTGATGTCACGTCAGTACCAAGCTGTGTTAGGGACCTTTCCAAATGGTATACTAATGGAGTAGCCAGTAACTTTTAAACAGCATAGATTATCTATAGATTAATTCCTGCATCGAAGGTGTAGTTACAATGTTAATTTGAAAAAATACCAGCTAAATTGTAAATTTAAATGAGTTGTTGGAGGCCACTTTTTAAGAAGCACCAATCTAGCGTTTTGAAAACATTAAACATCGTGAAATATGTGGATTTGCTGCTGCAGATAGTGGAGCTCAGTTAATGTTTTAGCAATTCACGTGGCATATACGCAGGGCAGATATAAACGTATTGTCATTTCTAATAGGTACATGGCAGTTGAATGCATAAAAGAGACGGGGGAAGAAAAATAGACTTAAATAAGACCACACGAATGTTAAGAGGACTGATCAATTCTATGGCATTCATATATCTGAATGGTTCATAATGCCTTCGTATTAATTGCTTCTATAGGAAAAGGCACACAAACATATTAAAATGTACAAGATATGGAACTTGACCGCTATATTTTACCAGTGCGGGAATTTCTGCTTTTTGGAGCAAAATGAGCTATGAGATCTATACAAAATATAGGAGGAAAAAAATAAATCCATTTGCAAAACATAAACGCAAACGGTTAGGAAACAAAAATATATCTAGAATTTCAATCTCACACACTGCTAAGAAAATTTAAAGACTGATGTATACTAGATATCTGCAGGGGAATGGCGAACGTGACTATAATGTAAATTAATTTGTGCAGATCAATTTCAATATAATCTAAAGGTTTTCGAGGATTTCATACTGACCTCACTATTTTAAAAGCGAATGTCAGCTAGTTTCCTCCGCCGTGTTCTGTAGCATTGGATCCTTCTTTAAGTCTGTAGAGAGGTATCTATTTAATACTACTGATTAAACATGCAGTGCCTTGCAACAGAGAAATAAATACCCCTTAGGGAGCGAAAGGAGGAGGGTGAGTGATACAAGGAGTGTGAGAGGACATAACCTCAACGACAATTTGCTCCTCTCTCATGTTTTTCCTATGTGATTGTATTTGCTTTGCTTAACAAAGAATGAGTTGGACACATTTTAACACTAAAATATTAATTAAAAAAAAATAAGTTGTATATAGGCTTTATCGCCATCTCTATATGTATTATACACCATTATTGCTATGACTTATTAAAATGGTGATTCTTGTAACGGAGTCTGTTTTGTTTTTTTATTAATGATATTTTAACATTTAAGAACGTTAAACCCTTTAAGATTTTTTTCTTTTTAATTTTGAAAAAAAAAATTATAAAAATATATAACTTAATAAATGCTTATGCAAACTTGAGAGAAAAACAAAAAGAAGCATGGCTGGACTAAGAAGCCTTCAGTGCTCTCAGATTATAATTTTTGGACAGACTAGATGAGCCGAATGGTTCTTATCTGCCATCACATTCTATATCATTGTGTCAAAGGGTAAATGGATTCACACTTGACCTTCTGGAACAGGAAGGTGTACGCTATGAGCGCCAGGAAGAAACAAATTTTTTGGTCAAACCATGGTGAAATATAAAAAAAATAAAATAAACTGTAAACTCATATAACCATAATCAATACAGTGAGCTGTAGTGGTTATGGTTCTTAGAGTGTCCCTTAAAACATTCATCAGTTAATTTGCTAAACAGATAATTGTGGAGAATTAAATAAGGAATTATTATTATTACATTTTATTCCAAGTTGGCTGAGCTACTGCAGTGGAGTTTAAACATTTGTTCAATGTGTGTAGTCGGACCTAAATTTGCGTTTCCAATACTTCTGTTTTTGGAATGACTTTGTCCATTATTCTCCGCTCACTATCAGATCTGAATATGTCCAACACACAGTTCACTAAGCTTGAGGTTATTTGTATAGCAGTGGTATCCAACCTTGACACTCAAGCACTTATTAAACTACAACTCTCAAAATTATTATCCAGACGCAAGTGAGAAATTAGCCAGATTTTACAAATTAAATTTGTATTCACTGCAATTCAATGTGAACTGAATAAATATCCAAGAGCCAGACTTTAATAGCCCAGTAAACATGCAAAGGCCTATAATGAAAGGTAAAAAGGATGAAATAAAAGATTGAGAAATGAAGGATATGTAAAAAAAATATAGGACAAACTCATCCCTACCATTAGTAGGTGACAGGATCCTTGCACCTTGGGTCAGACAGTGTTTAAAATCAGTCTATATGGCAGAAAAGACCATAGAGACTGTCTGTATTCAAACACTGTCCAATCAAAGGTGCATGTACATGGCTGAAATATATATTATACTTTATTTAAAAAATAATCTATATCCTTAAACACACTTGATAAAAGGATTATATTAAACATTGCTTGAGGCGACAGTTGTCCTTAAACTAACAAGGCTCAGCAAGAGGTGGAATCACTAAGGGGGAAAAAAAAAATATAGAAAAGACCGTAGAAGAATTGGATATTCAAAATGGTGGCCCTGAAATTCCTGGTTCTGAACGTAATAAGAAAAGAAAAGTGGAGAAAAGAAAAAAAGTGATTTTTTTGTATACTTCTGCTTGTGATCTGACAAAACCATATGTATAAATAGTATTTGCTGGGATGAATACCCTCTACAAAGATCAAAAAATAGAAATGTGCCAAGTCCTCTTTAAGCGCTCCAGCCATAAACATATTGGCGAATAAGCTCATGAAAGTGGAAGGACATGTTTGGTTTTACTTAGGAACCGAGAGCTGGAAGCTGTGAATCCGGATGTGGAACCAGCTGAGCTTAAAAGAACTTTGATGGATAATTCCACTCTCAGAAGAATGTGCAGTAATCACCACCTCTCTTAACCCCATCTGGCCCTCCTTCACCCGCCAGATTTGTGACAGGTAATATATAATTTGAGAGGTCGAAAGACAGAGGATACTTCTTGGCTACACCCTGAAAATGCCCCTCTGAGCCACTGACAATGGATTAGTACAGCTCTTTGATTAAGAACAGGAGGCAGTTGTCTATGAAGAATTGAACCAGGTGTTAAAAAGTAAGGGGGGGGGCTGGTTCAAGAAGCCCCCTAAATAATGCATTACAAATTCTATTGAGGGAAGAAAGACATTTCAGGAATATGTACTATTTTCTATGAATAACAGACACCCCACAAGAATAGAAACATTTGCAGTAATAGGAAAAACTAGGAGCAGAGAAAGAAATACCGCAAGATTAATGACACAGTAAAACACGGATGCTAAATGTTTAAAATTCTTAGAATTTATTTCCAGTAGTGGTAACATTTTGAGTCTTTTTCCACTGCATTTTGGTTTCCATTTATTGTAAACAGGGGGTATATATCCCTTACATGATCAATATAGTACAATAGACAGCAAACGGCATGAACACACCCAGTGATACATACAAGGAATTGCCAAACTACATTACACAGTATGCACCCATTGACCCTAAAAGTTTGGTGTCAGCCCTCATGTAGCACTTTAGATGCAATAAAACTACAAAACTTTGCAAATGTTAGTCCACTGTTAGCCTTCAAGCAGCTGTAGAGCAATCTGCAAAGCTTCACATGAGATCTGTTCATTAACTGTTGTAGGCCTATTGTTGGAATTGCAACCTCCTCTGCAACTGTCTTTTCTGGAGGTGATAGGGTTAAAACAGGGGTGCCCAAAAGGTAGATCCCCAGATGTTGTAAAACTACAAAACCCATGATGTTTTGCATGCCTTTAGAATGACAAAGCTTCATGGAAGCTGGAGTTTTAAAACATCTGGGAATCTACCTTTTGGACACACCTGGGTTAAAGAATTCCGACATTATCTAAAAGTTGCAAAGAATGCACATGATCTTGGGGTTTATTCACTAAACAACAATGTATGGTGCAATCATAACATTCAGACCAAAAGAGGGTTGGCTTGTATGCCTGACTTTCCTTTTGAGGTCATCAATTGACTGTTTAGCGATTAATCAATTTTTCATTGTGGATGACTACATTTTTCTAAATTTATTTCACAGACAAACAGTAGTACACATTGCATGTTACAACAGAATAAATGTGATCTTTTAGTGTTAAAAAAATAATGTTTAAAATTCCATCTATACACAATCTGCTTCTTGAACCGTTTAATACATTACCTTTTTTTATTAAGCAGATGAGCAACAAACCAAAAAACCCCCAAAAATGTTAACATATAAAATATAGTTTGCATTTTTTTAAAATATATTTCTAAAAATGCTATTCCTGATGCATTACTGGTCTCATGTACCCAAAATATCAGATTTCCCAGCATTCTCTACACCAAACTGCCTGCTTCTTGTAACATTTTTGCCGTCTGTTTTAAAATTGGTGCAGAATTTAGGATTCAGAATGAGGGTGAAATAAACGTTGCTGACACTATCCTTCACCTCAATAGTTAAACCGTAAGAAGGGAGGGGGGGCTCGCAACGGGTTAGGTGATGTTCGCTCCAAGTAGGGGATAGTGAGCTGGATTAGCCATGGTCTGGAAATCTCAACCATTAATTATAAAAGTAGAGTAGGAAAATAGAGGGTAATTCTTTAAAATCAGGGGTCTCCAACCTTGACAGACTACCTTACTTTGTGATACAACAGCAGCTGGTAATGAAAGTCAGATGTTTACATACTAAAAGGTAAGTTGTCATAAGATGGCCACTGACTTACAAAACCTGGAACATGTTTTAAAATTCAGGATGACACCTTGCAGCTTCACATGGTCACCGTTACAACAATAAACTCTAAACATTCCCAAGTACTTTAATTATATAGAAGAATTATGGCAGAAAATAAGCATGTCGGCTGCTGTGATCGATACCACAACCAGACTTTGTGGAAGTGTCCTTCAAACCGTCCGTAACAGAAGTGTAATTTTAACGTAAATGATGGAACGTTACAAGGAAATAAGAAGAGGGCGTATTGAAATTATATAGTAAGTCGCTAGTGCTAACATTGGTTGTAGGACACATAATTCCTGCGTTCTGATGGGTAGGGCTATGGATATGAAATCAGTGAAATAATCAAAGCAGTTCCTTTGAAATCCAAGTAGTGATTAACTAACCAAATTCATATCAGCAGCTCATAAAATTCAGTGTACGTCAGGCAGTGTCTTCAAGTCGTGTCACATATAAAAAAATAAAATTAAAAAAAGATCTCATGTTCACATACATAAACATAGGGATCAACCATTATTAATAGGTTTAGAGCAGTGGTGGCTAAACCAGGCTCCCAAGAGATTAGTGAACTACATTTCCCATGATTCTCTGTCAGTCTGTAGACATTTCAAACATGGTGAGAGAAAACATGTCAACATAAGGACATTACAGAGCCAGGATTCAGGACTGTATGAAGTCTGGGTCCCAGGAGGCTCATCAAGATGGGAGTACAATGACAGATTATGTTCAGGTTTTCAATGTTCAATAGAATACTGTCACTGCTACCTATTACAGTATCATTACTCCCATCACAGATACATAGGCAAAGGACAGGTTTTATACTTATAGATCCCCCCACACTGAGCGATACAATTCTTGTAGAAGCACCGCCAGTTCATTAGAATTCCTTTAAATTGCTGGAAAATGCAACAGAGAAAGTATCCTCAAACAAGCATTGGAAAAACTGTTTTTAACAGCCTGTTCTATTAAAGACTTGAGGAGGACGTACTTGATTATACTATAGATTGTTTACATTTAAACATTGTGTAAGTAACAGTTTAGAAAACACAAAATACGCAGGCAGGCTTGAAAGACAGGTTAGTCAGTATAACACAAGTTAAAAACAAAATGATACAACAAAAAATGTAATATGCAACCTATCTGTAATCAAATCAATAAAATACATTTAAAAAAACAAAAATAAAACAAAACATGAGTAATGAAAGCACAGAACGAAATGAACTTAAGCACATACAAAATGTTTTGAAATACGTGGACTGGAGCTGCCAACACGCAACATGGATGATATCCAGCTGTTGTGAAACTCACAAACCCCATGATGCTCTGCATCAGAATTGCTGAGGCTCATGGGAGTTGCAGACTGACAACAAAAAGAAGTTACAGTTTGGATACATTAGGAGATCAGTTCTACAAATTGTTGCAATGACAGAGGGACAACCAATATTAGGTCCATGATTATATAAATATTACTGTCTGCAACCGTTAAATATACTGTTCACTCTGGATTGTCAATTTCACGGTAAAACCAGATAGATAGATACTAGGTTTTGAGCAAAATGATTGAAATATAAAGCAGGTTAACGCACGTGTGGTTCAGATTAGTTCCAGGGTGATGTGGCTCGTGTTAAAGCTTGGGAATTGTTTAGAGTAATGCATTTGGGCAGCAATAATAAAACAGAAGATAAAAAAAATGAACGACAAGCTGAAAGTTTAGACATTATGAAATAATTTAAGTCCCCTGCGTGTGAACGGGATGTCGCCAGGAGCACCATATCATCAAGACAGAATTAGTATCCAGGAAGCTGAGTGACTGATATCCCTCTTAGATGTCACAAGCTGCCGATGTTTGGGAAGCTTTTTAGCTTTTCCGGGAAGTCATCTTTGTACAGTACAGGATCTGCTCGATGCTCCACCACCTTCAAGGGCATTGTGCCAAAAACCGTAGCAAACTTGTTAATGCATTCAGACCTGATTTGGGGAAAAGTAAAACGTGTCATTCATCCATACAGTATAATAAAAAAATGTATATATATAAAAAAAAAAACAACACAAACACACGCAAAGTAAGAACCAAAAACTCTCCCTGAATTCAGAGATTTTAAACTGCGGAAAATTAATAGTAACAAACTGCCAGTTCGTCAATACTTAAATATTAAACACCCCGAATCCCAATCCTATGGTTTATGAATGCTTTATAAAATGCCCCTTTTATTAACTTTTAGCTGGTTTTCCTTTAGAATATTAATTATGGTTTATTCTCACTTGTTTCATTAAATGATAAATTATGTTGCATATGTTAATTATCTGTTATGTGATACATCGGAATGATATACAGGGAAACTGGGATATGATGGAGCCATAGTGAATTTCAGCATTTTTGAAGGAAATCTCCGATAAGGATCAGGCTTTTCCCCCCTGCAATTTTAAGTTTAGTAAACTTTTTTTTTTTCATTGTCTAAAATTTTTATTGGTTTCTTGTGATATTACGTATCAACTTAAGAGGGGTACAGAAATAAAAAGAGGGGGGGGGGGAGCATGTACATATTACGCATAGTCAACAGGTTCCTGACATATTTTCGACAATGCAGATCATAGATACATCACAGTTCGTATGCCCATTACGTTTCAAGTACCATCATATTAGTAAACTTTTTAAGGAAAAACCTATAAGTCAGAATCAGTTTTTAACCTTAACACTATTACCAATTTTTGCTGATAATAAAACGGGTAGGGAAAAAAAAAAAAAACTCCACTGAGTATATCTGAGTCTTTATTGAGCTCACATATGACAAAAAGGGGATTATGGTCGCAATATGCAGTAGCAAAGTCCTACTGCAACAAAAGTGTTAACATGTTTTGTCAGAAACATCATTTATGTGGATGTTTAAAGTGAGAGTGTGCCTACAGTGCTAAGTATGCTCCAGCCATTTACAGCTAAGATACTAAATTCACTCATGCGTTTTAGATCCTGTCTTGGGAGGGCAGTTGTAAAATCACATACCTGAACTCTTGATGAGTTTAACCTTCTAGAAAAGCCTCTGTGGGGTACCAACAACATCTTTAGGGGGCTTGTAAGCAGGTATTATTTGTTTCAGAAAGTTACAAATGTATACGCTTTTCCTAGTGAACAGCACAGTGCAATCAGAGAATACATTGTAAACAAATGTCAACGATATGTACCGGGCTCTTTGCGGATTCTCTTATTAGAGACATTCGCTTACACGAACAGCCTTGTCTTTGCAGGAGGAGAAGCCATTCCTTTCAGACACTCTTGCCTCACTTAGAGCACTGCAATGTTCCAGGCCAACCATTCACAGGCCCTCTCTTTCCTCTGCTAATATTCACATGTTCCTACCCGCAGGAGATCTGTCTTGTTCAGCACGCAGCTACTCTCTCAAGAATAGAAGGGAGAGAACATAACTCTACAGACATGACAACTCGAGCCCACATGCAGAACATGAGGTCACAGGCTGCTCTGTGTCTCATTGCTCAGTGACTAACTCCTGGGGTGCAAGAATTCGGGAGTTTGCAGGAGCACGACAGCCAGAACAATCCTTGTAATAAAAAGCATGCAGCGGGACGAAACAGAGCTACGGGTATGGACTGGGGTACGAGAACAACCACAGGCATGCCTGCCTCAGCATTTATTCCATGCTGGCTGACCAATTTCAGTCCCCCAGCTGTAGGATTACTATAACTCTCAAAGTCTGGCAGAGACTTGCGAGAGTTGCAATCTTATAAGAGCTGGATGCCTTTAGCAAGACACCAAGCTGTAAGAGAAGGTAACATGCACGGCTGAATTCAGAGGACAGGATCCTTCCACCAGTCTGTATTAAAATAAGGAACACAACACTGTAGCCTCCTGGGATGACTTAGAACTCCCAATATTCTAATCAAAGAGTCACAGGTGCCTGCACTGGGGGAAAGTGTTCAAACCACTTTGTAAAAGTTAAGTTTGGAACAGGATAGAAGAACCATTTTAAGGTTGGAGGGAAGAAGGTTACTTCTGCTAGGGCCACATTCCCCGCCGTACAGCAGTTCACACTTACATAATAGCCTCATTAAAAGCCTGAGCTCTAGTTACACTCAAGCATACATTATTCTTTCTTCTTCCTAATAGCAATGTCACCTTAATTGCCAGCAACTTCAACAGTGTCACTGCTTACACAGCATATCTACTATTGACATATTCATATATATTTCTCATTTGTCTGTATTGTTCTAGTTTTTATAATTATGTACTGTTTAGCGCATTATATTTTATTTGCAAAGTTAATGCAGGTGTCAAATTTATATTTATTTTGTACTGGCATTTATAACGCACCCACATATTCTGCAGCACAGTACAAAAAAAGGTTGCAAAATGTACATAAAAAATAAAATACTCAACTAACATCACATTTTCATTCAGCATAAACTGATGTAAAGTGTAAGGGGATAACAGTAGAACTGTGCGAATCTGACTGATGTGGCAGACTGAGCTGCAAAGAAAAAGGGTTAACATTGACTTCAAAAGCAAAGAGAGCTGGAGCAGAGAGATGCAGGAGAAACACCATCTACCCTCCTGTCTGCCTTTAATTCCTCCCCTGGAAATTCCTGCCATTCCAGGCGCTGTGTGAGCATGACAGGGAATCAGAAAGGCAATCAGCGCTCGACCCCAAACTGAAGATAAGCCTTGGATGCCGGAAACTTGGGAATATGGAGATGAAGGCCTCCATAACACACAGCCATTTGGAAAAAAACTGGCCATTTAAGTGGGAAATGACTAACAATGAGCAACATAAGGGTTAGTCTTTACGCATACAGTACAGTACTACACGAGAATCTTCTATTTCTGTGACACCTAGTCTTATTTCAAACTCGTTCCAATTCCAAGACGTGTGTCAATTAATTGACACAACCAATTGCAGTGAGGACAGGATTCATAAAGGCAGTCAATTCATCATAGCTGACACTAACAGTTATCCAACAATCTTCATTTGTAAAACAAAAAGACAGGACATGGTTCAGACACACTGAATGATTCTCTTAGAAAGACAGAGGGTGAAACAATTATGTATGCCCTTACACCTCTTGTTTCACTATACTCCAACTCCCTCTAGAATGTAAGCTCATTGAGCAGGGCCCTCGACCCCCTCTGTTCCTGTGCGCCCAACTTGTCGGATTACAAATACTTATTTGTAGGTCTACAAATTGTACAGCGCTGCGAAATTTGTTGGCGCTTTATAAATAATAGGAATAATTATACACAGATGCACAAATCTAAATAAAAATTTTCATAGCTTTTCTCTCATTTGCTATTTTATCAGCTTTTGTAAAATTATAAAGTGCTGCAGAATAAGTTCACAATTAATAAATTATAATTAATCAAATTTTAAATCACCAACATAATCCAAACACCAGGATTTACTTAATTCCTTAAGCAACATGTGCCAGGCAATAAGTTCTCAAGGGGTTAATGTGATAGAAATTTGCATCTTCTGCAATGATATCAACAGTGGATAAGCACTATCAATGAATAAAGTGTGATACCTTTAAGGATTAAGAGTGCTGTGTATCCATTTCTGTGTTTTGCAATATTTTAATGAGCTATATTCTTTAACGACATCACGCAATCTGCTTTCAGTTAAAGGAAGGCTCTGTGCTGAAAGATTCATTGTCATTTTTTGACAAGAACACAAGAAGTTTGCTTGACTGCTTTACAGCTGCGTTAGAATTTAAAAAGCACCAACATATTTTGCCATGCAGTGTCTTGGTCCATCTAATATTAAAAACTGAGAGTTTATAAGTTATTTATTATAATCTTTTTTTTTTTAAATAGATTTTCAATAACACTACTTTGTGGCACAAGTGTAAGAGTCACAGCAGCTTTGCAAATAAAACATAACGAAGATAAATTACTCACCTTTCTACCATGTGCGTCTGATCCAGTGACAGTCCATCGATCGCAGTGCACTCTGGACATTTAAATTTCTTCCGTGGAGTTACCTGTAAAGGTGGAAAGGATAAATTAAGGTGTAAGGAAGGGCAGAAATGTATATATAATATTGTTTACATAGTACTTTTTATTTGTTTTCTTACATAACACAAGGCTTGCTCGTTCTTTCATCAAAGGCTACTCTAGTTGGGTAGTCCGTAGAGACCCAACAAAAACATTTCTAAGGATTTGCCAACTCCACTTTCAGTTATCTATCCCTTCTTTATTTCTGTACTGGAGATGGTGATGACAAGCCCATTTAATTCCCTTTTAATGACTTTTCACACAGCCAAGGTCCCTGTGTAAACATAATTTGTTCTTGCAGAGTTTTCATGCTTAAACACTGCTTCCCAGTAACCTTCAACCACCAAAGCAAATACGTTGTGTTACCCTCTTGCCAGCAGCAGTACGAGATAATCCGAGAGAAGAGATACTGAGAGAGATATGGTCCTAACACCATTTTCAGTGATCACGGTTACAGAACTGGCACGGACCCAGGACTACCAAAGGATGGGCAGATTACAAGCGAAGGGATTCAGCTGCGGCACATGATAGCGGCTGCTGATGACACCACGGGAAATGAATGTGTGAAGGGCTTGGGATCAAAGAACGGCCGGTTACACCAAGATACTCCATTAATGCTGGTGGATTGGAGAAGATGATTGCAAGATCACTTTTAAATTAACATTCCCTGGGAGCGAAATTTATAATTAACATTCCTCTAGTCAGCTGTCCTCAGGCAAACAGATGGCCTTCTAAAAAGGGCAATCCGATGACTATACTCCCAGGACTGGTCTTACAATGGTTCATCTTGAATATTCCCAGAAGCCCTCAGGGTTTTTTCCTTTACACGGTGACAGGCTGACGTACACGATATTAACTGAGTTGGGCAATATTACATGAGTTGGGCAATAGGTGATACGGTTATGTATCTTGTCAGTTGGTTTAAAACCAGATGTAAAATCACTAGCACACAAGCTCCAGCATGGCACGAAAATGTTGAACATGATATTTTATTAAGAACTACATACTACAACGTTCATGGAGTGGGAAATTATTGTTTGGTGCAGGTTTACACACATCATTCACTCTTTATAAAATATTCACATTGACTGTGTCATAAAACAAAGTGGGGTTAATGTGTATTACGTATTTTTCCTACACTTGACAAAAGGCAAAGCTACCGCTGTCAAGTACTGCAAAACAACATCTATTGAGGTTCCCGTGGATGTTCCATAGGCACCAATGTTGTACTCTTGTGCATGCGCAAGAACACAGCACTGGCAGATGAAGCGTCAGGATCTGAAGAAGGAAGAAAGCAACACCCGCGAGGGACAGGAACAGGAAAATACACCTCATCTCTGCGTCACCCCAAAATATGCAAATACCCCAAAACGTGGCATTCGCTTAAAAAAAAAAAAAAAAGAAAGAAAGAAAGAAAAGTTCATATTGTCAAAGCAGTAAAAAGTGCTGGGAGCTCACCTTTATAGGAGCTTTTCCGGTCACGTTGGCCACTAGGAAGTTCATAGCAATATCTTCACAATTCATGTGAGCATCAACCCAGTTCTTGATGTCGCCAGGCATTTTGTAGGTATACAGATAATTGAAATACTGAAGGAAAAGATACGATGGGATGAAAAAGAGAGTTTTTTTGTTTGTTTTTTTTTTAAATCACATAAACTCACAAGAATCTAAGCATTTCCCATTTTCCATACAAAAGGAAGTTTTTGGAGGATATGCAACCCATATATAGTAAAAGAGAACCTGATATTCACAAATTGAGTGGAAGCAAAGTTCACATCAAGTATTAGAGAAATACTTACTTGCAGACCCTTCCACACATTGCAAGGTGCCCCAAACTAGATGGAGCAGCCAAGAAATAGAAGATGGCCGTTTACAGCACCCAAAGTTGAACTATTTACTGCTATGCTGATGGCATAGCAGTAAAACTGTAAAGCAAAATTAACAAAATAAATAAAATTTATATATATACCCACCCAGAATCCCTTGCAGTAGTATCATCACTGCAAACTTGAGATTACTGTGGGAAAAGCAAGTCTTATGACTTCACTGGTGTGTGCAGATCTTTGAACAGTGTATACACTAATAATATATGTATGGTCATGTAATGTAACCAAACCCCCATTATTTTTTACCTAGTAGAGGTGTTTTTAAATAAAACTATTTAGGATTTGAAATCATTGTTTAGTTAATAAGCGAGTGCGCAGGATTGTGTATATTGTATATATATATCTATACACACACACACACAAACACACTCAAATACATCGACACATTTACTAACACTTTGGCTAAAAAAAAATTATTTATTAAACTGTATACTTTAAAGTGACAACGCATGATGTCAGTCACTTTAACAAAAGCAAATCAAGACAAGGAAGGTTCACATTTAGACATTATTATTGCTGTCTCTTAATCCCTTTGCAGGTGTAGAAATCATTCCACAAACTGTAGTAATACCTTGTGGTAGAAAGCTGCTCCAGTCAGAACCATTGAAACCTCATTGGTCCACTCCGATTCGTACTTCCACTTGCTCATCTCGTGGTCCCACAGGTGTAGTCGACCCGGATATCCCACCAGCCTGTCTGGGAACTCCCTCCAAACCTGTGCAAGAAAGAGGAATTGAGTTAGAGGAAGGGGCCCGTGGAAAAGCATTCATGAACAATTTAAGGTCTAAAGATTGTGATGTCAACTACTTGCCCTAACGTGATGTAATCCAGCATGAGATGCAGTCGGTCAGATCTGAAGGATCATACTATAATAGGCAATGTTGACCAAAACATGCAGAATTTAGAAAGACAGGCGAATTTTGATACATCGAAAGAGTTCTAGATAATATATTCCATCAATGCAGTAAAGTAACGTTTTTAGGAAGCAAGGCACCTTGAATAATAAACTTGATTTTCCAAAGTGACAAATGAATATCTTATCAAGAAAGATGAATATGAACATCATAATAAAATAGGTAACATGTGTATGTAAGCCAACAATTCATATATCCCTACCCCTGAATATTTTCCTCAACCCAGGAGAATTGTGGTGAGAATATGTTTTTGTTAAAGAGAGCAACCTTTTAGCATATATCACATGCACATAAGTTTGCAATACTGTCTTTAAAAAAATTAGATAAAAATGAGGAAAGAAACGAGGGGAAATGCCACTCTGTTGGACAGGGCGAGACAGACACAACTACAGCAAGTGTCATGGGAGATGGTGGGGAAAAAAAACAGGGTTGGGGGGTGAAGATGTGATGGTTTTGTATCGCCGCAGCAGACATACCCCCCCGGTAACGTGGCTGGCAGCTGGATGCAATCAGACCCCCATCTCTACCACTCCATTCATAATCAAACTGCTGACAACAGGATCAAGAATACAGGTAAATGAGAACAGGCTGGGCAATCATTAGCAGCACCCCAAAATGTTCAACATGCTACTGGCTACATTAAATGTTGCTGATTTACAGGCTTGGGTCTGAAAGAAAGTTAGTCCAGACAATGCTTTCAGATGAAGAATGATGGAATACGCTTTCCACCTTTCCCCTTCTCTTGAGCATGTTAGACGTGCAAGTAGAACAGGCTTGCCTGACGCGGACGCTCAGATGCAGCTGCTGAAAGGAACTTTCCTTATGATTCACTTTTAAACCTGGAGAGCACTTATGTTACTATCACTTTAAGCAGTGCATACCCTTAAAGAAGGGTAATGTAAACAAAGGATAGAGCTTTTCCCAAACCAATAAACAGACAGTTATAAAAAAAAAAAAAAAATAGGGACACTAGTGTCACCAAAACAACTTTAATGAAGTTTTGGTGAATAAATAAGCAGTTTCACTGCTCTTATCTGCAGTTTAGTAGTTAAATCACTTTGTTTATGCACCCTAGGCACAACCCCCTGCCTGTGATGTACACAGCCTTCCTAAACACTTCCTGGAAAGAGTCATTTAATGTTTACACTTTATTAATTGTAAATTAATCAAATTTAGATTTTCTTATCTCCTACTCTGCTAATAACTTACTAGACCCCTCAGGAGCCTTCTGTATATAATTAAAGCTCAATTTACAGATCAGGAGTTAAACACTTTTAAAGTAAGTTACATCTGATTGAAAATGAAACCATTTTTTTTTTTTTAATGCAGGTCATGTCAGTCACAGCCAGTGGAGGTGTGGCTAGGGTGGTATAAGCTGAAACAAAAGTGATTTAACTCCTAAATGGCAGAGTATCAACCAGTGAGACTGAAGATCTAAACATTAAAATGGCTTCATCGAGCTCAAGATGTTTTGGTGAATATAGTGTCCCTTTAAGGCAAGCTCAACAAATTCTGCTGTATATTAAAGTGGTGTTCTGCTCACACCACTGTCAGCAGGGAGAAGGAGTGCAGAGCACGCTCTGCACCATAACCTTTCCATTGATAATCAGCGTCTTCACTCCTGCTCCCCACCCCTCCGATAACCCACACAACCTGAGCAGCACACTAACTCCAGCTCTCGACACCTCCTATAACCCACACACTACCTGTACAGCACACTCATCGTGAACAGCATATGCCCACTGCAGCTCCCCACACCTCTATAAGTTCTAGTCAACTTCTAGTAATTTAACCTGTGTGTCAGGCTGTTTGCAAAGAGCTCCACAACTATTAAACAAATTGTTCACTAGTTTAAAATCTATGTAAGATTTGCCTTTACATATATACACATTCATCATAATATTAAATAATTGTACTTAACTAAATATTTTTCTGTTTAAACATGTAATATATAATTCTTTCTCCACACACTTGACAAAGTGAGACCACAATGTAATAATTTATACATGGGTAAATACATGTAAATAAACACAAACACACACACAGCAATGACAGCGTAGACACAAATATGCACATTACACAAGCAATACGTCAAAAGCTCCAATAGTGGAGACATTAATCATCCATGCCTGTTCCCAGATGACATTATGGGTAAAAGACCAATAAATTGAAAATGTTATATGTCCCTAAAGTAAACAGAACTCAGCATGAAGCTTTATCAGCGACAGATTTCCCACAGTCTGACAATTGGCACCAAGAGGGCTTTTATGCCCATCCTTCGAGACTGGCAGTAACCTTCAGAAAGAGCAGTACGCCCATGTACAAGTCCAAGGAGAAAAAACTTCAACCAACCCCAATTTGCTTTAGTCATTCGGTACAAATATGGCTCCAATTTTGGCTCTGGCCCAAGAGTGGAAAAAAAAACAAACAAAAACAATAAAACAAAAATAGAGCTTTATTTTTGTCCCTTTTCCAGTCAAGTTAAGAAGAACTTGCATGAATCTAAAAGCTGTGTTTCCAAGAAACATTTAAAGTGACTTAAAGTGAAGAAACTTCTAAAAAAAGAGTAAACTTTATTCTTCATTTTAGATCGTGCCCAAAACAACAGTATCTATGCCAAGTGTTCTTGACCTTTCACTCTAAAATTCACTCCAGATACCTGTATTGTGAAGCAATTCCAGAAATCCACAATTCTTCTTGTACAATATTTCTACTATCCTGCAGGTAAACCAAAATAACACCTGTGCACATCTTTTCAAACATGTTATGGAGTTGTATATAGATGTTTACATTCATATGAGCACAGACTGGAATTAGGTTTCTGAGTACATACTGTATTTCTGAAGATACCCTTAGCAATGGACACTTTTAAACAGAACCTTTATTTTAATTTTAAAACAAGCGTGGTCTATGATCCAAAAGGATCAGTGACTACAAACCAGACACGGACTCCAGTTTAGTCCTCATGGGTCTCATCATATTAATATATATTATTGCTGCCAGAACTTGGTTGTGATAGGGAATTCTCAGCCAGTCTACGTGCTTCAATTAATCTGACATATACAAAGCTCGGCACTAGGCAGCAGTTTCAGTCATAAAAGGGCATGAATGAAACCGCTGTACACGATTAATACAAGCAGCAAAAGATTACTATAACCCCCAATGTATAAGCCTCCCCTCCAGAGCAGGTAGAGAAGAAAACAAATAAATAAATCATCAGCTTTAGAGCAATGAATAGGTAGGTTATATACCATTTAGGAACAACCCAAGAAGACCTTCACCTACAGACAGGGCTTATTTTAAGGAGCTGCAAAACTGTCTTAATGCTCATTATTTTGAATAGAGTTAACAAAACAAAAATTATATCAACCTTGTCTGTTATTAGAGAATGAAAAGAAGTCCCACCACTACATAAACACATGCACGCAATCCTCAGTGCAGTCAAGAGTCCCAGGGACCACCCTAGTTTGGGCGTGTGACTGCTAGCCACGTCTATTTTAAAAAGTTACTAGACAAGGGGCAACTGTATCTTCGAATAAACTAAAAACAGAAAGCCATTTCTGTGAACAAATCTCCGTTCAGGTTTTAAATAAGATCACACGAGGAAGAACTCGGCCACATACCTCATAACCGAACTGCAGCTCATCCGAGGTCAGCATAATGATGTCATCATCAATGGCCAGCACAGCCTCTGTTTCAATCTCATCATACGGGAAGAAACGATTACTCAGTTTGTTCTCAACGGTCCTCACCACTTTCAAGGGTACGCGGATCTTGGGCCAAAGAGAAACTGTTAGGAGAGAAGTAAAATGTCAGAAAAATATTTAAATGTACAAATTTCACTAAAACACCTTTTAAAGAAGTAGCATAACCCTCATGATAAGAAGTGTGCACATAAAGTATAATCGGAAGAAAAGCAAAGATGGCTGCGTCTCTTTGCATTAGAAGGAAGTGTGTTTGTTTATCTCTGCTGCACGTCACGTCAGTGTCAACACAGCACACAATTAAAAAAAAAAACAAAAAAAAAACAGCTATAACATTTTACGTGTGGGAGCAGCAGCTAAAATGTATAGATCAAATGAATAAAACAGGTTCAAATCAGTCTGCTATGAAAAATAAATATGCATTAGACGCTAAGGCAATGTCACAGGCAGAATCGAGACATTTTTATATGCTTGCAGTAAAAACATTTTAGTTGACGGAGCACCTTTAATTGTGCTCGATTTAATCTATTGAGTGGCAGCGGATTAACTTCCAAACACATTTCCCTTGCAGTTTAAAAATAAATAAAATGACTGCGTAGCAGCAGGGCATGAAAGGAACCGAAAATGAAGATAAATACACTTAAAGCCCGTTTTCGCTTCTGTCTACGTATACATATTCCCTGCAGTTTTAAAACGTCTAACCGCACTATTTATTTAAATGAAATTAAAGTTGGGAGCTCAGGGAGCCAAAGAAACAATCCCTCAGCAGACATTTCAAAGCCACAGTCAAATGCAGGCTTCCTAATTATCACCCTTGTTGGCTACCGTAAAAGCGGTGAACCTCGCAGAGCACGTAGATGAAGTACTTTGCACAGTGCTGCAATATGAACACATTATGACAGCATATTTACATATAATCATTCACATCGCAGAATTGATTCTATCGAGTGTTTGAAAATATAATTTTTGGGGGGAAAGCAGAGTCTTTAACTTCTCAAACACAATGTGGATTTCTTTTCAACTTTATTTTTTTTTTTTTAAACAAAGAGAATGTGGCAAAAATTTACCTCCATGAAATAAATACGTCATACAAATATTTTCTTATTTTTTATAACCTATGTGTCTTAAGGTGCAACAATCTTGACAACTATGAATTGATGTCACTTTTTCAGAGAATGAAAAAAAAAAAAAAAGATTTAAATCATTTCAAGTATACATTGTGTTATTCAAATTAATAAAGTTTTATCACCATGTTTTTTTTTTTACCTTAATAATATTTACTGTTACATCTACAATAATGAAAAAAAGTGTCATCTCAGCATACCACAACTCAGCACCCATACACGGGAAGCTACGTGCTAGATTTAGGTAAGAATAACTTTAAACACACCATGCTGGCAAATCTTTGGATTAACAGTAAATCTCCACCTATCCAAAGGTGTGTATACAGTGTTATTTTTATATATTTCCCATTATTCTTTAACCTACCATTATCAAGAAAAGAATTGTGGGAATTGTAGTTCGAAAACTGTGGACAAAGTTGGGCATATCTAAGAGATAGCTATAAAGCATAAGAGTTTCCATAGGGCAATTAAAAACAAATGGATGTGGTCATAAAATAAAGCAATAGGGAAGGTCTTATCTGACACTGTCAGGCATTACTGACTTCAAACCCATTCCTCAAGGTTTAAGTCTTCAAAAACATCCTGTCATTAATGGTCAATAAACGGCAGAGGCTTTAAAGTGTAAATGTCATTATGGGACACAGTCTGCCATTATTTATGGGTCTGCCTGTGCTCCATATACTCTGTACAAGAAGTCAGGCCCAGACAGTCTCTCCTAATGGCAAATAATCCATTATCAACTACATATACCCGGCAAGCACTCTTTCGCTCTTATTGGTTGCTTTTGGTTGTTTATGAACACCCCATGCAAAGCGTCCAGTTTATCAAAGCTACCAGTTTATCATAACTGGCAATATGTTCACATGCTAGCGATAAGTACCATATATACTCGTGTATAAGTCAATCTCATGTATAAGTCGAGTGCAGTTTTGTGACCAACAATTGTGAAATATGCTATGCCTCGTGGATAAGTCGAGGGTAAAACTTGGGGCTATGAAATTTTGTGATTTTTATAATTATATACACACACTTATACACACACACACACACACACACACACACACACTGCATTATACACACACACACTCATACACACTGCATTATACACACACTCTGCATTATACACACACACTCATACACACACTCTGCATTATACACACACACTCATACAAACAATCTGCATTATACACACACTCATACAAAAACACACTGCATTATATACACACACTCATACAAACACACACTCTGCATTATACACACTCATACAAACAATCTGCATTATACACACACTCATACAAAAACACACTGCATTATATACACACACACTCATACAAAAACACACTGCATTATATACACACACACTCATACAAACACACACTCTGCATTATACACACACACACTCATACAAACACACACTCTGCATTATATACGGACACACTCATACAAACACACACTGCATTATATATGCAGTGTGTGTGTGTTTGTGTGAATGCAGAGTGTGTGTGTATATAATGCAGAGTGTGTGTTTGTATGAGTGTATTTATAAGCAGTGTGTGTGTATATAATGCAGTGTGTGTGTGTGTGTATGAACTGGGTGGGGGAGGGCATTTTTATTATTTTTAATTTTTTTAATTTTAATATAAATTTTTTTTAATTTTACTATTATTTTATTATTTACTTTTTTAATTTTAATATTTACATTTTTTTATTGTAATATTATAATTTTTTTATTATTTAATTTTTATTTTTGTCCCCACTCCCTGCTTATTAGCTGGCCAGGGAGGGGGGCTCTCATTCCCTGGTGGTCCAGTGGATGGGCTGTGTAGGAGGGGGGCTGGCAGAGAGCTGTTACTTACCTTTCCTGCAGCTCCTGTCAGCTCCCTTCTCCTCTGGTCCGGTCAGCTCCACTGTAAGTCTCGCGAGAGCCGCGGGGTCAGAGCGTTGCCACGGGTTACCGTGGCAACGCTCCGCGCGGCAGTCACACCGCGAGACTTACAGTGGAGGAGAAGGGAGCTGACAGGAGCTGCAGGAAGGTACGTAACAACTATCTGCCAGCCCCCAACAGGCCCGCCGGGCATGTAATGTTGCCATAATACAGACACTGACTCTAGTATAAGTCGAGTGGGGCTTTTTCAGCACAAATAATGTGCTGAAAAACTAGACTTATACTTGAGTATATATGGTAATCAACACAAAAATTGGGCGCATGGAAAATGTAGTTAGTTTGGAATGGTTTGCAGTAAAGAAACAGAATACCTCTACCGTACACAACAGGAAATAAATAGACTTTAATATAACGGTTACAGTGGCTGATGTAGGGTGTACTTTTATTATTATTTTGTTTTTAAGTAACAAGGCCAAAATTTAGTGTGACTTTCTAGCAGATTAGAACTTCACTTCCACTCCACCTAGCTTTACACGTGGTGTCCCAGAGATCATATACAACACTAAGCTCTGTCAGATCACATATGGGTGAACATAATCACACCACAGCTCTGGCACCAACTAACCGATGAGTACTTTGTAGCATAATAGTGATCAATACTGCATTCTTAGAACCTTATACACTTACCTTCAGGTGGGCTCTTATTTTGGTTATTCCAAACCACCAGCAACTTGGACAGGCTTGGTACTTTAGACACCTCTGTGATAACACGGAACAGGCTTTCAACACGGTCAAATGTTAGCACTACGGCAGTGAATCCTTGCGACTGTGGAGGGATCAGCGGCAGGAACAGAGGATTGGATACACTGCTCCATTTCTAGAATAATGAAAATGAAACAGCAACTCAGCTAAGAAGGTCACAGAGACAGATAGTCTTACAAGACAATACATACAATCTATTTCTGCTTCTCTATATTAGCAGATATGGCTCATAACAGGACTATGTTTCCACTTTGAAATGGTTTTCAGAGAGCTACGCACTCAACTCAGTTGATTAATAGACAGTCATTGCTAGATGTTTAACTTCAGAGAAAATTGGGAGTCCAGTATGTTTAACCCCTTAAGGACACATGACATGTGTGACATGTCATGATTCCCTTTTATTCCAGAAGTTTGGTCCTTAAGGGGTTAAACAATAAATGCCATATCACAAATGATGAGTGGAACCAATCAACAAACTGAGAGCACCCATTGTGTGGCTATCATCAGCACATTTACTGTCCCTGCATATGATGACCTCCCACAACACCAACCATGCGTTTGTACAGGCGCAGTGAGGAGGAGTGTAGGGACTACCATCGTACGTATTCGTACTCACAAGCACCCTTTCCGATGTCACTTCAAGCAAATATTAACCTCTGCATTCGTAGGCCACACGGTGCAGGAGGTCTGGTACTTGGGTACTCTCGTCACCATAACCAAAGTAGCAATTTAGTATTCACTTCACAATGTACTCTACTCACACATATGGCAAGAAAAATGCCTCGGTTGATGAAATCAACTGACCACTTTAGTGCACTGAGTGACTTATCAATTCTTGACAAAAGTGAAGAACTTTAGAGAAGAAATTAGATTAAAAAGATGACGGATAAAAGTAAATGTTACAAACTGGTCCTGCAACCTACGATCAGGAGCACTCCCTTACCCAGGGGAGTACGTACGGAAAACGGAGAACCCACATAGCGGGGACTGCTCCCTCACCTACTAGCGCCACCCAAGCCACGGACCTTACATAGGCACGAACAGACATACCAGACAGTAGCAATTCCTTAAATACTCAAAACCCTCAGCTCTGTACTATCTGCCGAATTATAACCAGTTCAAAGGCTAATATCAGATTGTTACTGACTGTTCTACAATGTCTGTACATAACGATTATATGCCCTTCTCGCACCTATGAGCAGGAAAAAAAATAAAGAATAATAAAAAAATAAAAAACACGTAAATGTAACAAGTATTCTCAGACAACCATTTATTATTTTATTTACCGGTATATATTTTAAAACAACCTTCTCAATCTTGAAGAGTTAACAGGAGGTCTAGTCCAACATAAAGGTATTTAAAAGGTGGGTTTAAATGATTTAGAAATGGCAACAGAGAGAAAGCATGATCCCTGTCAGCCAGCTGGGCTTAGTATGGATTCCAGAGACTGGAAAATACTGTCTGTAGTCCCAGCCTGGGCATCACTGGAAGTCCTAAGACTTTTCATTCTCTCTCTCCCTCGTCCCCTTTTTCCCTTGTGAAAGGAAATGGAACAGAGTGAGGCAGATACAGAACTCTGACACAAAATGGGCATGTAAAATAAAAAAGTAAATAAAGAGGCCGCAATACAGACGGATTAAATAACAACTCAAACAAAACTACGGTTGTTGTTCTGCAAGAAAAAATGGCCAAGGAATCCATTAAACTTGAAGTGGGGGAAATAACAGAGCGCGTTGCGAAGATTGATTTTGCAGAGTTACAAGATTTGAATTTTAATTAGGGCAAACCTGTTAAGAACTTTAAGCTGTTTCTCCTGAGTCCTGCCAAAGAGATGGAACCCAGAGGGGTTGGCAAGCTAGAAGGCACACAGTCTGTTCCTAATAAGAGCGCCAACCAGTGCCGCACAGACAGAGGAGGGGTGAAGTGGCACAGGGTAACGTGCACCACTTGACGTAAATCAATAAACACATAGGTCTGTTGACTTAAAATTAAAAAAAAATAGAAAATTAAATAAATGCAATTTTAAAAAACACAAATGAATAGATTAACATTGATCCACAAAATGTGACTGTTGCATAAGCTATCCAGCCTTGGGCTGAGATAATCTGTATCTGGCACACATTTAGTTTAGTGACAGCAAAATATATAATTGTTCTGAATTTTGGTTACTGTTGGGATGATTCAACCAATCAGATCAATTTTTTTTTCTCTTTAATAACTTGTTATCACAATAGGTTTACTTAAAGAGAAACACTTATTTGTTAACTGGCATGTATGCACAGCTAAATGTGTCTTCCTGTAATATGTGATGGTTTAGGGGTAAGACATCTATTTTAGTAGAACCTATAGCTATGGGTGTCCCTTACTTCCTGGGTTCCCTATTCCCATTCTGTGGCATTTGCAATATATTGTACATATACATGGAACTAGAATGTAAGCTCATTGAGCAAGGCCCTCCACCTCTCTGTTCCTGTACGTCCAGTTGTCTGGTTACAACTACATGTCTGTAAGTCCACCAATTGTACAGCGCTACAGAACCTGATGGCGCTATATAAATAATAAAATAATAATAACAACTATAGTACCGGGATTGTCAAAACATTTGTGCAAGCCTTGCATCACAGATGTTTAAATGTGTCAAAGCAAGCTAGCAATGTAAATAGCAAATGAAAAGCAGGATTTTGCTAAATTAGCTTCAGTGGGAAAAATGCTTATAGCTTATAACTATTAGAAAAGCGTTCAAAATACAAGGAAAATGTCAGTAAGGCATAACTGTGGAAGGCAAAATAATTCCCAGCAAAAATGCAAGCAGTAACAAGTTAATCAGCAACTTTACAAGCCATGCAATTACATAGGCAGATCTACACTTAGGTTCCAGGCTAGTGTTGGACAAAAGAAGGATTATGGAAAAAAAATAATCGTCATTAGAGAAATATACATGAAGTTTGATGCTTTACAATACCATGTAAACAAAACACACACAGAACCACAATTACCTTCCCATAGAATAAAATAAATCAAGGCTACCCTTGGGCAAATAAATTAAACATATGCACTTACATCATTTATTGGACCTGGGTATTATGGGAAATTAAGTGGTTGCCATTTTATAAGGAGGTTGTGATATTTCAGTGTATAGAAAAAAAAAATATTAATGCAGCCAATATGTACATTTCAGCTATACGGAGAATGCTTACCTTAAAGGGACACTACCAGCCCAAAACCACTATAGCTAACTGAAGTGATTACGTTGCGGGGGGCTGGATTTAAGCTTTCACCCTCCCAGAACACAATGAAGGGACCATAATTTCATTTAAGATTATCAATGAATGAGAACAAGAATTCATCTTGATGCTATTTGTAAAGTGAGCAAAGTTCTAACAGCTGAACAATCACCATGGAAACAAGTGGGATCTCTAGGACCATTCCCGTAGTTTCCATGGTAATATTGGAATTTTGCACCACCTGTCTACTGGATAATGTTCTATCTCCCCCTGTGTTCGGATTTGATGGGGAGGTGAAAATGCCAACAGGAACATGTACAAACATTGCCTATAAATACCTCACTTCTTAAACTTGGTATTCAGAGTGATAAAGCAATTTGTATTAGAACCAGTGAATAATCAGAGCAATAAAGCAATTAATAGCCAAATGAGTGTATAATCAGCGGTGTAAGTGAATATACTTGGTGATAAGGAATTTATAGTAGAACCAGTAACAGTATTGATCCTGATCCATTTGACCAATAGCAGTCATCTAGACAATGGTAGCGACAGCTACTAGACAATGCAAGGCAATGACAAGATGTAGTAGTGATCCAACAGACTAGAGATGTAGTATCGGCCCTGAGCAATTTGATTATAGCTAAAGTAGTCATCTAGACAATCATTTAAGCGGTGAAATAGTTACAATATTCCAAATGGCGTCATATCAAAATGTCATAAATTTGAACCCTAAAACTGACAATTATTTAGCACATCTCAAGCACAATTTGGCTGTTAGCCATTCGGTGAGCAGTTTTTGGTTCCTATGACGTTGTTTTCGATAACGTCAAATCTTTCATAGGAGCTCATCCTGATGGAGACTGATGTTAGGGGAAAGTGGAGGAGTTGGCAATGGCAATGCACACAGCAATGAGGAAGGCAGGGTACCAACTGATAACCGACCCACATAAATTCAAGCATTAGGTTTCTGCAAGTTGGGCTCAATTTGAGTTTTCCATGTAACTATACCTGCAGCAGCATTGATCTATTCTATGTCATTAAAGCTGCAGCACTCATCTCTAGACAATGGCAAAAGCAGCGGATACAACCCTAACGCATTGAATGCAGGCTATGCAAATAAATCCGCAAAGGATTATAAAACAAAACTTTTGAGGAGAACACTATGCATTATTTAACATTAACAGAGCTAACAACACACGCTTTAAATAGCTTCAATGACTCCAAGACCTGTGTTCAAATTATTTGCTTTTAGGCCGAAAGGAATGAAAGCTGAAAGTAGGTTTTTGTTATTTTATAGGTATACATCATTTCAGTATACAGGGCTTCTTTTGTCCCCCTTTAGTGGCTGAAAGCTCTGTGATGCATATTCAGAAGCTCAGTCCTGCACTTGGAATAAGTCAGAATACTTTGCCACTACCAATTACAGTATTACAGAGTTCTTTGCAAACAAGTCAAAATTCATAGCACCTAGCCGTATGTCACCCAACTAACTTTGCAGCTAGAACCGATCCTCATCACCCGCACAAAATATTAACATACTGAATGTCACGGTCTGTAGGTTATCCACAGCTATTGAATTACCCCGGGATGGCCAGCACAAGTTTACAAAGAAAAAATTTTTATGGGGCAGGTTTCAAATGCATTCTATTCACTTAGCAGTAATTAAAAGGTAACCTCATATGGCTATCTAGAATATTTATTTTGACATAATCAGAGGGATGTACAGATGTAAGCCTTGCTCAGTCTGGTTTCGCAGTAATCTCACCGTGCAGAAAATGATAAAGAAAACTCATTGGTTTGAAAAGGGTATTTAAGGATTTAACACAGGCAAGGTGCAATAAAAATATTTAAAACATATAATATTACACGTACTACGCAGGGCTCTATCTGCACAAGAAAGAGATGGCACTTTGAAATATAGCCCATAACATTTAATTTCAACATGATGTAGGGACAATTAAGGTATTTCAAAGCAGACCCTTTCCCCCTAGAAATGTGTAGATGACAAAGTATTTTCATTACAGCTTTGCAAGCACATTAGACATTAGGTTTCTTTTACCAAACCATTAAACGTGGCATAAAATGATTTCAAAAGCCAAGCCTGAAACGGAGATCAAGCTATAGTTTTAGTTTAGCAAGAAAGCAGACTTCAAGGATGCACAACGAATTAGCTGGTGGACAGAAAAGAAGCAATATAAAAGAAAAAGAAAAAGTTCTGCTTCTGCAAACATTCACACAAACTCATAAGTTGGTGATTTAGAAAACAAATGCATTTGAATACTGTATGTTGAAGGTGGTTTCCCTTTAATTAAAAAATCTGGGACAGGGAGAATCCAAAATGTACATTTAAAGCCTGCTGCACACAAACACCTCAAAGAGGATTAAATTGTTTATTTATTATTTATTCCTCTTAATTCTCTTACTCCTCTGTGAGTCTGGCCCACAACCACCATCTTTGGATCATGTTCCATAATTCTGGACATTTATTGCAATAAATTTATTGCATATTCTGGATTTCTCAATCTAGATTCTCTTTGAAGCCAATGATGTACCAGATTAAAACTTCTACGCGTTGCGAGATGTGCAATTTGTGTCGGCTATAAGCAAACTGTGCAAGTAAGGAATCATGGGGAATTAGTATCACTTTACATAAAATGCCGTTATGTAATTTAGAATAATTAGCAATAAATGTACAGTGCAAAATGGCTTGTGAACTGAAAGAATATATATATACCCTGATAATTGGCCATTCTTCTTATAGTTTATATTTTGTTTACTCCGTGCACAATGGAGTCTATTCGTAAAGCGATGCTTTAACTGCAGCTACAATTTCAGGCAATTTCTCCAAACGGGCCACTAAATTCATTACTTTCCAATATGCTTCAATAAATGAGATTGCCTTTTGCATAGAGAGACACTTGTCCGATCTATAGTTCCATCAGTGGCAGCAAAAAAGATTTTCTAGATCTGTTGAAAGCAAATTACCTAGACTGCCAACTCAATAGTTTACCAATGATCTAAAAGCGTAAATGACGAGTGTCTGGAATGGTCACACACTCTGACTGATGCGCAGGGCTCAAAGACCAGCCGAAAACCTGCAAACGGATAAGAATTGAACACCAGAGACCAAGTTCTATGCTACAAAATCATTAACACACTGACAGCCGGGCCAGGTCAAACATTAAATGTTTCCAGCATCAAGTGCCCCTGTAAAGAAAACTCTTTCAAATGGGTCTATTAGGACTTATTCTCAAGTGCTTTTAAGAGCCGACCCCCTGCCTGTGTGTCTGCTGTCTGAGACCTCCTGACCTCTCTCCTTTCAAAAGGAGAAATCAGGCTCATTGAGAGCCAATAACTCAATGGGAATGGGAGGGAGGGGACTTAAAGACACCCCTGTCGGACAGAAAGGCAAACAGGCGCTTAACATCAGGGGCCATTTATAGCCCCATTATGGTGGCAGGCTGTGACACGACTTGTGAAATCTACCAGCTCTAATACCACTACGCTATTTAGCATTGGGTAGAGGTCTCTAGAGGCACAATGATTGTTTCCTGGCCAATAGAGATGATTACTTGTTCAAACACACAGATAACAAGGAGGACATATTGCCTTAGTGATGCTGTCAAACACTTGTTCTGAAATTGATTCTGCTAAGTAGCCAAATATACAGGTAATTATGCACTGGAAGACCCCAAATTAAGCACACTGCACCTTGAAGGTGATCTATTATCAAGTGTAATACAATTAAAATACATCGTACAAAGCACCAAAACCCTCTGGGAAAGGGTTCGTCTTTACACTACGGAACACAATGCCACTACAGTAAGCAACATATTGTGGGGAGTTACCCAGGCACCTATATACTACCTGAGACCCACTAAATACATAGGAATGTATTTTTGCATTATGTAAATCCATAGGTAGAATAATTTGTAGATAAACATAAAGGATGAGATAAAGCCAATATCAGATGTGGGCACTTAAGCCAATATCAGAAGTGGGCACTTAAGCCAAGAAGTGCAATTGGAAACTTGTGGTAAGAACATGAACAGTCCTTTATTAGGCATGTTAGATACTCATGTAGGCTTTTCACCTATATCAGTGACTAACACGGTGTTTACACCTCTAACAAGGATGGAAAAACACCTCTGTTCCTGTGCGTCCATTTGTCTGGTTACAATTATGTGTGTGTTAGTCCCCCCCATTGTACAGCGCTACAGAATTTGCTGGCGATATATAAATGATAATAAAACAATAATAAATGAGCTAAACAACAGAGGTATGAGCCACCTTTTTTTTATTTTATTTATTTATTTGTTTAGGTAAGTGGAAGAATAAGAGGATCAGCTCCATTAATAGAGGTGTGAGAGGTGAGGGGGGGGGGAGAAGGAAGATTACTAAAGTAGTGGATGCATAGCTAAGCTTCCCAGAAGAAAAAACAAAATACAGTATCAACAAGAAAACAAAGACTTTTGATTAAAAAAATCTCAACAATTAGGCCAGCATAAAAACGGAACCAAAAATTAAAAGGTTCACACAAATTCATGCGGCCCCTTATTGTGGCCCGGTGTTTGCAGACTATCATTACTGTCACAACTTGTACGGATGAGGAGTGAATATCCTCTATCTCGGCCGTGGCATTGGGGACCGGAGCTGGGTGCCAGGAATGCCCTGTTTTATGTCAACCAGCTCAAAAACAATTAGAAGGAAAAAAAATGGTGAGACAGCAACCAAAGACCCCTTATATCATAAACCACTACATAAGCTGTGGTGGTTATGGTGCTTAAAGTGTCCCTTTAAAATATATATATTTATGTAAGTAGACGAGACAGCATTGCAAGATAAGAAAAAAAGGGGACAGTATCAACTATCAGTTTAGTATGATCAGCCTTCTAATGTGTTAAAAACATAGCACAAAATGCTGGATTTTCTTTTATATCCAGCAAGCCCTATTGACCCAGGCATGGGAGCCACAAACGGCTAGCAACGCCCACATGGAGAAATAGTTTCTAAGAATACAGCAGTCAAAATAACTGAACTTTATGCAAACTGACAGCTATATTAAACAGGCATTTTAACTGCATTTCTTAATGGGATCACATCACCTAAACAATGTATATGGTTTCAGAGCAGAACATAAGAAAAAGCAGGAAAGGCAGAATAACAAACTCATTAATTCCGATGAAACGCGTATTTTATTTGTTGTGGATATGAGTAAATCACATGACAGCACCACAATTAAACTCACAGTAATGGGGAAGGCGATTGAACATCACAGAGCTTTAAAATCTCACAGAAATGAGGAGTGTGCATGACTACATCACAGAGCTCCAAAGCAATAAAACTCACAGTAATGTGTATATCACAGAGCTCCACTGCAATGCAGCTCCCAGTAATGCACATTGTATACGACTATATCACAGAGCTCCAAAGCAATGCAACTCACAGTAACGTGAAGGGAGATTGAATATCACGGAGCTTGAAAGCTTTAAAAACCTCATACAAATGTGGGGTGTGCATGAGTATATCAGAGAGCTCCACAGCAAGAAAATGTAAAGTAATGCACATTGTATAGGACTATCACAGAGCTCCACAGAAATGCAACTCACAGTAATGTGTTGTGTGTTGTGTGTTTGAGTATCACAAAGCTCCACACAGCAACACTTTTCAGAGTAATACGCATTGTATATGAATGTATCACAGAGCTCCACAGCAATCAAACAGTAATGTGTAGGAGTATATCACAGAGCTCCACAGCAATATAATTCACTGAAATGTAGTGTGATTGAGCATCACAGTAACCAGTCTAAAACAGAGCCAAGGCGTACAGAAATCACTTTGCGTAAAAATACTACTTTGGCATAGACACGTATAATTTTTCTTTAAAATTACCAAATGGCTATCAGTAGGTCATGAAGTCAAATAAAATATTCTGAAATAACTCTGCGTGTCTTGCTGCAGTCTATAGACTCTGTCTTTGCCATTTGAAAGGTTGGAAGACATGTGGTCTCATATGCCTCATAAAAACAATTCATTTGAAAACAATGCTGCATTGTGATGCACAAATGGAGGACAGAGTTGACAAATTTCACATTTTTTTTTAATCTAAAAAAAAAAAACAATATAGCCAATTAACAGTGGTCTTTACTGCCACTAAGCTCGAGACATTGTTCTTAGTGATTTTATGCCATTCAATATAATGGCAAGGTTTCACCAACTTCAAAATAGTTTTGGGGTTTCTTTTTCTCTTTTTTATTTTTAAATTAACGGATTCTATCATGGTCGTGAAGAGTATAGAGCAGCATTTTGCTTTTTCACAGTATTTTCATGTTTCTATTTTTTTTTTTCTTAAAACAAATACCAACCTCAACCCAGTGTATGGTTTCAATTATGACTTACCAGACCTTACAAAAAGGAAAAGTCTTGATTTATTCTGTGTTTTGCTCCAATTATGCACAATGTATTTCCACAGAACACTCTGAGAAAGAATTTCAGCGTGATTCTCATCCTGGAGCGGTTAAAGGGCGCCACTGGAATAAATTTAACCCTTCTATCTCCCTACCCAGAAGACTCTCTGGAAAATGCCAACTTTATTGTGACATGGCAAAGAGTAAAGACACAGGCGGCTTGACTGGGATTGAATATTTTCATAGAGACACTTCCCTAAAAGAAGGCAAAGAGGGGTGGATGGGATACAACAAAAAAAACACTATTCATTACTTTATTCTTGAGCAGCCTTGTGTCCATCTAAGAGCGCAAAGTCAAAGTACACTTGCAGACCTGGGTACTGGAATTGGGATTGACAAAAATTGGGTAAAATATAGGACCTGGACTAACATAAAGGTAAAGGTACACCAAGTTTTTTTTTGGTTGCCATGGTGCTAGATGCAATGCAGGATATGTTGTCGCTGGCATCCAAATTTGGATACATGTATACACGTAATGTGGAAATGGGCCAGGTTTGCGTTTCAGGAGAGACCCATTTTTTTGTCAAATCATTTTAAACCAACTTGAAAAAGACCTGAGGACTGTGATAAGCTGTGCTGTCATGGAGCTCAGAGTGTCTCTTTAATATAATTATGGATTACTATCTGGTAAAGGTAGCTGGCTCAACTTGTTTACAACTGGGGTTTGCAACATATTATACAGGAAGAGACTGGTTCACATACAATGCACGGCCTCCTGTACTCATGATGTGTTAAACAACATTTCCCATGTACAATGAGTTTATGTATTTTACCAGCATCTGGGATACCAAAGGTAGCCAGCACTGCTTTAAACCAGGGTATTCAAAAACTCTGGCCCTCCAGCGGTTGCTGAACTACAACTGCCATGATTCTTTGAATGCAATTAATAGCCCGGAGATTGGTAATCTGGATGCATAGCCTTGCTTCCCATTATTCGGAGTGAACAAGTTAATAGGGCTCTCTGTTAAAAGTCTCAGATATATAATGTATACTCAGCTTTTAGCAGAGGAGTAGACTTCTCATTCATTTCAGTGTCGCGCATGACATGTAGTTTGAACACATACAAAGGCAAGGCTTCGATTGTGTTTGTAACAAGATTAATGTCAATTTGTACTTAATATGTAATTTTGTCCTAAATCCACTCACCACAAAAAGAGGGTCATTCCACTCCTCGTAGGACCTGGCAGCGTACGGGTAGATCCGGTCGTTGATGATTTGGAGGGTCGCCAACGCAATGTGTTTCATTGACTGGAAATAGCCCTCCCAGAACCACCGGGCCTGAAAAACCCAAGAGAAGAATCAATTAAAATATTATTGTAGAAATGGGGATGTCAGCAAAATCATAAAGTTGACGATTTGTAGCAGACATTCTGAAAGGGAAATAAAGTCACTAATAATTGAATAAATGATTTATAGAGACAGTAAAAACATGTGACAACTCAGCCATTTACTGCATTACACTGGCAGGGGATTAACCAAAGCTTGCTGAAGAAAAAAAGCCAATCACCATATAACTGGAATGTAGCTCACCTCTCTACTAAAACATGGGCAAAGTTTCATTAACCAAAGGAAGCCTATGAGGTCCATGTTTTTTAACTACACTCTATATTGCAGTCTGTCGGCAACTAAACAGAAATATCTAGGGAAGCAGTTGGCCTGTCTGTTTGGAACACTGAAAGCCTCAAAGATCATCAGTTTGAAAGATCTCCTAGGTTTGTGAACACTGGTTTGGTATATTTACAGGTGCACATGAAAACAGAAAGGTATATGATGTATATTCACCTGTCATTCAAACTTTAATTGACTCTGTTGTAATCTTGAATTTGCTATGCACTTTGGTGCAGAATCCAGTTATTACAATACTACAAAATGTTTAGTAAACTTTAGGTCTCAATTTAATAAGAAACTTTTAAAATGATTTGATATTTTTGGATAAGCTTTTTAAAAATTTTTTTTTTTTAAATGTTATAATATAAGAAAATACAATATATATATATGTATGTAATGTTTAAAGGACAAAAGGCTGTATTTGTGGGAGGAGTTAGTGTTCCTATATATATAAAAAAAAAAATAAACACCCCACCTTACCTTTGCCGTGCCGTTCATCCCACCCACCCACCTCACCCTTCTCCTTTAAATTCATTTTACAGGGGTGCCCTCTTTTATTACAGGTCTACCCTTAACGTCCATTTTGGCACACCACTACTGACCTGTACCATCAATAATGTTATAACACGGCTTGAATATTACCGACCACAAATAAATAAATTATATATATTATATATTTGTATTTATTTCACACACACACTTGTCAAAAATATCAAAATAAAAATTGTATTTTTTTTTCATAATATTAAATCATTTAAAAGTTTATCCAAAAATAATAAATCTGACAAGCTGATCTGAAAATATTAAATCAAGGCCTTATTTTCTTATTTATAACATTGGTCAAAATGTATATGGTTAAACAAATAGGTCAAATCCAACCAAAAGTGACCATTTAACTCTCTGGTTACGAATGCAGTTATAGACTAGTATGGAGATCACAAGCAATGGTGATCTTTGGATTTCTTTAAGGACTGACCTTCAAACTTGTGTATACACAACATAATTAGCAGACCTCTCGCAATCCAGCTGTTGTGGATTAAGAGTTGTACCAGGTTTACCCTTGGCACTCCAGCTGCTATGAACTACATTTCCCATGATGCACAGTGAACCAAATACCTGGTTGTACATCATCAGATCACGTACAGTTAAAGTGCCAAGGGCTAGTATTTAATAGTTAGATTATAGCTAGAGTTAAAGAAAAAAAAATCCTTTGCCTTCCCGAAATTCCTTGACTGAAATCCATTTTGCCAAATCTTGTACCTTCAGGGATGCTGACTTCATGCTACAAACCTCTAGAGTTACAAAGTTTTGAAGAAAGGGGGCCTCTGAAGGGCTGACTATCAAATAAAGCGGTTTTAATTTACAGCCTCGGGGGTTTACCAATGGCCCTGTGGAGATTGCATGTTAAAGGAGAATGGAGGGGGAGCAAAGGGGCTTGTGTCGCACTAGTACAAATCAGCAGCTATAAGTCCATATCTACAAGTAAAGCACACAGACCATAAATAAGCTGCGCAGAAAATCATATACAACAATAAGATTCAGAGATTCCTATCACAGTGTGCTGCATGTACATTAAAGGGACAGTGTTCCCCAATACGTAAATTATTAGTTTCACTTCCCAGTCTTAGTAAGTCTAATGGAAAGTTTGCCAGCTGACGTTAAAGGAACACTAAGCACCAAAACCACTACAGCACGTCACAAGTGCACTGGTGCCCGCTGAGATAAGCCAAGCAATGTAGGTCTTGCTCATTGGCTGAGAGCATCAGCTGATCGCTGGCACCCAGATAAGAAGTCAAACCATTCTAAATTGGTTTAACTCACTAACTGCTGACTCACACCCCCCACACCTGTTGGAGATGTGAACTGGAAGAAGGGACCGTTCACCATATATGGTGGCAATGTCCATCCATTAGACCTTTTTGGACCACTGTCCAAACCCTCCTTGAAAAAAACGACCAAACTCAAAATACCCCATAACCCACAAATCTATGTACCTATGCTTCTCCCAGAAGGGATACCCAAATTTAAACGGAAAGTCCTTTACCATATCCTACTGTGAGCCCATAAATTAATAGAAAGAGCATGGAAGTCCACACAATGCCCGTCTATGTATTTGCTAACCTCGGATGTAGATGGCCAACGCACTTATGAACAAAACTTTAGTAAATTGTGGCCCTCATCTCAGACAACCATGGCAGCATGGAACACCTGGGACGCATGGAGATCGGTCCAGTCTGTACAACAGAGTAACACTAATGTACAATGTACACTATCCACACCATAAAAATGTATGTATAAAAAGAAGCCATTGCCACTCTTATTGCCAAAGACACTTGAAAACCTCCTACTAGAAACTGTTAATCTATACCACAGACCAGGAGTATGTGATGTCCACAATGTACTATTTGATTATCTGCTGAACCTTCCCCTTTCTTTTCTGTACCCGTTCCCCCCTTATCTGTTTATTTGTCTGAAAAATAAAAAAGTTGTCAAATTTAAATTGGTTTGACTAATTACACTGGAGAGGGGGGCCCAGGGCACTCCTTGCACCATAACCACTATTGCACGCTCTACTAGTTATGGTGTTTGGAGTAATGAACCCAGTCAGTCTAGAAGATTGGCGGTATGCATCGAGAGCATGACACACGGTCAATGCTCTTCAACAGTGGTTGGTCTCAACATTCATGTGGCATTATCCATGTGGTCAAACAAGTTTATCATGGAATAGCAAAGAGGCCAGAAATTAAATATGAACTTCAAGATACCATAAGTCTATGAAATAAGAGATGAAACACATCGGCCAGCCCAAGACAGATTAATTAGTTGTGTGCTTCCTCAGTTCTTCATTTCACTATGTCTACTGAAAAGTGTATATGAAGTGTCTCCCACAAGAGGATCTTAAATTATTACATTTGTTCAAAACATCCTAGCTAATGGGGGGGTTCAATAAAAACATAATCAATTTGAAACATACTATGAACGAACTGTTGTTTTGGCCATGGTGCCTACAAAAAGTAACTGTTTGCGCCGTTTAAACATTTGAGCATTTTATGCATTTATTCTCCAATACCTGAATTTATCAGGTTAGTCAAATTTCAAAATATACAAAAACTGGCCACTAAATGGAAGAAGTAATGCTCTTAATGACGAACGATAAAGAAACACTTTGACTATCAACATGCCTTTGGCTTAGATTTGTCTCTTTTCGGTCACCAACATACTGAAAGAGGAGTTTTATAAGAAATGGATGTCCGTGCAGGACAATATAGTCAAATGTTTCTTGTAAAAGTGAGAGAGAGAGTCCATAGTAAGATAACACAAATGGTAAGTAATATGCATTCTCACAAGAACTATTTACCCAGACATACGTATAGAATAAAAAAAACGGATCATTAAACTTAACGGCACGTTAAAATGCCATCTCTCCTGGTTTAAGGTTTACAGATGAGCAAAGACCAAGATAGCTACTAAAATTCCAGAGGACGCAAAAAAACGAATTAGTATGACACCGCACAGCATGAAGTATGTCCGCAAGAATGCACAAATCCTAACTTTTTAACAACAGTTAGTCTTTGGTGAGCCAAAGATGGATGTAAAAGTACAGCCTGCAGCTGGTTAAGACAAAGTGGTAAAGTAGGGAGAAAAATAAAAAGTATACCATATGTTGTATATGAAGTAGAGTCTTTATTCGGGCAGGTATCTCTAAATATATGTAAAGTCAAATCACAAAGGAAAGATTAAGGTAGTGATTAGATCAGAAAAAACAAAAAACACATATTGGATCTGTTACAAACCAAATGAATATTTAATGAACATGCTTTATTGTCCGGAAAATCATGAATGGGAAACTCACTCTAGTCTGAGAACTGGAACAGGTTTCAAAGTATAACCTTCCACAGGCACACAGAAAAAATAGGGCTCATTCACTAAACAAGGAATGAAAAACAAGCTGGAGATTGGGCCAAAGCAACTGGGTTCCAATGGAATGTTCCTTTTAATTTAACATTTTTATTCATTAAAACTAGTGTCCCTCGGGGCGGAGCCAGCGCCTAAACAAGCAAGTCGCAACTCACCACAGCTCCGAGCGTGAGACCCAGGAAAAGGGATATCCAAGCGACAAAAACCGCCTCGGGGACCTGACAAACAGATCCCCAAGACACTATGGGGAAGAAAATGAAGAAGTGCAGAGCAGATCCTGGCTCGGGATCCAAAGATATAGGCACTTTTAACGCAGCTGCACGTACCTGGCAAGATGGCGCCGATAGAGGCCTTCGACACACAGTCATCCGACGATGACAGCGCACTCGATTCCTTCCACGTTTCCAGCAAGGTGCATATTACACCCCAGCAGCCTAAAGAATTGGGCGACGCAGCACCCGCCACGAAAGCCGACATCAAGGCACTGATGGTAAACATCAAAGCGATGTTTGATGCCGACATGGCACTTGTCCGAGGGGAGGTCTCCACACTTGCAGGCCGGGTGGTTTCCGTTGAGGAGTCCCTTGGGGGCGCGAGAGTAGCACAAACGGCGACAGACGCTGCCCTGGGACAGTTGCAAAAACAATGTGCGGCGCTGACCGCTCAATTAGCGGGCATGGAAGACAAAACTAGAGCCCGAAACCTGCGAATCCGGGGAGTGCCGGAATCGGCGGGAAACCTGGAATTACCACACTATTGTAGGAGGCTGGTGGCAACCTTACTGACTCCCAAACAAGCGAAGCAGGTAGGGATCGACACCTGCTTTCGCCTCCCCAAGGCACTCAAAGCGCCCCAAGAAGCACCGAGGGATGTGTTAATTAAATTTGTCCGGGACTCGGACCGGGGGGCTCTCATGGGAGCCGCGAGAGGCTCTCCCACCATCATGTTTGAGGGAGCAAGTTTGACCCTATACAGAGACTTCTCAAAGCACACTCTCACCTGGCGCAGGTCTCTCCGCCACATCACCTTGCTACTGGGCGAGAACTCTATCCCCTATAAATGGGGCCCTCATCGTTTAACCGTAGAGCATGCCGGTAAGACGACCCACTTGACACACATATCTGAAGCGCCTAAGTTTCTCCAGTCACTGGGACTCTCGCTTCCTACAGCAGTGACAAGGGCCAACCCTGCGTGGAATGTCGACGATATAACTCCCTTTGTGCCCAGAAGAACTGAGCCAAAGATGACGGATCCTTTAACATGAGAAATGCGACCGCACATGCAAGTGCACCTGTGAAATGTCTGATAGGTCCCTTACTGCAGGACTATAAATTGGACACCTTTCATATGCTGAACTTACCTAGTCTTTTCGCTCACCTTAGAAGCAGTGACTTTTTGGTTTTTGGTTTCTTTTCTCAAAGTTTCTTAAGTTTTCTAAGGTCTTAAAAGTTTATTTTTTGTTTGTTTTAAGTTTATGAAGATTACAGGGCAACAGATATATTTAAATCTCTGGCTCCGTAAGCAGACTCCCACCGATCCTGGTTAAGCAGACTTGCCCCTCCCCTAACACGAAGCAAATGCAGAGGCCCGACACTCTGTGTACAAGCGCCATACTGGGAGACTTGCGAGGTCCTGCACCATTCCTATCAACGGCCATAATAACCACACTCCCTCACCTAATAATACAAGTGCCCAGGCTGCGCCTACAGCCCCAACATTCCTAAGCAGAGCACATAAAGCTGTACACTAGCCCCTCAGGGTAGCCATACGCCTTAGTAGCCACTAACACGAGGGAGAAACGCAGGGCTTTACCCAGTGGTGTATCCTGGTTTTGTGCTGCCCTAGGCAGGACAAAACTCAGGCACCCCCCCGCGCCACCCCCACCCACGCAACCACCACCCAACCTTCCCCCCTGCTCCGCCTTCTAAATACACACACACATTCACTGACAGATACGCATTCACTAGCTAACAGAAACACACAGTCACTAACAGACACACACTCACACACACACTAACAGACATCCACACTAACAGACACACTAACACTAACAGACACACACTAACATACACACACTAACACTAACATACACACTAACAGACACAAACACTAACAGACACACTAACAGACACAAACACTAACAGACACACTAACATACACACACTAACAGACATCCACACACACTAACATACACACACACTAACATACACACACACACTAACATACACACACACACTAACATACACACACACACTAACATACACACACTAACAGACACACTAACATACACACACCAACAGACATCCACACACACACAAACACACACACACACTAACACTAACATACATACACACTAACAGACTTCCACACACACACAAACACACACACACACTAACACTAACATACATACACACACCAACATACACACTAACAGACTTCCACACACACACTAGTGTTTTTTTTTTTTTTTTTTATTTAACCCCCCCCAGCCTCCTTACCTTTGGTAATGCTGGGGGGGGGTTCTTCCTCTCCCTGGGGTCCAGTGGCTGCAGCGCTGGGCGGGCGGCCGCCGAGGGAGCTCTTCCCCTGAGCGCTCTGCTCTGCTCAGCTGAATATGACGTCATCTTCCGGCCTCACTCTGCTGGCGGCGCGCAAGGGAGCTAAGCAGAGCTCAGGGGAAGAGCTCCCTCGCCGGCCGCCCGGCTGCCCGCCCAGCGCGCCAGCTCGGCATGTCTGTTAGCCGCGAGGCTAACTAGGCATTTGCCCTGGGCATTTGGGGGGCGGCATTTTTTGCCGCCCCCTGAAAAAATGCCGCCCAAGGCAAATGCCTTGTTTGCCTCGCGGCTAATACGCCCCTGGCTTTACCTATTAAAAATCGGGTTGCAAAGTTTCTATGCAAATACGAATGTTATATGAAGACTATCTTAAATGTATTTTTGTACATGTTATTTCACTTTCATTCTGCATATAATGTACTACGTGTTTAACTCTCGTATACCCACAAAAATAAAGAATAATAAAAAAAAAAAAACTAGTGTCCCTTACACACAACCCATCTCGGTGAATAAAGGGTTTTTTTAAAAAAAAAAACAAAAAAAAAAAACAACCCTTTATTTACTTACCATATCGAAGCTCCGCCCCTCGATGAGCGGGGTCTAATGCCGCACGCGCATTAGACCTCCCCATATGAAAGCATTGAATCAATGCTTTCCTATGGGGAAAATCTGACTCTGGAAGTCCTCAGTCAGAGCGTGAGGACATCCAGCATCAGATAACGTCACGACTCCGGAAGCGCTCCTAGTGGCTGTCTGGTAGAAAGCCACTATGGGCAGACTTAGTGTTGCAATGTAAACATTGCAGTTCTCTGGAACTGCAATGTGTAACATTGCAGCACTAGGTGCAAAAGAGACACAGCACCCGAACCCCTTCAATGAGCTGAAGTGGTTTAGGTGCCTACAGTGTCTCTTTAAACACGTATACGAGTCCAGCGGAGAGATCCATCAACGTTAGATCTAACTCCTTCTCTGACGCCAGCCAATGGTAACTCATATGAATGCATAGCGAGCATTGCACATTAGACCTTTGCCATAGGAAAGCGTTCACTGAATGCTTACCTGTGGGGATTTTGAAGACACTGGACTTCCTCATGCAAGAGTTATACTCTATGAAAAGCAAGGAAGTGCAGTTGTCTGGTAGACAGTCACCAGAGGCAGTTTTAACCCTGCAATGGGCATTGAGGCCAGAGACCCTTCACCTGGACCACTTCATTGAGATAGAGTGGTCTGGGTGCCTATAGTGTCCCTTTAAGTAAAAAAAATCCACAGTTGATATTCTTAGTCAAGAGCAACTAATTGGTAATACTTTAATTGTTGCAAAGATACATTTTCTATGAGCTCAGCCTTGTAATCCACAGCCCCGAAGGATCCTCTATGGCGTCTATTGCATGTTAGCCGACCCTATTTGAAAGTGCAGTACTTTTTGAAGTCTAAATGCCCTATTGGGCTCCTGGCATTAATTTTCTGAGGCCAAGTCATTCATGATCATCCTCACTGCCATTATGCCACATCAATCTCTTTGCGTCTCTGGTCCAATCAAATACTTCTCACAGGGAAGCATTGTTGTACCACTGAACGATACACTGCGTATGCGAGAAGTCGCATCTCATCTTGGCATTAGAGCTTGACCACCAGCCAACCAAAATTCAAGGAGAAGGAGGGATGAATGAAGGTAGGGGGGTGGACAGAGTAAGTGAATGAACGCTGGGAAGAGAGGCCTCACCTTGCAGGTGATTACATGTGTAACCAGAATGCAATGCATGCCAATGTCGGACTTCATTTGCGCAGAACAGGCAGTCCGGAACAGAGTTTCAGGCTGCCTAAGTCACATGGTGCCAGGAGTGCAACTAGATTATGGCACAAAAATACACATTTATCTCAATAGACAGCATTTCAAGCTTAAAAGCTGCACATACAGATCGCTTGCACCATCACCGCTTCTAAAAGTAGAAGTGGTCATGGGTGTTGGAGTAATCCTTTAAGTATGTTTATTATCAAAAAATATTAACTAAAATAAACATAAAAGGTATGTGTTTACAGGTCACAAAACAACAGAATAATAGACACACAAAACCTACCCACTATTGGATTTGGTGCAAAAAAAATTAATTATTTCATTATTTGGTGCAAAAAAAATAATTATATATATATATATATATATATATATATATATATATATTTGCAATAAGTATGAAATAATCATTTTGTCCTAAAATGTCCCCGTTTTGTCATAAAACATCTACAAATCCTGCAGACCATGAGGACACTGCAAAATAAAAACATACAGGCACCTTCTGCTATCAGATGCCAATCGCTCTGCTTGTCCAAGCTTATTTCTGCAGAATAAACAGTCTTCAAGCTCCGTAGTCCTTTAAATGTTCTGCGGTTTGGCTCTACGCCAGCGGTCATCCATCACTCCCCAATACCTGCCTTGTTAGGCAGCTCCTTATTTAGCATCGGCCAGTTCCAAGACTTGCAAGGTTTGGGTTTTAAATTAAAAAGCTGCGCACTTTAAATATTCAGTGGCAAATCAGAGCTGACATTTTACATACAGCCGACCCATAACTCAGAAGGATTATTTATTGCTTATTCGGAGCTCCACTTTTTCAGGCTGCCATGATCAACTCTCCTGAAGCTCTCTAGGGATGGCGCAGCCTCCAGGCTAAAACGGGTGCTCGCTTTTTGTTTAGTTTTTTTTTTTCTACTTCTTGCATAAGACTGATTCTCCTTCATTTTTTTTTTTTTGTGGAGCTCCCAAGTCATCATTCATCCTCTCTCTCTCACTCTCTACCAGCTCAAAGGAAGGAAGGTCACAGTGTTGTACAGGCAAATAATAAATATTGAAAAAGATCTAAGGGAATTTAGTGGTTTCTTCCTTACTTATTAAATTCAATCCCCTGGTGAAAGTCTTGCTAACGACTGCAGGGACTCTGCAGTAATCAGTGGCACGTCCTCTAAAACAGCAGTTATTCGAACACCAGAAAAAAAACAACTATTACATATCTCACAATTTATTGCCTTGAGTGCAGAATTTTCTGACTGCATTTTCCAAAGATCTGCACGTGTTCGATAGAACAGAAGAAAACTGGCTCTGGAGATAAGTTGTTCACAGCTGTGAAACCTGACTTTGGGTCAATTTAGTTCAGTCTCAGACAACAAGGCCCAATTTGGACATTAAATGTTTGTTGTACTTATTTTCACCATATTTTTGTTTGTTGACTTAACTCATTTCTGCTGCAGTGCATAATACACCAAGAATAAGAATCATGCTGTCTAGCAGCTATTCAGACTGATGCACCCTGAGAGATTGCTACAGAAGGATCATGAGATGAGGTGTTAAGTGGCGCTTTAATGGAGACCAAAACAAGTTTTTAGCACAACTGTGCAAAGGATTCTGGGTACAGAATCTCTTAATCCATCGACCTGGGTCCCATCCATACCTTTAAAATGTTTACTCATCTACCAAATAGTGCTGGGGATTCACCACATCCCGACGCCCCGCTGTGCTCAAAGGGCTCTCCCCCCAAAAAATACAAGAAGGCTAGCAGGAAGAGTTGAAAGAAGAGTTGGTCTGTCAGTTGCTGCACTTCAGAGCCTTGCAGGGTTAGAGGTTAGTAAAGCAAAGCTGCTGGCCAAATAAAACCTTGTTTGCAGAAGCCACATAGCAGATAAATCACGGATCTGTTTACACCTCTCCAGTCCTTCTGACCCACACATGTTGCTTTGTCCCTTGTTGCTCCCCTGATTGGATTTTCGTTGTCAAAGTAAAAAAAACAAACAATAATAATACAAACTAATATGGTTACAATCTCTACACTGAATAAAATATAATAGCCTCACCTGAAGCATGGGTTTCAGGGCAAGATATACAATTAGAATGATTTCTACGATTTCTCCAACAGATTCTGTAGTGCTGTACAATAGGTAAACAAGACAAACATTTAACAAAATACATATGACGTCTAACAGTAACAGTAGGTGACAAGGGTCCTGCCCAGATGAGCTTACAATCTATACAGCAAAGGGAATGCCAGGAATTCAGTATATTCTTTTAACCCACTCCCAATGGGTGGCAAAACACGCCCTTAAGATCGTGCCCTCCCTGCAGGACAAATACCCACCCCCTCGCCACCGGATCCGATTGGGGGGACCAAGGGAGTCCCACAAATCTGAGATATGTGATCGAGATGACAACAAGAAAAAAACAACACCAAAACAATGAATCCAAATTGGCTCAATTTATAAAGAATGTCCCCCACACCTTCTAATGTGAGTCAGAACACTTTGATTGGTTTGGAAGCATTTTTAGTGACTGGGCAGAAATAACTACTGGTTACTCATTGTTAAGTAGACATGCCCCCACCTGCAACAAGGTGAATGGGGGCATATGGGTAGATTTAATCCTTTTTAAAGTTAGATGGGCATCATATGGAACCCCATAGGCTTGTTTTTCTACTTTATTAGGACAACTAGCTAGAGTGCTGGCGAACGCCTTCGATTAGCCCTTGGCACTGCTGCGGGTTTGTTTTATTTTCATATTTCAGATATTTAAAATTCGGGTCCAGAATTTATTAATCCAGCTCAACGCGAGACAATTCTGGTTCAGAGCCTAGAACACAAAATCCAAACATTGTTAAATAGTTTGAACACTGTCCGAATGGTCATACAAGTGTAAAAGTGAAACACATCTTTCTGAAAAGCTACTATTATGTGACGGGGGAATGGAGAGCAATGCGTCTGGGTTGTGTTTTAATAAGCCTTTCAAAACATTTGCAGCATACTGCAACAAAAAATGCTTAAATAATAGTAATAAAAAAAGTTGCTCCCTGCCAAGCATAAGTAAAAAAAAATACATTTCTAATTCCTGAGAATTTTGGAATCTGTGGCCATCTTCACATTTTCCTGCAAATCTTTGGCGACCACTGAAGGCAAGGTAAATAATTTCTCCATTTGGATAATACACTCTGGAGAAAGAATGATGGTGATTTTAGTACATTTGCCAAACTAAAGGCAAACAACCCTCAAAAAAAGATTTTGGGTCAGAAATCCCATGGGAGATGAAACTGAAAACAGATTGCCTCAAGTTTTTTTTTTTTCACAATGCAGCCCAAAAAAAACAAAAAACAACAACCCCCTCCCTCGCCCCACACACAAACAAACTGCATTATGACAGCATGAATATTACTATAGTTAATTAAATAGCGCCAACATATTCTGTAGCGGGGATGACCGCAAACAAATGACAGAATCACTTTCTTCAAAATCATTTTCGGATCGACTAAAATGAAAGAGAAAGTTCCATCACAAGATAGATAGATCTCTTTTTTTGTACCACTTGATAAACTTCCAATATGCGTATGTTGAATCTGATGTCAGTATTAATGTTCATATATACACTTTTGTCTGTTTTTTTTTTTACTTTTTTGGTGTAAAGCACATGTTTCTGTCTGAGAGATAAAAATAATGACTCGTTATCTACTGCATGGCACAAAACAAAAGAATGCTCTGGATTTTACTCAGAATTTTAAGGAAGGTGTGCAGGGAATAATAAATGCGTTACACAGGTTTTACTGAAAAACAATCCATACAGTGCAAAGGAGCGACCAACTAATTTCCAGATGACCACAAATCCATTTTTTCAACGTAGCCATGGTGGTAGGAAACAAAATATATAAACTGTAAGTTAAAAGCACCTCTTATTAAGATATACGCAATTTTTGTCCCCATCTGGTTTTAGAAGAATTACAATATGGCACAGTGAAAATGGCAAAATTGAGGCAATCATGTTCATTTGTAATAAGTTAAGTGGATCCCAATTAGGTCACCTGCACGCAATAGATCTGAATTTGTTATTTTAAAAAGCTGAACTGTCACTGTGGAGATTTTTGCACGATTTTAAGTGTTTGATTTTAAGTCAAAAAATCTCTGTAGTTTTAATATATAGGATTATTCGACTGAATTACAGTACATACAATGTAAATTAACAGCAATATGCACATATTCACTAGAATGGACATTTCTATACAGATGCCAGAGTGCAACCAAAGCATCATGGGTGCACCAATGACAGCTGGAACATGGAAGTGCCGCAGAGGTAAGAGCAAATGCTTCAATAGAATTTACTGGGATGAGAGAACATGGAACTCTCCCTCCTGGACAAGTCTTAAATACCTGAATGACATTCAATATAGCACTTTCCCTTTAACATTCATTCCAGACACTCATTATAAAAACACTATCCAGATATGACTGCACGTCCGTAGACTACAAGGCTTGTCACGCTCAGCCAGCAATTTATTGAGCACAGTGGAACTTGCAGTGTACGCAGTTGACATGGCAGAGGTTATTAACCCTTATTGCACAAAGGTTCACGAGATCTAAACAAACAGCAATTTGTCTAAACTGTTACCTAACATTTGTTAAAGGGCAGAACATCCACTGACATACCAAATCAACAAGTAGAGGGAAAAAATATCCCCTGTTGCTATGAGTTGCTTTCGCTATGGTTTTTGGACTTTGTGTATCTTTCCGTATCAGCAAAACACAAAGCGAGGCACACTAGTACGTCCACCGGTAGGAAAAATGAATGAAAAAAAGAAAAGAAAAAAACCTTGGTAAGGGAAAGATGGTGAAAATGCTTCCAACAAAATGTTCCACTTTTCCATCCTGTGTTTTTCCTCCCCATTTACCAACTGGCAACAGTATGTGATGGGAGGCGGTGCAGTAAAAAGGACAGAATATGGCTGGGTGCATGCAAGGGGCATCTCAGGGACATCTCACGGAACATGTGAATATTACAACATTACCCAAATGTGAAAGAAAATAAACCTCAAAAGGGTTTATTCAATCAACAATTTATAGCAAAACGAAGGCAACAGCAGCTGATTTTGAAAAATAAAAATACTCAATTCCGCCATAGTCACAGCTTGGCTACTTTATTTTTAATCCTGCCACATGCTTTTGAATTTACAGTTACAAAGGTTACAAAGAGAGTAAATGTATATATGTCTAGATAACCTATTTTGTTCCTTGTGGGAGCATTAAAAAGACACTCCAGGACCATAACAACTTCATTGTTATGAAAATGCTACGGTGCGAGGAGGATCCCAGGTGCTGGCTTACGTCAAGGACTTAAACCGATAAAGAACAGTTTAACCCTAAAGTGTTTAACTCAACACACATCTGCTTTGCCCATCTCCTTCTGGTGCAGCCTGCAGCTTGAATCAGGGAAGAAAAATCCCAAGATGTAATTGTCTTGAGAAAAAGAGTACCTTTCGCAAGTGATTTTGTGAATAGGGAGCTACTGATCATGTCAGTAACCACTCTAAGCAGCACCCCTGTCCAAGGCATCCTGTCAAGCCTCTGAGTGCAACAGAAGCGGTTGGCCAGAGTGATTGGGCGCCGGATTCAACATTTTGGGTTTAAAGGAACACTCCACACCCATAGAGCACTTCAGGTTGCTGAATTGCTATTTGGCTATGGAGTATCCTCTTAAAAGTCCCTTTTACAAAATGCATTTTTCTTTGTGAAATTAGAAGTTTATAATTAAAAATAGAAACGCCTCCACTGAGCTAACAAAAGTAGCAAGCATGTTCTACTAGAGTGCTTCTGCCTTCCAAAATTGCCCGCAAAGAATTCTCAATGTCGTTCTTCCATGCCGATTGCTTTCCAGTAGTGCGCACATATCTACATGTGTGCGAGTAAGAGTGATCATGCGTGTGCACACCCAATCAATTAAACTAGTGACTAGAAAATCTTCTCGCAATTCAGAACAGCACAAATAAAAAAATTTAAAAAACTCTCGATCACGCAGTGACTCATGGGAAAGTGCAAAGAGACGGAATAGAAACGGAGTCTTCTCAATGAGAAAAACTGCAGCTTTTGCAAGCTGTTTTAGACTATACCCCCAATGAATACATGCATAAAAAATGCATTAATGTATTTTTTTGTGGGTATATCTATTAAACTGTGGGGTTCTTTGTTTTTTACAGTGTGAAGTTGTCCTTTAATCTGCTCATTGATGGTTGCGACAAGCTGGCGCCTGGGGTCCTCCTTGCAACATAACATTCATCAAGATAACCTTGTTATGGTGCCGGACTGTTCCTTTAAAACTTAACAGCAAGTCACATAATATCACTATAACATACTTGATGTGTGCTTATTTCATGCATGTTTTCTCAAAAAAAAAAAAAAAATCACAAATGGAAGAGACAAGAACAAACAATTGGTCCCAGCATTGAGATGTCCTTCATGTTTATATGTAACTAGTAAAGAAGAATGGATTTGCATCCTACTTCTAGATCACATAACTAATTAAACCCTGAGGGAAATTGTAGGTAGCAATAGGCAATATATTCACTCTAACACAGGGTGATAAATAAAAAAATTTACCTATCTTCAAAAAGTACATTACATTTTCTTGTGATCCAAGGCATCTTTCTATACAAAAAAAAAGTAATGGCTCTTTAAGGCATCTAAATCTGAGAGAGACACCTAGTGGCAAATAATTTAACTGCAGACAAAATCTCATAAAAACACCAACACAGATACATATATGTACCGTAAATATAAAAATGAAAGTTGATATCTTACCTGTCTCTGCATCTCCTCTACCTGCCTCTGAGGAATGCTCTGCAGAACACTGTACATTTCAAGTATTTTCTCTTCAGGGATCACAACAGACGCTCTGGATAGATCACAGAGATGTGTCAGACTGGATAAAATATCCTTGATATACAGGGTTAGTAAAACGCTATATCCCAGATTACATGGTTAGTAAAGAGCTAAGCTGTATTCCAAATATACAGGGCTAGTAAATAGCTGTATCCTACATATACAGGGTTAGTAAAGAGACCTGAGCTATATCCCAGATCCACAGTGTTAGTAAAGAGCTATATCCCACATATGCAGGGTTAGTAAAAAGCTACAGTGAGGGGAAAAAGTATATGATCCCCTGCTGATTTTGAACGTTTGCCCACTAACAAAGAAGTGATCAGTCATAATGGTATGTGTATTTTAACAGTGAGAGACAGAACAAAAATAAATCCAGAAAAACGCATGTTTTAAAAAAAAAAAAAAAGGTTATAAGGTGATTTGCATGTCAATGAGTGAAATAAGTATTAGATCCCCTATCAATCAGCAAGATTTCTGACTCCCAGGTGTCTTATACGGGTAATGAACTGAGATTAGGGGCACTCTCTTAACCCCTTAAGGACACATGACATGTGTGACGTCATAATTCCATTTTATTCCAGAAGTTTGGTCCTTAAGGGGTTAAAGGGAGTGCTCCTAATCTCAGTTTGTTACATGTATAAAAGACACCTGTCCACAGAAGCAATCAATCAGATTCCAAACTCTCCTCCATGGCCAAGACCAAAGAGCTGTCCAATGATGTCAGGGACAAGATTGTAGGCCTACACAAGACTTGAATGGGCTACAAGACCATTGCCAAGCAGCTTGGGGAGAAGGTGACAACAGTTGATGCGATTTTTCGCATATGGAAGAAACACAAAATAACAGTCAGTCTCCATCGGTCTGGTGCTCTGTGCAAGATCTCACCTCGTGGAGTTTCAATGATCATGAGAACGGTGAGGAATCAGCCCAGAACTACATGGAAGGATATAGTTAATGATCTTAAGGCACCTCTGACCATAGTCACCAAAAAAACTATTGGTAACACACTACGCTGTGAACCTGGAAATCCTGCCGCGCCCGCAAGGTCCCCCTGCTCAATAAAGCACATGCACAGGCCCGTCTGAAGTTTGCCAATGAACATCTGAATGATTCAGTGTTGTGGTCAGATGAGACCAAAATCAAGCTCTTTGCCATCAACTCAACTCGCCGTGTTTGGAGGAGGAGGAATTCTGCCTATAACCCCCAAGAACACCATCAAACATGGAAGTGGAAACAATTTGCTTTGTGGGTGTTTTTCTGCTAAGGGGACAGGACAACTGTACTGCATCAAAGGGACAATGATCAAGGCCATGTACCATCAAATCTTGGGTGAGAACCTCCTTACCTCAGTCAGGGCATTGGAAATGGGTTGTAGATGGGTATTCCAGCATGACAATGACCCAAAACACACATCCAAGGCAACAAGAGAGTGGCTTAAGGAGAAGCACATTAAGGTCCTGAAGTGGCCTAGCCAGTCTCCAGACCTTTATCCCATAGAAAATCTGTTTTTGCCAAATGTCAGCCTCAAAACCTTAATGACTTGGAGAGGATCTGCAAAGAGGAGTGGGACAAATCCTGAGATGTGTGCAAACCTGGTGGCCAACTACAAAAAACGTCTGACCTCTATGATTGCCAACAAGGGGTTTGCCACCAAGTACCAATTCGAAGGGGTCAAATACTTATTTCATTCATTGACATGCAAATCAATTTATAAGTTTTTGACATGCGTTTTTCTGGATTTGGTTTTTGTTATTCTGTCTCTCACTGTTAAAATACACCTACCAGTAAAATTATAGACTGATCATTTCTTTGTCAGTGGGCAAACGTTCAAAATCAGCAGGGGATCAAATACTTCTTACCCTCACTGTATATCCCAGATGTACAGGGTTAGTAAAGAGCAGAGATGTATCCCAGATATACAGGGCTAGTAACGAGCTGTCTTCCAGATACATAGGGTTAGTAAAGAGCTATATCCCAGATGTACCGTGCTAGTAAACATCCGTGCTACATCCCAGATATAGAGGGTTAGTAAAGAGCCAAGCTATACCTCAGATATACAGGGTTAGTAAAGAGTTTCACTGAGGTGTTACCTTTTCCAGTCCAGGACCTCGGAGAAAGGGAGAATATAGGAATCGGCGATGATGACAGGGACACAGCCAGCTTGCAAAACATCACTGAGAACAGCTTGTCCCAATCGGGCTCCACGGATGACAAGACAAAATGTAGCTTCCTGCAAAGACAAACACATCAAGTTCTATCATTTGATCGCTATGAAACCAATACAATTACATCTACAGCCTAGGGGCACCTTTATTAACGCCCCTTCATTCCACCAGCCATCCAAAACACTTCCTGTAAAGAGACATCTAATGCTTACACTTCCTTTTATTGCACACGCTGTTTAACTTAGAATTTCTTATTCTGTTAGCTTGCTAGAGCCTTTTGTGTGTAAAAACTTCTAAAGTAAACACATTGCGCTGATTGAAATGGAAATAATTTCTTCATGTTGTCTGTGTGAGTCACAGACAGGGAGATGTGCCTAGGGCTGCATAAACAGAAGCAAACGTGATTTAATGCCTAAATGGCACAGAATTGAGAAGTAAGACTGCAGGGGCATGATCTATACATCAAAAACTGCTTCATTTTGCTAAACTTGTTTTGGTGCTTATTATATCCCTTTAGCGCCCATTCAACTGCATGGACCCTATAGAACTGCAATTTTGCCAAGAGGTACCTTAGTCGCATTACCTGCATCCAATCTCTATGAAACGAATATAATTATGTTTCCTGCGTAGGTGTACCTTAGTGCGAGTCCCTGAATGAGTACAAGACTGGTGAAAACAAAGTGCACTATAGACCATGGACCAAGAAGTAGCTAAACATTCCTATGGCAAGGTTTCTTGAGTTTTGTAAATTTTAATATCAAAAGATCAATGTCAGCTGAGTTATTCTCACTTTTATTCTGATTATCAATTTAACCCATCAGCTAAAACAAGAGAATTACTAAACTGTTTCGCTCGATTACCTGGAGTACTTGAGGATAATCATAAACTGTATTTTTATGACATCGCTTGCGATGTGGCATGGCTCCTTCGGAGAGGTTAGTGCATTTGTCCAGGAGCAGAACAGAGTCTCCATTCTCTGTACGGATCGTTTCGAGGTCAGTGCGGAATTCTGGATGCAGGGTAGTCTGGGAGGAGAGGATGAAGAACGTTCGGGGGCTAAAGAATTAAGCCAAATGGTCGATCGAAGGAAGCGGAGAAAAAAGAGAAAAATAAAGCACAAAAGACTGAGTTATTATGATCCTTACAGTTCTCCATATCTTCCCAGATGCCAATTCTAGGTCTTAACACCACTGTCTTTCTTTCCTACACTGGTGGCCCTTATCCCTAGGAGCTCAAACTGTTTGATGTGTATAAGTTCATCACAAAATCTCCACAACAATATTAAAAAAAAAAAAAGAGCATTACTAAACTGTTCAAAGTGGGTTTTATGTGTTTTTCTGGAGTATGTAACATGAATTACTTGCTTTTTTTTTTTTTTACTAGTTTTAAACATTCATCCTTGAGTACACAGAAGTTAAATCTTCAATCTATTCATATTATTGACCTGGTCAGGATGAAAATCTGAGATGATGTTGCTGAGAATTGGACGTATGGTTTGAAAATGTTCTACAAATATTACAGACTGGGCACTAGCCAATGAGCTAAATTAAACAGCTGTTGACGTTACCTAAAAAATGGTGGGCAAATTAGGCCCAAATTGTGAAAGATGTAACTGCGACTTGATAAATCATTTTTACAGCAGAAGACAATAGACCCTGAAAGTCCAGTAAATCTAAAATTAATCATACTGATGAGCAGGCATTTAGTTAAAAAAGAATTGTAAGAAAGAGTTGACGTTGATAAAAGAAGCTCTGGAAATCCTGTAAAAATAAGAATTATGGTTGTGCTAGCCTTCAAGACTGCCCAAGAGTGATGAGATTTGTGGTGTGAATAAGTCTAACTTTTACAGCAAGTCAAATATACTCAGCTGCCGGTAAATTGGATTTGGAGTATTCATTCATGGCTATTTTTATTTTATTTATTTTTTTAATACCTAATGTTGTGATTTTATGTTTGCTGCGCTTGATTGTTTTAAATTGGTCACTCAGAATTGGCACTTACCCAGGTGCTCTCTCGGGCAAGTTGACATCTGCAGATAGGGAGCTGTAAACGGGAATACTGACATCATAGCCTTGGCGGTAAGTCCAAGTCGAGAATCCTCCACCAGCCAACACGGCTCTAATAGAATTATAAAAAATTTGGATTAAACAAGAAGGTGCGGCACAGATTTTGTATCAACCATCGCAAGAGCATTTTACTATTTTATATGACAATAGAATCTAACCAACGTATTGACCATACCTCAGATTTCAAAGAGCGTACACTGCAACCTGTAAATGATGGATATGTAGACATTCATTCTTCGAGTGCAAGAGGGATCAGTGAAAGCATAAGACAACACAAAGACTTTAGGAATGAGGAGCGCCTCTCACATTCTCAGTCCATGGACAATAACCACTCATTCTTGGAAACCTCTTAGATCAGTTGTCAAAGGTTTTTCTAAAAGGACATAACTAGCATGTCAGCTCTCACATGCCATGATTACCAAGGATTACATGGTCAGTAATAGGTATGTGGTCTCATTTCAAGCACCTGTCATCACCAATCTAGCTACCTTCAAATTATCTCTCTCATTGGCATAATTATAGTAAGAGGGCAAACTGAAGGCAGGACAACAAAAGGTCAAACTCAAGCTTGCTAATGCCTTCTTATAACACAGGTCAGCAGGAGTGTCCTTCAATATTAGAAGAGAGAGATGATGATCTTGTCTCCTGGGTACCTCTTCAAAACATGGATCTATTAAATCAGACGAAATCCATTTGAGAAATGCCAGCTCTATCAAGAATATGGACAAGGTGACCAGACGTCGCATGGAGAAGGTCATGAAAAACCTATAATGTTTTTTTTCCTTTTCCATTCCTTGACCATTTGTTTTCCTTTTATATCTTATGACTACCTCTTGACTTTAAAATTACTATTCATGGTGTGGCTTATTGATACTATTCCTACTCACACATGAATTTAACACAGGCCCCTTGCCAAGTGTTTCTGATACGGCTTTATTCTATAGGTGTCCCTTAAATCAGCACTGTCCATTTTAAGCATATACAGTGCAATGAAAATATACAAATCAATGACCGCATGATACTCCATTTAGGAGCTAACCAGCCTTTTCTACTTGATAGAGTATATGCTTAAAACTGGCTGGGGTGCTGGATACAAAACCTTCCTGTTAGCTAAACATAGAGCTATAGCTTGTATTGTTTTCCTAAGACTTACTAACCAACTCAGAGGAGAAACCCAGTGGCTATATTATTCTATTTGACTCCAGCCTGTAATACTTACTCTCATGTTTTGTTTTTTTTCTGTTGTCTTGTGCAGGCTCCTTCCTGCCTTTCAAAACACACCTCTTATACTACCACTCATAGCAAACTTAGACAGCACCCATTCGTTTTGTTTGTATGCACGGTGCTATACAGATCTACTTAACTCTCGTAATACGCAGATAGCATAGCCGGTCCGATAGCCAGTGTGTACTGTCATGAGAAATATGCCTAGCATGAATATTTACGGCTTACTTTTCTTACTAAATATGAAAAGGAGCTATTTCAACGAAAATATGCAATTCAAGCAAAATGTCTTTTCTATGCAATTATATATGGCAAAATACAGCCCATCTTTTTTTTTTTTTTTTTTTTTACAAGTAATCCACCCATCTTTTTACAATAGCTGCTCACAGCTTGGATTGCTTAAAGGGATACTCCACTGCCCAAATACAAAACAAATAAAAATCAATGTTTAGTAGATCTACCCTAAAGGAAAACTTGAATGCATTTAATTATGCATTGTTTCATTGGGATATATCTAAAAACAGCTTGTAAAACTTGCAATTCTCTTCTCTGCAGTCTTTGCAAGTCCTCCCGTTCTAACCCTGCCCAGACTTTCTGTGACTGTCCAATCACAGACTTTCCAATGGAACTTAATGATAAGTCTTTGCAAGGCAGGAGCACTGAGCAATTGCTCCAGCTGAGCTAAAGAAACCAGGAAGTAACGTTACCTGTTGCCTGCTTGATAGCCAAGGGGGTGTAACCCGGCACCAGGCTAATATATATAAAAGTGTATATTTCTATTGAAATCTGCACTCTTCACACAAAGTTTTTCAGCAAGCTAAAGTGCTTTAGGGGTCTGGAGTGTCCCTTTAAAGTTACACATGTACAAAGGCGAACACTTTTTTTTCAGTAAATCATACATTTTCTAAATCAGCTCTTATTCAGTTTTGCCATTTTGTTTTAAACATTACAACTCCCTTATCAATTCACGACACACTGAGTTTAGTGATTATAGCCCAGAGAGTTATGGTGTGTTTAAGACCAACTTTATACAAAAATAAAAGTACATGGGGAAAAAAAATATTTTTTGCCTTCTAAACTAATCGCAAATTTCTTGTGCAACCCATATAAACCCTACTGGAAACCAAATCAAACAGAAAGATAATGCAGAAATAATTCTCAGTGGTTGAAATAAAGGTCACTAAAAACAAACAGTCCTACAATACTGCCACAATAGTCTCAAATGGTATTTGCATTAAAAAACAGATTGCACAAACTAAAAACATTCCCAAAAGTTTAAGGGTTAAAATGAGTTAAAATTTCCACCTTATTGTATCATGGAATTAAAGATAACTCAGGGAATTTTACAGCCTTAGATCACAAGAAACCCGATCTTACATACAGCAAAAGAAGGATTACATAAAGGATAAAATAAAGACTCCTCATCTGACCTAAAACCCTGCTGCAGATTACCAAGAGAATACATTATATAAGGAATGGGGAGAGTGAACAGAATGTGATACATCATATGGAACGTATTTAAAGGGACACTCAAAGCCGTTTAACCACTACAAATTAATTTAGTGAGTATGGTGCAAGGAGGCTCGGTGCAGTCACTCTAGTTTTCAAATGATTTAAAGGGACAATATAGTCACCAGAACAACTACAGCTTATTGAATTTGTTGTGGTGAGTATAATCATTTACTTCAGGCTTTTTGCAGTAAACACTGTCTTTTCAGAAAAAATGCAGTGTTTACATTACAGCCTAGTGATAACTTCACTGGCCACTCCTCAGATGGCTGTTCAATTCATCTCTATGAGGAGATGCTGATTGGCCAGGGCTGTGTTTGAATCATGCTGGCTCTGCCTCTTTGTCAGTCTTGGCCAATCCTATGGGGAAGCATTGTGATTGGATCAGGCCACCACTTCTGATGATGTCAGCAGACTGCTTGTTTTTCGGAAGCAGACAGGGCAGAGCCAGCAGCTTCAGGCTTGAATACATATTTAGGGAGGCATTAGAGGCCCAGGGGAGCTAGATGGTGGTTTTAACACTACAGGGTCAGGAATACATGTTTGTGTTCCTGGCCCGATAGTGATCCTTTAATAAAGGGCAGTAGATTTCCCAGCACCTAAAGGATGCCGCTTCAGCATGGGACATCACAAAGAGGAAGTTTCACTTCCTCATTATCTGCCAAAGTGTTTATACTGTGGCAGCATGTATTGAATGCAATGACAATCTGCATGAACCCCAAATCACCACAGCGCTTTTGGCTCAAGCTGAGGGACTGGGCTTGGGTGTTGGGGAATTCTCTGAGAGGTTATGGTGCTTGGAGTTTTCATTAAAAAGGACATTAAGAAACAAAGCAGTTACATTTTAATGTCCCATTTTTATCTTTCATTTCAAATAGTACTGATTAAATCTTGCCTAAAACAAACCACAAATGGCTTTCAGAAAGACAATTAGCATCAGACTTGCAAATGCGCATGAGCTCTTCGTCCCCAATAGATTGGAAGGAGATGATCCTGACTGTCTCACAGCCGGTGGGTCTGACTGCATATTACAGGCAAGTTTAATTGCAGTTTTTTTGGTGGGTAGCACAATCTAAACATAGTAAAAGACACATCTAATGTTAAAACCATACTTATTTTTAAAGTCATAGGGTTCCTTTGAAGTGGATCTACCAATTTCAATTAATGGGTGTTTGCAGATTTTGACATCGAAGTTTAAAGGAACACGCCTACTGTGCAGCCCTGAGCCAGGAAGCACCTCCAGTGACCAGGAGTGACCACTCTGAGGTGTCCCTAGGGGCAATGTAAACACTGCATTTTCTCTGAAAAAGCAGAGTTTGCATGAAAATGACTGAAGGCAATGATTATACTCACCAGAACAACTACATTAAGCTTCTGGCAACTATAGTGTTCCTTTATGGTCTAGTGGCTACAGGGTGCAGTGGAAGATAGGTATACTTACTTTTGTTCCTGTAAGTTTTTGTAATTGTCTCATTTATTGGTAAATATCCCCTATAATATTGTAAAGTGCTATAAAAATGCCAATAATATTATTACTATTATTATTAACAATAATTTGAAGTTGTCCCATCTTATTCCAGGGTACCCTCGTTAGCTTCTGGATCTTTTGTCTAGCTCAGGATATACCATAAGTCAAAGCAGTACCTACTTTGCCTTATAGTACCTTTAGGTTGTGTTGGAATGAAAGTCCAACGCAGTCCGCATGAATATTTCATAAACATTATAACAGAGTTGCTTCAAAACATAGCAACTGAAATCTTTAGAATGGCGCAGGACTGACCCCTGGTGGAAACGGATAAAAATGTGTAGAGAAAAAAAAAAAGCTTCAATTAAATATACAGCTGACATTTAAAATAAATTAATAAGAAAAAGGTCTGTCAAAAACCATTAGGTTGTGGTTTATAATGCAAATCAAAGGAGATGCTGGCGCATGAACTAAAGGAAATCCCACGGCTTCTCCAATGATTGAAGAAAATTACTGAAATAATGCTTGCATCAGTTTCAGCCATTTCCTGGATGATGATGTCAACACCAAGGTGATGTCAATCACCCAGTGATCTGTTATTTATCTATTATTTATCTGGAATACTGCTATGTAATCAATTATCAATGTAATGGGTCTCTCCACAAAGCTGAATGGTGCTAACTAGACCCTCACCTGTCACGGGGAACATCCAGAGCTGTGTTGTAATCCGGGGGTCCTCCAGGAAGCATGTTAAACAGTAAGTGATTTGTACCTCGGTCCCACCTGTAAAAAGACAACACGACAAGAAGATGAACTTCCAAAACCACCTCAATCCCAAATGTTTACACAGTTTTCCCAACTTTGAAAAGCAACCAGACAGGGAGGCTCCCATTTTAGCTGAGCATTTCACTGCAATACAAAGAAGCTGAAGTTGTTATGGTGCAATCTTACAATAAGCGGTAAAAGGAATACTATAAATCCCAGGAATACAAAGCTGTATTACTGGTACTATAAGTTCCTATGCCTCCCGCCTCCCTCGCACTCCCCCACCAACGTGAATAAAGGGTTAAATATCCTTTATTTACTTACCTTATCCCAGCGTCGATGTCTCTCAGCAATGGGTTGTGCCTCCACCACCTCCGAAGTCCCGCGCAGCATTAGGCCTCTCCATAGGAAAGCATTGAGCATTAGGATGTCCAGCATCAGTTACTGGACCAAAAGTCCGTTAGCAGCCAGGAAGCGCCTCCAGTGGCTGTCTGGTAGACAGTCACTGGAGGCAGACTTAGCGCTGCAATGTAAACATTGAAGTTTCTCTGGAATGGCAATGTTTTACATTGCAGCAGTAAGTGCAATAGGGACAGTGAACTGAAGTGGTCTGGGTGCCTATAGTGTGCCTTTAAATAATTTACAGACAGTTTAACCACAAAGTTGTAAAGACAGCATCCATTCGCTCTGTCCAAACACAAAATTGCGTGAGCAAGTTACATACCTAAAGGCAAGACAGTGCCCATGACCTTCTGGCACCATAACAACTTAAATGAGATGTTGCTATGGTGCCTGAAATGTTCCTTTAACCCCTTAAGGACACATGACATGTGTGACATGTCATGATTCCCTTTTATTCCAGAGGTTTGGTCCTTAAGGGGTTAAATGTCAAAGATCGGTTTGTTTTTTTTCCCCATCTGTTTGAAACATTAAGAATCTCAAGGATATGAATTTCAAATTTGTCTTTGGTTTCCAGGATGTATACATTGTAAGGACACAGTGCTTCTTCATCTAGTCTCAAACTGTGGAATAACTGATGTTGGGATTGTAATATCTGGACCAATATACAAGGATTTGAAAAATTATCCAACTACAACAGAAAATCTGAAATTTCTTTGCTAATCCTCTACAATTCTTAGCTTACTGAGTTAACCACATGGTGTTTACACTTAAAATGGTGGAAGTGCACAACCACTAAATAAAACATTGAAAACCCCCTAGAACTCAGATCATCTTTTTTTCCCTTTGAAATGTATCTCAAATATACAGCAACTGACGTCACAATCCAGTTCATTCAAGGCACAGCAAATGAGGTGAGGAGCAAAGACAGCCTCTTGGTTTCTCCTCTTCCACTATATTCAAAATGGCAGAAATAATCAGAATTTATGACTATAATTGACAGGGGGCCAAGATTGAGGACCTCCAGGATAGAGCTAAATACAGCGGTTTAACTTAATTTTTAGACATTGCAAAATAAATATTTGCTAAATATATGTGATAGGTAAACATAATATTAAAAATTCTGGGAAGGGACGGTTCCTCTTTAAATACAATTTTATCTAGATTACACATAAAATAATGCCCATTTACTTTCATAACTGCATCCTTTGCCAGTAATATAACACAATATTCATTTTTTGTTATGATTTCTTACCTTGGAAGCTGTGCTAAAGCTTGTGCAGTCTCTTTGATCCGCAAAGTATTCTGATTTAAGACATCAAGAGAGGGTAAGAAGAGACAAGCTCGGTTTACGTCCTCTGTGTAAAAATCACTCTGAGAAACAGCATTTAGCAGCTGGATGTACTCGCGGGATATTGCGCCACTCACAGATGCCCCTGAATCGTCAATATATTTCTTCAGAGGGTAGATGTACACCTTCACTTTGTTCTTGGGGTTGAAGCCACAGCGGTACACGTCAAAGCAGGTGTGCATTCTACAGCTAAGGTCCCCCCTCTCTGGCAATGGACTGTTTTCTAGAAGCCTTTCTGCTGGGACATCATGAACGCTGCGCTTTTCAGGACTCCAGTCCCCAGATGGTTCAATGGTGTGAGGCCAAAACTGAAACATCCCCGTGGCAATGAGCCCCAAAAGGACCACAGAGAAGAGAGCAATGTAGTAAACCCGATGTTTGGACTTCATTCTGGGGATTAAGGCAGGACCCCTTATATTGTACTTGACCGAGGCACGCATAATGGACCCCTCCTCCTAGATACTGCGGGCTATCAAAAGGAAACAGAGATTTATCAGTAGATGCAATAAGTACACTCTAGATGGAACAGATCACTGGTAGATCAGGCAGTTAAATCAGTTAACATTTGCAATAATGTCTTTATATATGGAGTTTGTCATCTCAACATCATAGTTTTACTATAAGCAGACCAAATAGCTTTACCTGCCCAAAGAAAGTGGGACTTAAAAGCTGGAACAAAACAATGCACTTAAAAGAATACGGAGATCAAGTTGCATTCCAAATAAAGCCAAACATGATTAAACCGGTTTCCAATCTACATTAATTAACTTGATTTGCATAACACTTTTATTTTGTAAGTCTCAGCTCATTTAAAAGAGAAACTAAGCACCATAATCACTACACCACACAAATTAATTATGTCTACAGCTGAACAAACATGATTTTGCTAAAGTATGATAGGGGACTTCCATTTTAGTGATATCACAGAAGAATCGAAGGACAGCAGGCGCCGAGGGAGTGTCAAACAATTGTAAATAATGAGAGTAGGCCAGGGATCTCCTGACACCATAACCACTGCTGCATTTAAATTGCTATTGAGTCTAGACTGCTCCTGTAAGTTACATTTTATATACTGTTGAACTAATGTGGTATACTGGGTATAGTATATAATTTAGGAATTTATCCCTGTATTAGGCACTAAGAAGGTAAAAATAAAAATTCTATTTTTGCTACACCAATCTCGTGTCTACTTTTCCCTATATAATAACTAATTAACCACCTTTTCAATAGTAAGCTTTTATATTCCCCTGACACATTAATCTCTCATATTTATAAATTGTACAGAGGAGAAAGTATAGGTTCTTAACAGCATCGTTGTATTTCAGCAATTTTACTAGCTATGGGAGGATTTTATGATATTTAACTAATGATATATAACTGATAGTGTAAAATGCACACACACAGTTACTTCCTCTCTCAACAGCCTTTGTTAATATAATTTAACCCCACAGCAAGTGTTTTGCAATGTAAATACAATTCAGTTGCATCCTTTGTTTATATGCAGACTCTGTATTTAGAATATACTTTACCTTTTATCTAAAGATTGCAATATAAATACACATACAATTTAAGATACTTCTTGTTAAAATTAACCCTAAGTAATAATATAAAAAGTACACAATCTACATAAATCCACTCTATTTATGTTTACATTCTAATTTACCCTGTAGGTGTGTAAAATAATCTGAGCTACTTCCTTCTTTATAAAACACCAACAGACATACTTCAACAATATGTTTTAAAATAGATTCTGTGAAAACAGAATATACTTTAACTCCTCTGTATACAGCATGTGCATTCAATACAGATTAAAGGGACACTATAGTCACCTGAACAACTTTAGCTTAATGAAGCTGTTTTGGTGTATAGAACATGCCCCTGCAGCCTCACTGCTCAATCCTCTGCCATTTAGGAGTTAAATCCCTTTGTTTATGAACCCTAGTCACACCTCCCTGCATGTGACTTGCACAGCCTTCCATAAACACTTCCTGTAAAGAGAGCCCTATTTAGGCTTTCTTTATTGCAAGTTCTGTTTAATTAAGATTTTCTTATCCCCTGCTATGTTAATAGCTTGCTAGACCCTGCAAGAGCCTCCTGTATGTGATTAAAGTTCAATTTAGAGATTGAGATACAATTATTTAAGGTAAATTACATCTGTTTGAAAGTGAAACCAGTTTTTTTTTTCATGCAGGCTCTGTCAATCATAGCAAGGGGAGGTGTGGCTAGGGCTGCATAAACAGAAACAAAGTAATTTAACTCCTAAATGACAGAGAATTGAGCAGTGAAATTGCAGGGGAATGATCTATACACTAAAACTGCTTTATTTAGCTAAAGTAATTTAGGTGACTATAGTGTTCCTTTAATATAAATACATACAATCCAATTAACGTCCTCTATAAACATACAGCCTGGGTAATTAGAGTATCTTAGTACAGTAATGATAAAGTAATCATTGCTGCTTCATTGATTCATGTCAAAATGTAATTTGCGAACAATGAATACACTTAACCCCTGCATACAGCACATTTAACCTCTCCATATTAGCATGTAGCTTGTGAAAGATGAATATAGTTGACTCCCCACAAAGCATGAAAAATGACACACAGTTCAAGCTAGTTCCTCTGTTTATATGCAGACTGTGTCAATACAATATGCAGCATCCCCTGTATACATGGTATATTGCATAAATAAAATAAAAATTCTCTACTGCCTCAAATTATAATCTCAAATTAAAACATACAATACAAATGGCTTGGATATAATGCTTATCGAGTTTGGAAGATTTAAATTGCACCACCGTGAAGTAATCAATATATTGTTACACCATGAATAACTTGGTACTATGCCAGCCTAGTCTGGCAGATTCAGGGGCTTGCCCACTAGTTAGTGATGAATTCATACCATGAAACGGGCATGTCTCTCTGTGGGTTAAACATTAATATTCACAATTAAATCACATTAATACTAAGCCAGCATAGGTTAGGGGATTCCTCTTGGTGGGTTATGGTTAATATATACCATGAGATGTCACACATATTGTGCCAGCCTAAAATAAACAATGAAATGCCTCAAATCATAAATCCTATTCCTGCCTAGGTAAGGAGATTTCTCTATGTAGGTTAATAATTAGGATTTACAATTAAATACCATGCATACAATGCCAGCCTATAACACATACAATGGATACTATGTCAGATTATAATACAGGATATGGATACTATGCCAGCCCATAACATATACCATGCCAACCTATTACACAAAACATGGATGCAATGCCTGCCTAGAACACATACAATGCCTGCCTATAATATATACCATGGATACTATGGCAGCCTTTACTATATACCATGGATACTATGGCAGCCTATACTATATACCATGGATACTGTGCCAACCTATACTATATACCATGGATACTGTGCCAACCTATACTATATACCATGGATACTATGCCAGCCTATACTATATACCATGGATACTGTGCGAGCCTATACTATATACCATGGATACTGTGCCAGCCTATACTATATACCATGGATACAATGCCAGCCTATACTATATACCATGGATACTGTGCCAGCCTATACTATATACCATGGATACTGTGCCAGCCTATACTATATACCATGGGTACTGTGCCAGCATACATTATATACCATGGATACTGTGCCAGCCTATACTATATACCATGGATACTATATACCATGGATACTGTGCCAGTCTATACTATATACCATGGATACTATGCCAGCCTATATTATACACCATGGATACTGTGCCAGCCTATACTATATACCATGGATACAATGCCAGCCTATACTATATACCATGGATACTGTGCCAGCCTATACTATATACCATGGGTACTGTGCCAGCATACACTATATACCATGGATACTGTGCCAGCCTATACTATATACCATGGATACTATGCCATCCCATACTATATACCATGGATACTATGCCAGCCTATACTATATACCATGGATACTGTGCCAGCCTATACTATATACCATGGATACTATATACCATGGATACTGTGCCAGCCTATACTATATACCATGGATACTATGCCATCCTATACTATATACCATGGATATTATGCCATCCTATACTATATACCATGGATACTGTGCCAGTCTATACTATATACCATGGATACTATGCCAACCTATACTATATACCATGGATACCATGCCAGTCTATACTATATGCCATGGATACCATGCCAGCCTATACTATATACCATGGATACTGTGTCAGCCTATACTATATACCATGGATAATGTGCCAAGCTATACTATATACCATGGATACTATGCCAGGCTATACTATATACCATGGATACTATGCCAGGCTATACTATATACCATGGATACTGTGCCAGCCTATACTATATACCATGGATACTATGCCAACCTATACTATATACCATGGATACCATGCCAGCCTATACTATATACCATGGATACCGTGCCAGCCTATACTATATACCATGGATACTATGCCAGCCTATACTATATACCATGGATACTGTGCCAGGCTATACTATATACCATGAATACTATGCCAACCTATACTATATACCATGGATACTGTGCCAGTATATACTATATACCATGGATACCGTGCCAGCCTATACTATATACCATGGATACTATGCCAACCTATACTATATACCATGGATACTATGCCAACCTATACTATATACCATGGATACTGTGCCAGCCTATACTATATACCATGGATACTATATACCATGGATACTGTGCCAGCCTATACTATATACCATGGATACTGTGCCAGTCTATTCTATATACCATGGATACTATGCCAACCTATACTATATACCATGGATACTGTGCCAACCTATACTATATACCATGGATACTATGCCAGCCTAAACTATATACCATGGATACTATATACCATGGATACTGTGCCAGTCTATACTATATACCATGGATACTATGCCAGCCTATACTATATACCATGGATACTATATACCATGGATACTGTGCCAGCCCATACTATATACCATGGATACTGTGCCAGCCTATACTATATACCATGAATACTATGCCAGTCTATTCTATATACCATGGATACTGTGCCAGTCTATTCTATATACCATGGATACTGTGCCAGGCTATACTATATACCATGGATACTGTGCCAGCCTATACTATATACCATGGATACTATATACCATGGATACTGTGCCAGCCTATACTATATACCATGGATACTATGCCAACCTATACTATATACCATGGATACCATGCCAGCCTATACTATATACCATGGATACCGTGCCAGCCTATACTATATACCATGGATACTATGCCAGCCTATACTATATACCATGGATACTGTGCCAGGCTATACTATATACCATGAATACTATGCCAACCTATACTATATATCATGGATACTGTGCCAGTATATACTATATACCATGGATACCGTGCCAGCCTATACTATATACCATGGATACTATGCCAACCTATACTATATACCATGGATACTATGCCAACCTATACTATATACCATGGATACTATGCCAACCTATACTATATACCATGGATACTGTGCCAGCCTATACTATATACCATGGATACTATATACCATGGATACTGTGCCAGCCTATACTATATACCATGGATACTATGCCATCCCATACTATATACCATGGATACTGTGCCAGCCTATACTATATACCATGGATACTGTGCCAGTCTATTCTATATACCATGGATACTATGCCAACCTATACTATATACCATGGATACTATGCCAGCCTAAACTATATACCATGGATACTATATACCATGGATACTGTGCCAGTCTATACTATATACCATGGATACTATGCCAGCCTATACTATATACCATGGATACTATATACCATGGATACTGTGCCAGCCCATACTATATACCATGGATACTGTGCCAGCCTATACTATATACCATGAATACTATGCCAGTCTATTCTATATACCATGGATACTGTGCCAGGCTATACTATATACCATGGATACTGTGCCAGCCTATACTATATACCATGGATACTATATACCATGGATACTGTGCCAGCCTATTCTATATACCATGGATACTATATACCATGGATACTGTGCCAGCCTATTCTATATACCATGGATACTGTGCCAGTCTATACTATATACCATGGATACTGTGCCAGCCTATACTATATACCATGGATACTATATACCATGGATACTGTGCCAGCCTATTCTATATACCATGGATACTGTGCCAGTCTATACTATATACCATGGATACTGTGCCAGCCTATTCTATATACCATGGATGCTGTGCCAGGCTATACTATATACCATGGATATTGTGGCAGCCTATACTATATACCATGGATATTGTGCCAGCCTATACTATATACCATGGACACCATGCCAGCCTATACTATATACCATGGATACTATGGCAGCCTATTCTATATACCATGGATACTGTGCCAGCCTATTCTATATACCATGGATGCTGTGCCAGCCCATACGATATACCATGGATACTGTGCCAGCCTATAGTATATACCATGGATACTGTGCCAGCCTATACTATGTACCATGGATACTGTGCCAGCCCATACTATATACCATGGATACTGTGCCAGTCTATACTATATACCATGCATACTGTGCCAGTCTATACTATATACCATGGATACTGTGCCAGCCCATACTATATACCATGGATACTGTGCCAGCCCATACTATATACCATGGATACTGTGCCAGCCTATACTATATACCATGGATACTGTGCCAGCCTATACTATATACCATGGATACTATATACCATGGATACTGTGCCAGCCTATACTATATACCATGGATATTATGCCATCCCATACTATATACCATGGATACTGTGCCAGCCTATACTATATACCATGGATACTGTGCCAGCCTATACTATATACCATGGATACTGTGCCAGCCTATTCTATATACCATGGATACTGTGCCAGCCTATACTATATACCATGGATACTATGCCAGCCTATACTATATACCATGGATACTATGCCAGCCTATACTATATACCATGGATGCTGTGCCAGCCTATACTATATACCATGGATACTGTGCCAACCTATACTATATACCATGGATACTGTGCCAGCCTATACTATATACCATGGATACTGTGCCAGGCTATACTATATACCATGGATGCTGTGCCAGCCTATACTATATACCATGGATACTGTGCCAGCCTATACTATATACCATGGATACTGTGCCAGCCTATACTATATACCATGGATGCTGTGCCAGGCTATACTATATACCATGGATACCATGCCAGCCCATACTATATACCATGGATGCTGTGCCAGCCTATACTATATACCATGGATACTATATACCATGGATGCTGTGCCAGCCTATACTATATACCATGGATACCATGCCAGTCTATACTATATACCATGGATACTGTGCCAGCCTATTCTATATACCATGGATACTGTGCCAGCCTATTCTATATACCATGGATGCTGTGCCAGCCTATACTATATACCATGGATGCTGTGCCAGCCTATACTATATACAATGGATGCTGTGCCAGCCTATACTATATACCATGGATACCATGCCAGTCTATACTATATACCATGGATACTGTGCCAGCCTATTCTATATACCATGGATACTGTGCCAGCCTATTCTATATACCATGGATACTGTACCAGCCTATACTATATACCATGGATACTGTACCAGCCTATACTATATACCATGGATGCTGTGCCAGCCTATACTATATACCATGGATGCTGTGCCAGCCTATACTATATACCATGGATACTATATACCATGGATGCTGTGCCAGCCTATACTATATACCATGGATGCTGTGCCAGCCTATACTATATACCATGGATACTGTGCCAGGCTATACTATATACCATGGATACCATGCCAGCCTATACTATATACCATGGATACTGTGCCAGGCTATACTATATACCATGGATACTATATACCATGGATGCTGTGCCAGGCTATACTATATACCATGGATACTATATACCATGGATGCTGTGCCAGCCTATACTATATACCATGGATGCTGTGCCAGGCTAGGTTAGGTTAGGGCTCCCACTGCATGGTTTATATATTTGTGTAGACAGTCAGTGTGTTTATTTCTTACCTGGGCCCCCAGTGGTAGCAGCTCCCGGCCCAGGGCCGCCCCCTCCAGGCTCACAGCTCCTGCCCCATGTCTGCCCTGCCTTACCCCAACTCTCAGCATCCAGACCCAAACGGAAGTGACGTCAGTGCCCATCCAGCCCCCGAACCATAGAAAGCGAGGGGCTGGCCAGAGCGTCTCCAGTTCCATAGAGAGGGAGGGGCTGGCCAGAGCACACTGTGCTGCACAGCTTGCTGTCACTCCATACAGTATACATTGTCATACCTCCCAAGTGTCCCTGTGTAGGAGGGACAGTCCCTATCTGTTCTAGGAGCTCCACAGTAATGTGTCTGAGTGTATAACAGAGCTCCACAGCAATAATACTCCCAGTAATGTGTCTGAGTGTATAACAGAGCCCCACAGTAATAATACTCCCAGTAATGTGTCTGAGTGTATAACAGAGCTCCACAGCAATAATACTCCCAGTAATGTGTCTGAGTGTATAACAGGGCTCCGCAGCAATAATACTCCTAGTAATGTGTCTGAGTGTATAACAGAGTCCACAGTAATAATACTGCCAGTAATGTGTCTGAGTGTATAACAGAGCCTGCAGCAATAATACCCCAGTAATAAAACCCTGAGTGTATAACAGAGCTCCACAGCAATAATACTCCCAGTAATGTGTCTGAGTGTATAACAGAGCCCCACAGTAATAATACTCCCAGTAATGTGTCTGAGTGTATAACAGAGCTCCACAGCAATAATACTCCCAGTAATGTGTCTGAGTGTATGACAGAGCTCCCCAGCAATAATACTCCCAGTACTGTGTCTGAGTGTATAACAGAGCCCCACAGTAATAATACTCCCAGTAATGTGTCTGAGTGTATAACAGAGCTCCACAGCAATAATACTCCCAGTAATGTGTCTGAGTGTATAACAGAGCTCCACAGGAATAATACTCCCAGTAATGTGTCTGAGTGTATAACAGAGCTCCACAGGAATAATACTCCCAGTAATGTGTCTGAGTGTATAACAGAGCTCCACAGTAATAATACTGCCAGTAATGTGTCTGAGTGTATAACAGAGCTCCACAGTAATAATACTCCCAGTAATGTGTCTGAGTGTATAACAGAGCCCCACAGCAATAATACTCCCAGTAATGTGTCCAAGTGTATAACAGAGCTCCACAGCAATAATACTCCCTGTAATGTGTCCGAGTGTATAACAGAGCTCCACAGCAATAATACTCCCAGTAATGTGTCCGAGTGTATAACAGAGCTCCACAGCAATAATACTCCCAGTAATGTGTCTGAGTGTATAACAGAGCTCCACAGCAATAATACTCCCAGTAATGTGTCTGAGTGCATAACAGAGCCCCACAGCAATAATACTCCCAGTAATGTGTCTGAGTGTATAACAGAGCTCCACAGCAATAATACTCCCAGTAATGTGTCTGAGTGTATAACAGAGCTCCACTGCAATAATACTCCCAGTAATGTGTCTGAGTGTATAACAGAGCTCCACAGCAATAATACTCCCAGTAATGTGTCTGAGTGTATACCAGAGCTCCACAGCAATAATACTCCCAGTAATGTGTCTGAGTGTATAACAGAGCTCCACAGCAATAATACTCCCAGTAATGTGTCCGAGTGTATAACAGAGCTCCACACCAATAATACTCCCAGTAATGTGTCTGAGTGTATAACAGAGCTCCACAGCAATAATACTCCCAGTAATGTGTCTGAGTGCATAACAGAGCCCCACAGCAATAATACTCCCAATAATGTGTCTGCCTGTATAACAGAGCTCCACAGCAATAATACTCCCAGTAATGTGTCCGAGTGTATAACAGAGCTCCACAGCAGTAATACTCCCAGTAATGTGTCTGAGTGTATAACAGAGCTCCACAGCAATAATACCCCCAGTAATGTGTCTGAGTGTATAACAGAGCTCCACAGCAATAATACTCCCAGTAATGTGTCTGAGTGTATAACAGAGCTCCACAGCAATAATACTCCCAGTAATGTGTCTGAGTGTATAACAGAGCTCCAGAGCAATAATACTCCCAGTAATGTGTCTGAGTGTATAACAGAGCTCCACAGCAATAATACTCCCAGTAATGTGTCTGAGTTTATAACAGAGCTCCACGGCAATAATACTCCCAGTAATGTGTCTGAGTGTATAACAGAGCTCCACAGCTATAATACTCCCAGTAATGTGTCTGAGTGTATAACAGAGCTCCACAGCATTAATACTCCCAGTAATGTGTCTGAGTGTATAACAGAGCTCCACAGCAATAATACTCCCAGTAATGTGTCTGAGTGTATAACAGAGCTCCACAGCAATAATACTCCCAGTAATGTGACTGAGTGTGTAACAGAGCTCCA